ATAGCCACATTACGTATTATTATAGAGCAAAGCATTGAACTGAACTCACCACTTTACATTGGATTTTTGCCCGGCTCTCTAGCATAGTTGGCTAAACCGGATTGCGCGGTGAGCGGGAGACGAACTCCTTGTGGTCCTAGTTTACTCCCGGGGGTAGGCAGAAAAGCCAAATTTCTCCCAGATTTACGGTATTTAAAATGGAATCAAGGCCGAAAGGTTGCGATATCCATAATACCGAGCCTAAGGGTTAACAACTCTTGGCTTCTGGATACTAAAACAAACAACAAACAAACATTGGATTTATAGACTATGAAAAAGCATTTGACAGCATTTATAGGAAATCTATCTGGAAATTGATGGGGCACTATGGAATTCCACAGAAAATTATTAACTTAGTAAAGGCAACATATAAAGACACGAAATGCTGAGTTCTTCACGGGGAAAAGCTAACAGATACATCTGAAATAAAAACGGATGTGCGATAGGGATGTCTTGTATCGTCTCTCCTGTTTTTACTGGCTATAGACTGGATTATGAAAACAGTAACTGCTAACACCAAAAATTGAATTCAGTGGACCCCAACAAAACCTGGACTTCGCTGATATTTCTCTTCTGTCCCATTCACAGAATCAGATGCAAGATAAAATAAATATACTTGATGCGAGATCACAGCAGCTTGGTCTGAAAATCCGTAAAGGAAAGACAAAGATAATAAGAATAAATGAGGCTAATAGTAATGTGATTTCTCTTAATGGCACCCCACTCCAAGACTTAGAGTCGTACACCTATTTGGTAAGTAATGTAGATAAAGATGAAGGAACTGGCAGAGATATTAAAATAAGAATACAAAAGGCAAGAGGAGCTTTCATACCACTAGGGAATTTGTGGAGGTCAAAAGAAATTAAAAGAAATACTAAACTAAAAATTTTTAATTCTAATGTCAAATCAGTACTTTTGTATGGGGCGGAAACATAGAGAACAACTAATGCAACTACTAATAAATTACATATTCATTAACTGGTGCCTGCGCAGAATAGAGGGAATTAAATGGTATGATAGAATAACTAATGTAAAGCTTTGGGAGAGAACTAAACAGGCTCCAGTGGACCAAGAGGTGAGGAAAAGACACTGGTATTGGATAAGAAACATACTGAGAAGACAGGAGAACAGCATAACTAGAATGTCTTTGCATTAGAACCCACAGGGGCATCGGAATAAAGGAAGGCCAAAAAACACGTGGAGAAGAGCCGGAGAATAAAGTTATAAAGATGGGGAGGACATGGGAAGAGCTCCATGTAAATACGAAGGATAGAACGACTTAGCGTGAGTTGGTTGAGGGCCTATGCTCCATTGGGGGATAGAAAGGCAGAAAAAGACTCATCACAAAAGCATCTCATCACTGAGGGACTGGCCACAACTGGTTCAACAGAACTTCAGGGATCCCAGACATTCCTATCACTGAGGGACTGGCGACAACTGGTTCAACAGAACTTCAGGGATCCCAGACATTCCTATCACTGAGGGACTGGCGACAACTGGTTCAACAGAACTTCAGGGATCCCAGACATTCCTATCACTGAGGGACTGGCGACAACTGGTTCAACAGAACTTCAGGGATCCCAGACATTCCTATCACTGAGGGACTGGCGACAACTGGTTCAACAGAACTTCAGGGATCCCAGACATTCCTATGGCCTCTGTTCAAAAAATCTCATGGTTACATCCTATCTTCCTAATTATCTCTTTTGAGGTAATTCAAGGATGAGAGTGCTTAGCTGCTTGACGCAATGACTATATATTATATATATACTCATTATATATTTTTTCTCACTATTATTAATTTTGATCGCTAATAACTCCTTATTTTCGCCACTGTTTCCATAACTCTCTTTCACATTGTTCACTAAAAAATAAATCACCTGAGGACTTTAAGCTAAAACATGACCAAAACATCACATGAATCTTTGCCTAGAAGCATTAATAAAATGAACAAAGCTATAATTTGTTGGTTTTTATTATATTTCTTTTTTTTTTTTTCTGGTCAGATACAGTAGAGTGAAAATTCATGAAATTCCACGACTTATCAGGGAAAATTAATAATTAAAGTGCGTTTATATAATTTGACAATAACATTTAAAGTTTCAACTGAAAACATAGTAAGACAGGTGTTTGGTCTGTAAGTCTTCTGGTTTGAAAAAAAAGTCTCACCCTTAACATTTTGTGAGCACACGACCATCACTGTTTAGCACAGCAACGAACATATTCTGCCTGTACTTAATATACAAACCAACATAGACATATACGTGACTCTTCTCAATAACTTTGACAATGCTTCACATTTTTAGATATACAAAATATATGTTTTATTGAAAGCTATCAACTGCAAATGATTTACATTTCTGGAAACTAGAAAAAAATCAAATGATGATTAATCTATCAAACTGTCTCCTTATTTCAACAAAGAAAATATAAGATGTACAGTATTCGCATGTATATTGTATGTAAAATACCACAAGATTCCACCTGTGAACAATGAGTTTTTGATTAGACAGGGAAACATATATGAGACATGATGACAGGCATTACATATGGAATAAGTTACTAAATGATATAAGTAATATAAAAAAAATATAATGAAAGAAGACCTAAAAGAAGACAATGTCCAATGATATAAACTGCATCTACATGTGCTTCAATTTATCTATAGACTGAAATTCTGAGTAATATAAGCCAAAACGCAAATTTGAAATAAGCACAAATGATGATCTCACTTTAGCGAATTTGCTAAAGCATGAATTTATGTATCTGTGAAAGCTTTATTGTCCACCGTGGAAGGTGGACCAGCACAGCATAGCAAGATTCATAATGTCCTCAGAGACAAACAGGACAGCACAAACACAGCTTGTACTTTCCTACAGCAGGTCCTTATTAAGCAATGTTATTATTGATGCAACATACATCCAATCCGTCTGTCTCCAATATCTAGCAATATTTGGAAATGTTAACAAGTCCATGACATTCTGTACTAGACATCTAGTTGCAATTACTTACTCTCACAAGCAGAATCGAGAGGACATTTTTGGTTCACTGCAAAATGTACATACAGCGTTTTCTTCACACACAATTACCACAAATCTCTTATGTCACTCAAAAGAAACTTCTCTAAATCACTTCACTGTTTGCTGCTTCAGTCAGTTCTATCTTAGTCTGGCTTTACACACACAATGTATTGTGCCACCCCAGGACTTGTCCACAACAGAATCCATAAGTCTGTGTGTCTCCCATTATATGTCTCTTGTAGCCTGAATCACAGACATCAGGTGTTTAGTTAACATTATTCACAGCCGTACTTAATTCTCATGTCTTTTGCCCTTTCTCACAGACCCACCGGTACACCCTTGGCCTTGCTTTCTTCTAATACAGTTGTGTCCTACTATGTTTTGGGGTTTTCTCTTCTGGCCAATGCAAGACCCATTATTTATCTAAACTCTGACCCCTAACCGTAATCCCTATGCCTGTCTCATTACAGAAGATAAGAACTATAAGATATTAAAAGCCATAAAAAAAACCCAAAAAAACAACAATTGTAAATGTATTCTAAAACAAGAGGCACTTTAGCAACTGCTAGAAAATTACATAAACAAAACTGTTACATGCTGGTAGATAAAATCAATTAAATGTAAACACACTGCTTCATGTAGTGATAATTAAACATGGTGAGCATTTTTAATTCTCCCTTCACATCACAGGTTACGAGAGACTAAAACAGCAAACAAACAAACAAACAAACAAGCGCAAATGCGCACAGATGATTACTAATAATTGTGCAAATTAATTTAAAGGAAACAAGGTTTTGAAAATACTGTAAAAAAAGAATACAATTTATGAACAACAAGTCATTAAAGATTATGAACACCACTGTAATGAGGTGAATTCCCAATTGAGGGTTAAGGTCAGAGGGCTGGGGAAACAAGAGAAAAGGGAGAAAAGCATGTCTCGATTATCCCGAGTTTTGTGGTACAGGAAAAGCATGACTGGAACGGGAGGTTTGAACGGAGAGCATCAGTTGTGTTTTAACCGTGTGAGAGGTAGGCTGTCTGATGGTAGGTCTGAGGTGAATGTCATTGTAAACCGGAGGACCAGCTTTTTGAAAGCTCGAGTGCCTGAGGAGAACTGATTCTGAATGAAAATGTCTAGTGTTCTGTGAACATTTGTGTTAGGATGATTCAGATGCCAATACCCAAGCATATGGAATGTTCTGACTGGCAGGTAACTGCAACCATTGTTTAACTGTTGTCTTGTCATGGGAGACTGTGGTGAGCACGTGGCATCAACTAGGGAGAACTGTGGACATCGACAGTATGACTTATTGTTGTGCCACAATAAATGATATCAATGTTATCATTGTGTTCTGAATGTACCTTCATGTGTACTGATTTTACATCTTGAATGAGGGACGCAAAAGATCAAACAAGTAGAACGAGCCAACACCAACAACATTGAAATCACCTTTCGAGTGCCCATTGGTGCATAAAAATAAGTGTCTAGACTACAAGCATAATGTGCCACTGGTGCATAAAGATCCTGGACTTTTACATGACCTCAAAGCTGTGAACAATGTGTTGTAAGGTCTCCATGACTAAGATGGTGTAGAGAGATCATGTTGTCAGTATTACACTGGCAGTCAAGTATCTCATTGTTAAGATTACTCTGAGCCACACAACTCTATCACTCCTGGAGATGAAACCTTGGACCTCTTGTTATTAAAGGAGTTTTCTGATCGCCATCAATTTTTGATAATATGATAAACGAAGCAAGCAACACAACATGTTCTGTGGTTGTGAATGCATCTGGTTGCCCAGGACAGACTTAGGACAACACTTCTCAATGCCAAACTGTACGGTCACTAGAGATAAATAAAGACATTATTAGGTATTAAATGTTGTAACTTATGTATTCACACATTTAACAATATAACATGTTATTCCAGTTGTTTTTTTTCAAGTAGGTGGAGCCCCATCTGTGTAATGCAACATTGGTGAAATAGAGTGATGAAGATTATTGCCAAAGGTACACTGATATTCATCCTCACAAACAGGTAACAGACAGAACAACAAGAGCAGTAACAGAAACAACAAATACAGTGGTAATGCTGCACGGATCACACGCATAAACAATGCTGTATGGCCTGCATGCTTCTTGTAATATGAGGCCATCACTGATCTTTCAGGTTCTGTATCCAAACTGTTGAAACAAAATTAAATATAAAATAAAAATGTATGTAATTAGTTGCTGACAATGTTATAAAAATACAAATCAAAACTTTCAAACTAAAAGTCAGTAATATGCACATGTGATTTGCAATCATAATGATAACATTCTTTGGGCTTCTGGTCTCTTAGATAGTTCTTTTCATCACAATGGTTAATTGTAAGCACACTTTAAATTATCCCCTTTTCTGCCATAACACAAAGCCAGTAAATATGTCAGTATCAAGAGAAACACAAGTGAATTTGTGTGGGTTATATGGCCTATTACAGGGAAAACAAGAATAGACCCACTGCCTTCCCAAAAGCTTGTCATAAGCGTCAACTAATTGGGACCTTCCTTCGAAGTCGGAGTGCATCTGCCTGAGAGGCAAGGAACCCGCTGTCTGCATACAAATCAGTCAGATTTCTAAACGGATGCACATGCAATACCCAGGTTCTGGAACAGGACTACAGTCCAGAAGTGGATGAAAAACCAGAATTTTCCGCCAGAGTTTACAGCAGGTGAACGGAAAGAAATAGAAAGAAGAAAAAGACAAGTGAATTAACAATAACAACTAGCAATGAAAGCATTAAAAATATGATACTTTTTTATTACATGGATTCCATAATTGACAACAATGGAGAATAATGTGAAGACGTTAGAAGGTCATAGAAATGCATAAATTAGACAGTATGAAAACTCTAAGCCACAAACTCAGTAAACAGGCAGTACAGATGTTGAGAAAATGCGTCAATGCCCACACAATCCTTATGAAATTTAAAACAATACTAATTAACAAATATGTCATGACCTTGAAACCCAGGCCTTACCAACACGAGTGGATCAGTCATAGCTATGACAGTTTGGACATGTATGCAGCATGGGAGACCAAGAGCCAGGGAACCAGACCACCAGGACGACCCAGGGTTTGCTGGAAAGACAATATCCGACAGTCCCTGATTGACAGTGGACTTGAATATGACAAAGCCAAAAAGGGAAACTGCTGATAGAGAAGTCTGGCGATCTCTTCAGCAAACTTCTAAACCTCAAGGTAGACACAAAATGACTCAGTAAAGTACTAATTATCAAGCATACACAGCAGTTCTGCAGTTCTAAATTAACAAAGAAAATAGGTATAAATTACTTGTTTTTTTCTTGATTTCTGATGTGTAATGCAGGAAACAGAACTCCTGATAAGGGCTGCTGATTTTAAAAAACAAAACACACCCAGAATGTTATCAAGCTTGGAATATGATACATTCAATTAATTTAAATCATAAACAAATAAGTGTAATTGAGTTGAGTTTCACAGCTCTTGGGACATTCCCATCTATGCTCTGTTCCTATTTTCAGCTGCCAGCAAAGAGTTCCAACTCCTGATGTTGCATGCTGATTTGGGGGAGTGTAATATTGTGTGAAGGGACAAAGTGGTATGATAGTACTTTCTGTGAGTTCACGGGGAATAGTGCCAACATGGGCCGAGTATTGAGGGGGAGAGAATGCTGACCAGTAAAAACATATCATCATGAACGATGCGTGCACGCACGAGAAAGTAGAAGCGTGTATTTACTGTGTGGGGGCTGACAAGCATGGATAACGAGACCCGCAGAGAAAAGGTGAATTACGTGACAGAGTGATTCTCATGTAACATCAGCCACCCACATAAGCATGATTCTCCAGAATGCCCACATGAGCCTGAGTCTTGAGAAAACCCACATGAGCATGATTATTGCGAACGCTCACATGAACGTGCCTCTCGTGTACACATCATCCGCCCACGTGAGGTTGACAGGGATAAATTGAGGCTGTGTAGACAGTCCGAGTCAGTGAGCTGTAGCCACAGGGCTAAAGCACTGGAGAAGTGCGGGTGTAGTACACACCCAGCACGAGAGTGCTGCGAGGCAGTCAGAGTCCGAGAGTCAGAGCAAGAGAGAGTGAGAGAGAGAGAGACCAAGTCAGGGTCAGTGATTATCTCTCTCGAGTATAACAGAGTACTGTACAACTATCAGGCATCAAGGCCTGAGTAAGGGTTGAGGTTGCGGTACCGGTCGAAGGTATAGTCCCGCTGGTGAAGTAAGTCCAAGGGGACGGGATGCTCCAATAGTACCTATTCTGGGTGACGACGTGAGGAGACGTAGGGTCACTACGGAAACAGAACAGGGGGGATGCCGACGAGAGCTGTTTGCTAGAGGGGACTTGTGTTAGAAGTCCTGTCGGTCATAAGAGTCCTTCCACAAGCTGACGTGCTGTGTGCTTTTGGAGAACGGCAAGGGAAGTCCGTCTCCAGTAGCCGTGGTTGTCTGCTGAAAGAATATCAAGATCCAGAGGATAGGAAAATTCGTCCTATTCAGCTGTACGGTGAGCCCAGCATTGTGGGACGCTGTAGACCTTTGGGAGCTTAGTGGTCAGGGAGAGAACTTGCTACAAGTTGAGAGAGAGCGAATGAGAACTAAATGGATTATGTGCAAATGTCAACTGGGATCAATGTCTACGTCTCTGCAGTTTTGTTCATGTGAGGGTTTCTGCATCTCCTCTTGTGTTCTGTCAAATAAATATGCTATGTGACGGAATTATTGTCGCCAAGTCCTGCTTCGAGAGTGAGGGAGTGAAAGTTACCTCTTTACACACTTGGAAGTGTGCTGATTAGTGTGTAACTCAGATAGCACACAACAATATGAACTTTATATACTGGTGACAAAAAGAAGCACAACACTATTGCAGTTTTAATGGACAGCCAGCTTCAAGTTTGTACCAATATTTTATCTGATGGAATTAATGTTTTAATCTTGACAAGATGTTTATTATAATTTAGTTTTAACTTGTATTCTTTGTGACTGTGACCTCCAGTCCAGTATGATGTATGGCATTCTATGGCCTCTATTAGAGAATGATATTTCTTTGGCACTGATTTGATTAGCTTCTGCATCTCTTGTTGTTGGATGGCTTCCCACTTATATAGCAGAGTTCAAGAGAATACTGTTAGAGATTGGCTGGAGCTAAATTTTGCTGATGGACTTGTTATATGTGTTATATGGTGTTAATGTCTGATGACTTGGTCAGCCAATGAATGGTCTGGATGTTACTGTCAACAACAAAACTGGGTGGTGAGTCATGCCTCATGAGCTCTAGCAATATCCTGATGAAAGATCAACTCATGCAACCAGAAGTGGATGTATATGAGGTTGAAGAATTTTAATGACACATCAATGGGCATTCAGGCATCCTTCGATTTGCACAAGGTAACTTCTTTTCATGAAGCTGATCGCTCCCCATATCAGCATACCTCCACCACCACGTAGAGGAGCCTCCTCCTGGTAGTTCTTGGCTATATGATAAACCCTTCTCTGTCTAGCATGACTCTGAGCACAAAGAATGGTTCTTCACTAAAGTTCAAACTCTTGTCCAGTTATTTCCAATAATGATGCCGGTTTGCCCATTGAAATCACTTCTAAAAACAACTAGGAACTAACAGCAGAGGAACTAGAACCTGATATATAATTAGATTAAGTAGAATATGTCATTCATACCGCCCCTAGACAAAAGGTGACAGGCACTGATTATCTACCAGCTGAGGCCATCAAAACAGCAGGATAAGCGGGAGCAACATGGTTAAAGAGAATATTTCAGGTGGTTGGGAAAATCAAGAAACACCATCAGATTGACAAACTGTGTGTCATCGTCCCACTATGGAAAAATAAAAGAAGTAAGAGGAACTATACTAATTACAGAGGAATATCGCTTCTCAGTCACTCTGGGAAAATGTATGCTAAGATCATTGACACAAGGCTGACCAATGATATAGTATTAACTTTCTGGAGCCCAGATGGGCTTTTGACAAAATAGAAGTTGCACAGATGCCATTTATACATTGAGACAACTATCAGAGAGAGCAATATAACACCATAAAATCTGTTTGTTGACATGCATAGACCAGGAAAAAGCCTTTGACAGAGTCAACATGAATATGTTGTGGGGATGTATGGGGGAAAAAGGAATCAGCAATCATCTCAATATTTACAAAAGCCTGTACACACGTTGTAAATGCTGCATTAGATCAAAGGTGGGATTGTCAAGAACTTTTATAGTGAACTCTGGTGTGCGTCAGGGCTGTGTACTGTCGCCACTTCTATTTATAACATACATGAAATTTATGTGAAAATATGAACTTTAATCATAAAGAAGATATTACAGAATTACTATTCGCCGATGCCCAGGTACTCATAGCAGAAAGTACGGAATGTCTAAAGAACCACCTAAATCAAATTAATAACAAAGGGGAGGAATATAATATGAAAATAAACACTACAAAGGCAGAGACAATGGTGATAGAAAGACAGAAAAACAATTTAGAAACAACGCCTTAAGACAAACAGAGGAATTCAAGTATTTGGGAGCAATTTTCACATCCGATGGCACTGGATGGAAAAATTAACTCGATATGTGCCAAAACTAATCAAGTAATGGGACAATTATCTCCTCTGTTGACACACAAGCAGATACCCTGGAGTAATAAAGTGATTGCAGATATCGTCAACGCTGAACGTACTGGGCTAGTGGATAATGACCAATCCCTGACACTAACACGATTGCGTGACATGGGAGTTGAGCATGGTGAAGCACTTCTTTGCCGTCTTCGAGGTTGAGAAAAGAGACAATATAACCAGCTTCCCATGGGGACAATTAGTAGAAGTACTTTGGAGTGGCTGCTGCTTCGGAGGACTGCGCACGCATGGGTATGCCGAATGTGCAGTGACGTCAATTGTGATAACAAAACACAAAATAACATTTTGTAGGAAGTCGGCATTCCGAAACTCAAGTTCAAGGTGTCTCCTTCGTGCCAAAGAACTGCATGGCTGTTAGGTGAACAGTCATTAACGAAGGCAGTCAGGTCGTTGTAGGGGCGACACCTGCTGGTGGATGTAATGTCCTAGTCCCTTCCCCAGCTAATAGTGAGGGTACTGCTGGGGCGACCATTTATTAACCCTCACATAATGCTTCAGGTCAAAATGGACGCTAGGCACGGCCACTTTTGTTTTTTTATTTTTTTTTTAGCCGTGGCAAATGTTTTTTAAAATTTTTTTTTTTTACTTCTGCCAGGCGGTGGCCGTCACATTTTTGCTCCATTTGTAGACTGGAAGGATATAGTTTCGTCGCCCAGCTTCTGAGTTGAGTGCATGGTGTGACACTGTGAGCTAGTGTGTTTTTCGTTGCCACAGGAGCGGAGCAACTATGGGGTGACCCGTTTGCTATGAAGCTGAAACTAGGATTACTAGATTACCAGATTACCAGAATAAAGTGATTCTTATCATAACTATTTTTTGGCCAACACTATGCTATCAGTGCCAGACATGGACACTTACATCCTCTAATGAATGTAAAATTGTGACAACAAAGATGAAATGCCTTAGAAGAGCTGCAGGAGTTTCAAGGAGAGACGAATGCTAGGAATAAAGCCAGTCTTACATGTCATCAAAGAACAACAAATGAATATTAGTAAGAACAGTTCATCAGACTGTAATTAAAAGTTTATAAAACATAAAGATCTCTACAAGATTTGTTTCTACAAACAGAAAGTTGAACACGACAACACATGTTGATCACTGGTGATCAAGTCACCCAAGTGGACTATAAAATGACAGCATTTTGAAATAGTGGAAGACGTTCGGTGTACAGTGATGAGGAAATATGAGAATATTTTAAAAACTGCTTTCATGGAGAACATGAAGAGGTTGAAGATACAAATTTACTGATCAAAAAATATATTCTGGAACATAAAAACAAATTATACTCATATATAAAGTGATACATGTTTAATAACAGTTGCCTTAAACCTGTTAGGCCACCCTTGCCTGTGGGATATTGCCAACCTGCTGCCTGTACGTTGCTGCGCACCTGTTGCTTGTATGCTGCTGCCTGTGGGATATTGTCAACCTGCTGCCTGTACGTTGCTGCCCACTTGTTGCCTGTATGCTGCTGCATAATGCTGCTGCCTGTGGGATATTGTCAACCTGCTGCCTGTACGTTGCTGCCCACCTGTTGCCTGTATGCTGCTGCCTGTGGGATACTGCCAACCTGCTGCCTGTACGTTGCTGCCCATCTGTTGCTTGTATGCTGCCGCCTGTACGTTGCGGCCCACCTGTTGCCTGTATGCAGCTGCATAATGCTGCTGCCTGTGGGATATTGCCAACCTGCTGCCTGTACGTTGCTGCCCACCTGCTGCCTGTATGCTGCTGCCTGTGGGATATTGCCAACCTGCTGCCTGTACGTTGCTGCCCATCTGTTGCTTGTATGCTGCTGCCTGTACGTTGCTGCCCACCTGCTGCCTGTATGCTGCTGCCTGTATGCTGCTGCCTGTATGCTGCTGCCTGTATGCTGCTGCCACTGCTGCCTGTATGCTGCTGCCTGTGCTGCTGCCTGTATGCTGTGGGATATTGTCAACCTGCTGCCTGTACGTTGCTGCCCACCTGTTGCCTGTACGTTGCTGCCTGTGGGATATTGCCAACCTGCTGCCTGTACGTTGCTGCCCACCTGTTGCTTGTATGCTGCTGCATAATGCTGCTGCCTGTACGTTGCTGCCTGTATGCTGCTGCATAATGCTGCTGCCTGTATGCTGCTGCCTTCCATCTGTAAAAGCTAGTTACCAGCAGCTGTGTCCCCTGATGACATACTAGCATGCAATTTGATGTCTTCACCCTGTTTGACCTGTATGCCTCCTTGGACTGTAATTTCCAAATCAAAAAAATAAAATATGTTTTGATTTAATTTCAGGTAATTTTTTTGGACTCCATGAGTATTTTATGCTGACTATTTTAATTAGTGTCTGAAAATATCCATGATTACTTTCCATAGCAAACTTTTATGTTAGCAATATTCTCCATGTTTCATGCAACTGTAATAAATTCTTTTTTGTTTACATCATCTTGCATTTAATGTACTCAGTTTGATAAATTGTTGAAGTGAAGGTGTTTTATATTTAGTAAACTCATTGTTGTTCATCGAGAGATCAGGTGATATACTGCTATCCCAGCTTACCTTCTGCTGGATGTCACCTTTGGCTGATAAGGCTGATTCAAGTCTGGTTAACTTGACATCACAGTCATCAAGAGATTTCACCTGCTGATGAAGTAAGATGTCTATCCTGGATGATTTCTCAAAGTCCTGTCTTGCTGATGCTACAACAAACATATCATACTTCACAACCTTATTTTTTTGTCACAATATATATAGATATACAAAGGGAATAATCAATTTACACGTACAAAGTCAAGTATTAAAATACATTACTCAGGGCCTAAAAAATATGTATCGGGAGACTCATGTCATGACCCTGTGACCTCTATCACTGATGCTTAACTCTTTGAGTCCCAGGGGGTTTAGCATCACAGGCCCAAGAGGTAGTCAAGAGGGAGAGAGACGTAAAATCGGTGCATCTTGCGTTCATTGGGCTTCTAGGTAGGAATCTATGAACGTATGATGCGTTCCTTGGGACTCAAAGAGTTAAGGAACAATTTGACATCAACTAGGCTTTTACAAAAAGCCACGGGGGTCACAAAGAAACCCATCTAAATGCTATTACACACAAGAACCAATGGTATTTAACTACCCTTTTCGAGAAAAGGTCACTCCAGAAATAGCTCTATATCAGCATTTACCGGGTGTGTCACAACCAAAGTTATTTATTTAGTTAGTTAATTAAAAGATTATACTCATCGTACATTGAAAAAGTCCATAAGCGTTGGGATCCATCTTGGCGACTGATAACACCAGTTCTTTAGCTACATGCATAGTGTTAATGTTTGTCAATACCTCTTTTGACCTGAAGTTCTTGCAGTCTTTTAAATGTTGCTGATTCAATGTTGTCTCCCGAATCATCTTCTCATCCTGCCTTCTTGACAGCATTGAGAACAGTAACCTGGTCCATTGCTTGTCCTTTAGCTACCGTGGTCCTGCCAAGTAAGCAATCCACTTGTTCATTCCCTCTTATCCTAGAGTGCCCTCACACAAAAATTAAACTGATTCCTATCAGAGGAGACTTCCTTAGAGACTTCAACCATCGTCTTTGAACCCACCCTGTCTTGATCTTCTTAAGCATGCTTATGAAATCACTTAAAAAGCAAGCATGAGAAAAATTCTTTGTCTCGGGTCACATCATTTCTTTTCTAACCGCCATCACCTCCACCGTCAGACTGCTTGAAGTTGAGGCAAAAGAACTGATATATTCTTTAACAGTTCTTTCTCTAACCTAAATAATGAAAGCCCATAAGTTTTGTACATGTCAAATGGTGGATTCCATCAGTATAAATAACTGTACCTCCATTAGCATAATTCTCAAGAATCAAGGCTTGAATTTCCGCCTCCACCACCAACAAACTTTGCTGTCTGCAGTCTCTGTCCAGTTTTTTGCACACTACTGCAAGTCCAAACATACTACGACCTGATGGCCAAGCTACCATGCCTGCAAGTACAAACATACCACTACCTGACAGCCAACCTCCAACTACTGCAAGTACAAAAATACCACTATGTAATAGCCAACCTCCCTCTACTGCAAATAGAAACATACCACTACATTATGGCTAAGCTCCCAGAATTACAACTAGACGTCTGCCTGTTAGTGTCTGAATATTTATCTCCTATGATTCTAATGATGAATCTTCCACTGCCCATGATAGCAACATGACCCTTTCTGATAATGCAACTTTCACCAGTGCAGGCAAAAACTACCCACAATACAATCTTCAATCATCCTCAATTTGCGTACATGCATAATCTGACAGCACTTGTGATTTGTATTAGAAACTTACCTTGCCCATCTCTGCTGTCCCTGCCTGCTTCTCTATTTGGACTCGCAGGTGTTTCAAATGATGGAGTTGAGCTCATATTTGGTGACCTATTAGTAATCATTGACAAATTGAAGTTTCTTAATGTAAAGAAAGATTTGTGTATTATTGTTAGGCAAGTCAAATGTCTCAGCTCCGCCTGAGATGTGGCATCAGCATACATCTGCCTATTGACTTTAGCAGATTCTGACTGAAATTTTTTTTATTGTTTTCATGTATTGTGCTGGTCGGCTCTGAGGCTAAGTCGATGCGAAAGCTTTGTAATGCCAGGATGCCGGGTTTGATCCCAGCTGCGGGCCATGCGCCTTGCGTTGGTTTTGACAGTGGTATCAAGAAAGCCGACCGTCCAGAAAGCAATGGCAAACTACTGGACATAAATTTGTCTAGAAAAACCACACAACAGCCAAGGGCTGTTAGGGTTGGTTCTGCCACGTCCTGTAAAGGATCTTTGAAGCAGTTTTGAAGATACCCAAAGGAAAGTTATTCTTAACCAAACTATGTGTGTACATGAGTTAAAATGCATATGTATGCGAGTGTAAGTTCATGAGAACATATGCACAGAAAACAACAATAAAAGCATGTGCACCTGTATACGTGTGTGTGTTTTCTCTCTCTCTCTCTCTCTCTCTCTCTCTCTCTCTCTCTCTCTCTCTCTCTCTCTCTCACAATATGTTAACATTCTACAAGGAAATAAATGAGGTTTTCTGAAAAGTACCCCAGTCGATGTCCTGGTACCTTGTATGCAAGAGACATTTCCCTGCTTTACATTCTGAGTTTTATCTATCTGGTCAGAAAGTCTTTCATGAACCATTACCAGTCATAAAGCTGCCACCCATTCTCAGATAAGGTTTATGGCAAAACAACATTTCAGTTCAGAAGGAAGATTTACTCTGCCATATTTTTTTTAATTGTAAACTTTTAAAACTGGCTATCCTTAACTATTTAAGTAGCAGGCAGGATTTACTTGTACTTTTTCGATTCTAAATTGTTGTTGCTTTAATTAATAAATGCCTGGATCTGAACAGGATCAAATAATAACATTAAAGGACAGATACAGTTAAAGTATAATTGCAAGAGAATGAGTTTTTGTAACAACAGGATGGGACACAGTGAGTTAAAAGAAAATTACATCATGACACTTAAAAAAAAAAACACAGATGCTTGTTATGGAATGTGTCAAAACAATAAGATATAAACAAAATTATGATAAAACAAGTAAATAGTTAGGGTTACACATAGTACTTACCTATTTATTCTCTGTAATGTGACAGTGCATACATTTTGCCAACGTTTCACTAGGTTGTTCATGGTATGCTGCAGGGTAATGCACTCAGTTTTTGTGGAGCACACATCAGGATTACGAAGCAGAACAGTACATAAATTTAACACAGAAGAAACATCCGTGCTGTGATGTTGAATATCAAGCTGTAACTCCTAAAATAGTATAAAAATGAGTTTACCCATTTACAGTCAAATACAGATGAAACAATAAATGAAATCAAATATAACAATCACTAAAATGTGCCACCAAATATAATGAGTCTCCAACACTTTCTGTCCTGCGTAGATGTAGTCATGCAGGTTTCTTTCAGTTTACCTACTGATGTTGTCTCTCTTCATGAATCATTGTTGCCCAACCTATGAAGAGCAAATGCAGAAGAAGAAGACAAAGAAGAAGAAGAAGAAGAAGAAGAAGAAGAAGAAGAAGAAGAAGAAGAAGAAGAAGAAGAAGAAGAAGAAGAAGAAGGATAAGAAGGATAAGAAGAAGAAGGAGAACAAGAAGAAGAACAAGAACAAGGAGAGAAAGAAGAAGAAGAAGAAGGAGGAGGAGGAAGAGGAGGAGGAAAAGAAGAAAAAGAAGGATAAGATGGAGGAGGAGAATAAGAAGAAGAAGCTCAGACCTTCATATGTCAATGGGACATCCTTGGCTACCATGGCAGTGACCACTGCTAAAGAAATGCAAACTACTAAATCATCTGATACAAGAAACCTCGATCATAACCTCCATTGTGGAATACGGAAGTAGAGAAATGCTTGCAGGCAAAGAGACAGGCAGTCAAAGAGACAGGCAGTCAAAGAGACAGGCAGTCAAAGAGACAGGCAGTCAAAGAGACAGGCAGGCAAAGAGACAGGCAGTCAAAGAGACAGGCAGGCAAAGAGACAGGCAGTCAAAGAGACAGGCAGTCAAAGAGACAGGCAGTCAAAGAGACAGGCAGGCAAAGAGACAGGCAGTCAAAGAGACAGGCAGGCAAAGAGACAGGCAGTCAAAGAGACAGGCAGGCAAAGAGACAGGCAGTCAAAGAATGGCAACAAGTGCGGAAGAGAGGCTGCACAAATGAGCTCAATACCTTAATTCAAATCATGAAAAAAAAAACCAGAACATTTCAAAACTCTAGCATGGGAGAGCAAAAAGGTGATATGGGAGGAGTTTTGTGAAAGAGTTAGTCTTGACAAATCCCTGAAGCTTTTCTGGTGCCTACAGCAATCTATGACTGGTATACCATGACAATATAACTTGACATGACAGGAACATGATGGTATTTGGCACAGAATGGATGAAAGCAAAGGTCTATTACTTTTCAACCAATTTTTTGCAGCAAACAAACCAGACGGATATTGAAAGTGGAACAAATGTGAAGGAAGCATTGAAAGATCTTTGTAAAGCTGTCACTCCTAAAGAAGAACTGTATATCACTGCAGATGAAATAAAAGACATCCTTAAAAAAAAACATAGCACCATGTTTAGACAGAGTCCAATATGAAGACTTTCTAAACTAACTGATGAGGAACTATCAAAACTTTGCAGTGAATACAACAGAAGCATAAGGACAGGCACAGTAAATGAAACATGACTTCATGGTTATTTAATGCCTTTGCCCAAGCCTGACAAAGAATCATCTTCTATAAGCAGCTACTGAATTATCAGTATGCAAAACACCATTGTAAAACTGCTAGAAAAAATAGTGGCAAGGAAAATTACTTATAAATTAGATTAAACAGGTGGACAACCATCAGCACTGGGAGGATATCAACCACAAAGAGATTCATGAAGTATTCATGCCGCCACTTTTGTGTACAATGTCTATGCAGGAGTGGTAACATGTGCTGTGATGCTAGACTTGAAAGATGCATACAACAAGGTTCCCTTTAAAAACTCATACACCAGCTCCTAAATATCATACGTCAGCTCCTAGCTCCTAATTTCCCCCACACTCGTTAAATGGATAGCAGCAGCACCACTCTTCAAGAGACAGGTTGCTTTCAAATGTGGAAGATGGATCTCTGAGTTAAAAACCATACACACTGGACCACCCCAGGGATCACCTTTATCACGTCATCTTCAATATTTTCACTATTGATGTGACCAAATGTCAAATCACAGGTGAAGGAAGAACACTCTGAAGGAAGAACACTCTCATATGCTGATGACATACTAGTGTACCACCAAGGCAAAAACAGGGGCAGAATTGTAGAAGAACTCCAGAAGAAACCAGAGCACATAGCAGATTGGTAGTCATCCTCTACCAGGGTTTGATCCTCTATGTCACAGAATATACACTGGCAATCCTCACCCTCAGCAAGAGACAAATTGACAAAATGGAAAAGGTACATAATGAAGCAATCTGCATAATATTTGGCTGCACCAAAGACAACTCATGTAGAGCAGTAAGATACCTACTAGATCTTACAGATATAAGCAGCAGGCTAGAAATGAGTCAAGTGTGTACCTACTTCAAAATCACTGCAGACTTAATACACCCACTGCATGATAAATTAAATACATGTAAAGGCAACAGACTTAATTGAGGCCAGTCTTGGTTGGACCATGCAGAGAGAGTACTTCAACGGGTGATTTCCCTTCAAGACATAAACCGTGGAGAGGAATGGATACCCATACCAAATGAATACAAACAGTACTTTGTGGTGGTTATCACCCTGACAAGACAGTGCCATGATTTGGCAGCACCAATTGTTGATGCATTGGTGGAGGAACACACATCACCAGAAGATGCTGTTATATATACAGATGGTTCTGTGATTCGTGAGAAGCAAAGTGCAAGGGCTGTCACAGCAAAAATCAAAGAGAAAGTCCTTAAGGAAGTTAGTGGAGCCTTTGCTTCTACCACCAGCAGCATGACAGTGGAGGTCATGGCTGTGACAAAGGCCCTAGAATGGCTAAAAACTTAGAAATTCACCAACGCATGCTTGATCATTGACTCAGTGAGCATGCTAAAGAAGATCTATCAGTGGCTCCATCTGATTCAGCATGCAAAAATAACCTTCATTTTTGTCCCAGGGCATGCTGGTGTGAAAGGCAATGAGAGAGCAGATGCTCTGGCTGGCAGTGTGACTATCAAGAATGGGCCCTCTATGGACAGGGAAGACATCATCAATGCCATATGATAGACTCAACGCTTTGAGGCTGTCAGTTTTGTGGAAAATGATTTTCACTCAATACCATGGTGTACCAATTGGAGCTGCGAGACAGGAAAACCATATGGGAGCCACCAGTCATTACATCAGCCAGAACAGAATGGAAGTTGTCAGCCTAAAAACACTTGGAGACATACTCAGGAGGAGATCAAAGTACTTATGGTCATGTCCGATGTGCGATGAAAATGATCTCTAACAGGAACTATGAACTATCAATGCCCTCTAATTCACTCAAAAACCTCTAGAGTAAAGGGCGAGTCTAATACACACCCAGCTACTCTGCTTAATGATGTCAGAGGTGAAGCAGTGAAAAAAAAATTTTAAATCACAAAATTATAAAAAGAGATGCATTAAAAGATATTTTATCTCTATACAGTTAAACAGATGATGTCATCAACTGCAAGGTATCTGGAGATGTTTTATTCTTTGGCCCCTTTCCCTAAACTTGTACCAAGTTGCCAAATCCAGTTACCACCACATTTAGCTCACTTCTTGGTTTCCCCATCTTGCTTACTATTAACCCTTTGGTTCTGAGAAGCAAATATTGTAACTTTGCGGCCTGTCACAAATTCATATATGGCAGAGGCTTTATGGCTCTGGTCCGTCTGCTTTAAGCCTAGTTAGTGACATTACTTCTGTTTGTGTCGGTGTAGTGTAGATGGTGGGAGTGGGGTGTGAGGCAGGCAGACATGATTATATTAAATGAAAATTTCACAAGGGGTTGCAACTGTGAAGATTGCTTGCACAATTTATTTAAAAGGCAACAAAATAAAATGACCTCATAAGCAAATGTACACTCATAACAGATTAGTGGGACAACAAATATGTTCGTGATGGTTCTTCTAAGAAAAAAAAAAAGGATATTTTGCTGATGGTGGCAGAATGTTACAGCAGTCAAAGTTGCACATAAAAAAAAAGAAATAAATGAACTATAACGGATGTCCTTTTACTCCTGGAGGTATGAATGTTTGATTTTCTCTTCATTGTCTAATAACATGATACACACAGGTATACATTCATTATATTCTATCCTATTCTCATAAACATTCATTACTCTCACAAAATCAGGGACAATGATAATAATTTACTAATTTTCATTATGATTATATATTTCTAATTTGGATATTTGTAATCTTCTAAAAGTCCACCCCGAATGGCGTTGGTAGTCATGTCTATCCACAACCTTCCATTTACTTTCAATCAACCCTGACACAGATGATCTTTCATGCCATGATGTCAAACTATCCAGCATCTGTTCTCTCTGTCACCCTCTGCCTCTCCTTTCCTCCAACTTCCCTACTGTCATGATGCACAGTTTTCTCCGTCTTATCACATGATTAAAGAATGTAGATTGTCTCTTTCTGATGCAGGCAATCAGTTCTCTTTGATTTTATTTGATGATTTTATTTGATTCAAGAACTGACATCACAGCACTCAGGGCATTCCAATAAGCGCTCTGTCCCCATCTTCAGCAGCCAGCGAAGAGTTCCGATACTAATGGTGCCAGTAGCATTCTGATTAAACGTCCGTCTTGCCTTTCTTCTGAGCCTCGAGCATCTGCCAGAACCTCTCCTCACTCCCCACTGCATCAATCTCACCAGACTGGTGATCCATCTGCTCCTCTGAACTGTACATGCTCTTCCACAAGGCACTAACCACGCCTGCCTTATCATGTATCAGTATTCCACCAAGTTGTGCAGAGCCAGCCAGCCTGTCCGCCTGTTCATTTCCCAACACACCAGCGTGCCCGGTGAAAAAATCCAGACAATACTCCTCAGCGAAGCATGCCACTCTGCATGAAGCATACCTATTCTAATCTTCCTCAGCATGCTTTCTGAATCAGTTACAATCACGATGTGTGTGTCGTGTTCTCTAGCCAGCAGAAAGCTGCAGTGACCGCCTCCACCTCTATTCTTACCATCAACTTTTGCTAAGAAGCCCCAAGCACTTCTTTTGCCTCTTGACACTGAACTGTCTGTGTAAATGATCAAATCCACTGAGCAAGCATTATCTTAAATTAATTGCTGAATTTCCACCTCTGTGGCACCTGCTGGCCAGTCTCTGCATTCCCGGCTTAGCGTGATTATGACATTACACAAGTCTGACTGTTCAGGTGGCACTTTGACCCACTCTTCTTCTCCCCTAATGTTCTTAAGGATGCAAACCTGTCTGATTGTGTCTTCTGCCTGAGCCATCCATGACCTCCCTCGTATCAGCCGCTGAACCTTAACTGCACCCAGAGCTTCATGCAGAGGGTGGTCTGTGTTTGCAGCTACCCTGAGATATAACTTCGCCTGCAGCACCTTGTGCCTACCTGCAACCGGCGGCAAACCAAGGATGTATCGCATACACACCACTGGGGTGTCTCTGGTGCAACCCAGAATGACCCGCATAGCTGCGTTCTGAATCTGCTCTAGTTTGTCCATCTGACTCTTTAAGATGGTAAGCAGTCCCAGGCCATAATCAACCACTGACAGGATCAGGTGCTGATATAGTGTGAAAAGCATTCTCTGCTCTATGTCAATTGCAGCCATAGTCTTAAGTGCACTAAGTCCTTTTTGGCATCTCGTCACAGCACTCTACACATGGTCCTTAAATGACAGGCTCCTGTCAAATGTAATTCCCAGATACCTCAGTTTGCTCTCTCTATTGACGTTCCTACCATCTATCGTGAGACTTGGGACATTAGCTTTAACGATTCTGTTGTCCAAAGAACACCACAAAACAGACGGCATTTCCGGGTGGACGACAGCCCTCATTTCTGTACACCACTCAGTCACCCTGTCTACTGTCCCTTGTAACTCCCGGGCTGTTTGTTCCCTCTCTTCCCCCTGCCTATATGCAAGTATATCATAGCAAAAGTCAGTATCCTTCCAACTCCTGGTGCCTCCAGGCTTGCAATCTTGCTCGTATACGCATTAAAGAGCACAGGCGAGATGGGGGATCCCTGTGGCAGTCCTGGGGCCAAAGTGCATGGTTCTGAGATCCATGAGCCCAGTCGGAGAGCAACCAGACAGCTGCAACCCAATTCACCAGCCATGGACTGACCTCCTTCTCCCTCAGTGCAGTCATTAAAATGTCGTATCTCACTTTGTTATAAGCATCCTCGAGATCCAGTCCTACCCTTATAGTTTCCTGTCTGTTCTGGAACCCTTCATAGACGTCGAAAGCAAAAGTGGCCGCATTTGCCCATATGTCCTTTCCTGGCCTGTAGCTTCCCAGACCTCTTGGGAGAAGCTTCCCCCTTTCCAAAAATTCTTACAGCTTTACAACAACTATCTTCTCCAAGACCTTCCCAAATGTGTTTTGTAGTGTGATGATTCTAAAGCCACTGAGCTTAGAATGATCTTTAAAAGGTTTTGTTAGTGGGATTAAATAACTGTGCACCCAGTCCTGCAGTACTGATGCTGTCTTAGTGCTCTCAGTTCTCTTTGTGAGTCAGCTTCTTTCGACATCTTCAATACTCTTTTTATCTGTTTAGGGTATTCTCATCATTCATCTATAAAACCACATACCTGCAGCCTCCAAATAAGTTTTCACTAATTTACTGTCTATGATTCCCTTCCATATATCAATATAGGGTTTATATAGCTTTTGAGAATTCTCCTTCTCATCTCAATTGACAAAGAAAGATTGCATAACATTTTCTTCATTTGGTAAAATGCTGTCTTTGCTTGAGCTATTTGACATTTAACTTCCTGAATACATCTTCCATCTGATGTTGTCAGGTACTTAAACATAACAACTTGTTTGAGGTTAATCCCATTTACTTTTATGTTGCATTTTGGAGGGTCAGTTTTCTTTGTAATTACTTTTACTTTTATTTTTCTGCTGTTTCACTTTCCGTTACAATAATATTCATCATTTCTGGCAGTTGTGTTTCATTTTCAGTGATTAAAACTATATAGTCAGCATATCGCAGGTTGTTAACAATATGCCCACCAACCGATATTCTTGGCATACCATGTATGGATCTAATTATTATTTCACTGTACAAACTGAATAAACTGGGTGATAGTACACATCCCTGTCTAATAAATCCTTGTTCAATGTTTTGAAAAGTTCCAACCTGGTTGTCAATCATTATGGCTGCTTCTTGTCGCCAGAATGTTTTCTTATTATTCTCAGATCTTTATCATCAATGTTTAAGGTTTCCAAAATTCTAATAATTTCTTCATGTTTCACTTCATCAAATACTTTAGGGTCATCAATACAGCACAAATACAGGATCCATATTTGTAACACTGGATAATTACTATAATGTCCACATGCTATATAAGGTGTTTCGTACATCAAACAATTACAAGTTACCCATGGACATTTAATATAATATATGAATTAATATTCCAGTTGACTCTGGTTTATATAAACTTAATACCACTCAGTTTACTGGTCACATGACAGAACGAACCTGACTCTCCTTAAATTTTTTCTCACTCTGGTCAAGTCCACATTTTATGAATGAAGTTCGCGTAGTTTGCTGATTCTCCACAAATGACAACCATAGGTTCAAGTTCTTCAAGTTGATTTTGAGCTGTCTCCTGACTGAAACTGTTTCTTGTAGTTTGTGCTGTCTAAACAAATATTACAGTTTGTAAATCTTAAAAAAAAAAAAAAAAAAAAATTAGATGCTCATAAAACATCTCACAAACAATTTGGAAAGAATACAGAGACGATTCTTAGTCGAATATCAACAATCTATTCTGCACTTACCTATCAACTGCCTAATTTACTCTCTTGTTATGCAAACAAACGAGTACAAAACTAGGATTCATCTGACTCCTTTAACCGGAATCTTGCTACAGACTATGACAGAAATTGTGTGTGCATTGGCAAGTCATGAGCAGCTTTCAAAAGCATGAGCAACATTTTCAACTTTAAATTATATACTTTTAAAACCCTAAAACTTTCAGCACTAATGCTATTTAAATGTTACTACATGTCAGTGAAAAATGGAAAACCATTGGAGACTTGCAATGAAAGTTTAAAACAAATGCTTGAGAAAACTGATGAAGGAATGAGTTCAAGAAAGATAAAGTAATAAGCAAAATGCCTGGACAACCACTGGTATTTACAGTTATAAGACAAAAATATGATGATATATTGAGCATATCGTGAGGGAAAGCAGACAGAGAATCACCAAACAGGTCCTGAAAAAGGAAACACATTTATTGAGGAAAAATGACATCTAACAGAAACTGATATGAACATTGATGAGAAAGGCCAAAGGTGCTGGAATTTATTCAAACCATAATATTAAAAAGATTGCACAAGATAAAACTGACAGGAAGAAAAGGCTGAGCCATATGTCATTTTAAAACAACACAACAGATGATGATAATGCTAATGACTCATTTATACGTGTAACATATCCATATCAGTAATGACAGTATAGTGCTCCCTTTCTGTTATTTTTGTCTGTCATGAATGATGAGCTCTAGCCACAATCCTTATCTAAAGTATTAGCATAGTGGGTAAATGGGGCTAACCTCACATATTTAGACCACTGCTGTTACTTAACTTAAAATTATCATATTACCCATAAATGTAGGACAGATTCACAACTTGGAAATCAAAGATGTAATCAATTCATTAGCAAACAGTAAGTCAGCAGGTGGTGAGGATATTATTGCAGAAATGCTTAAGGCAGCAGATGATATAACCGTAAGCCGTGTGAAAGATTAGTTTAATACAATATGGGCACAGGATAAAGATCCTAAATCAATGGAAGAAAGACAGAGAGGAGTAACAGGACTAACTGTTATAATGCCAAAGAAAAATAATCCTACTAGCTGTAACAACTCGAGAGGAATTACTCCGTTATCAGTAACACTTGGGAAGCATCTTTACACACAATGGTAAAATAGACAGAGAGATAGAAATGAGAATCCAACAAGCCAACAATGCCAAGTACCAACTTGCTCCAATTTTAAAACACCCAGCTATCCCAACAGAGACAAAAAGATAAATTGTAAATATAATCTTTATACCTACCTCAGGCTACCAATGTCAGACTTGGACACTGACAAAAGAATACAAATGAAAACTAACCACCTGGGATGTTTGAGAATGGCTGTGAAAAAAACTAGAAGAGATCGAGTGAGAAACAACGTGATCACAAGAGCTGTTGGAACAACACCCATCGTCAAATATATTGAGAAATAATGAATGAAATGGTTTGGCCATCTAATGAGAATGAAACCATCAATGCCCAGCAGCAAGAGCATACAACCTGAAAATTGAAACATCAAGAGGCAGGGGAAGACCGAGAAAAATATGGATTGAAGGAGTCACTGACACCTTGAGACTGCATAACATCCCGACATATCAAGCGACTGAGCGCACCCTGGCTCGGCTGCCGATCGTCAAATGAACTGCGACGAATAGTAGTATAAGCAGATTTTGACAAAAGAAGAAAGTAATGCATAATATGGTTTCTCAACTATTTCTCAGTATGATTAAAGGGACAGTGAACAAAATCCTGACAGAAAGAAAAGCAGGTGTTTAACATGGAAGAAGATGCTAAGACCAATAACTCCCCTAGGACTTATTTTAGAGGAATTTGTTGGAAAACAACCCCTTATTTTGAATTTCATTGACCTTTAGAAGGCTTTAGAAAGCTTACACAGAACTTTACTGGGGAGAATTTTGGAATGCTATGAAAGGCTCAGAGTGTGCTGTGCTAACAGATGATGGTTTACATGATTGGTTTGTAGTTTAAACTGGAGTTAAATAGGGATATATTATATCTCCCCTGTTATTTGGCAAAAGGAAACAGCAAACAGCCAAAAAATTCCACACAAAATCGATTCAACATCCAATGATCTGGAGCGCAGCACAGGGCCAGCCAAATTACGAAAGCAGACAATCGAGTGGAAACCACAACAAATAGAAAGCGACAAATACTGAACACAATCCAAAATCAAATGAGATCGAGACCAGAAACGTCACCACAAATATAGCAAACAGGAAAGAGAGCAGAAATGTGATCTGACCTAGCTGAAAGTGGTCAACGTAAGAGAATTAGAAAATAAGAAATTTGGCAAAACTATTGACTGGGTGATGAAACAATGCTGGGCTGACAACAGTGACATTGTCTGGGTGGAGAACACAAAGTTGGAAGATCCCGATTTTGCAAATTTTCTGTTATAAAAGAATACCAATGACAGGCATTTACACACATATAAAAACTCTAAACACAAAACAATGGAAGATTTAGCATGTATAGCATCAACAGTTGGGCTACAAATAAGTTATGAAAAGACATCAATTGAAAATACCAATAACAGATCAAGCAGATGTAACGTTAAAGACAAAAACAATCAAAAGTAACAGATAAATTTACCCATTTAGGTAAACTCCGATGGTCAAGAAAATAAAAAATAAAAAATAAATTATGACATAATGGCAGGGCATCTGCAGATTTTAAAAGCCCAAACAAAATATGGAACTCTGGCTATCCTCCGAATAACGGGCACAAAAGATGGCGGCCGCAAAAACACCCTAATGGAGCCTCAGTCACATGTCAATTGCGCACTTCCGGAGACTTAACTTGCGGTTTTCCGGCGATTACCGCCACTGCCGTGAGTGGCATGGGGGATACTCTCAGCGGTGGTGGTAGTGGCCAGAAAACCGCAAATTAGGTCGCCGGAAGTGCGCAATTGACATGTGACTCAGGTTCCGTTAGGGTGTTTTTGTGGCCGCCAACTTTTGTGCCCGTTATTCGGAGGATAGCCGGAACTCTAAATGTCAAAGTTTTAAAACCAAGTTATGTGTCTGAATTCTTATAATAATTCAATTTTAACATATGCCAGTGAAAGTTTAAGGAACATTAAAGACATGGAGCAAATATCAACTGCATTTGAAAACAAATGCCTGAGGAAAATGATGAATATAATAGGGGAGGGAATTAAAAAAGGTGAAGAAAAAGAGAAATTTATGGGCAACCACTAGAAACAATAGTTCTAAGACAAAGAAGATGACACACTACTGGAAACATCTGTGAGAAGAAAAGAGCACAGAATCAGCAAACAGGCATTGTCATGGGAAAAACAAGGTCAAAGTGATTGAGGAAACTAGGACATCCAAGAGAAAAAAAAAAAACTTGATGACATGTGGACGAGGGCAGAGCCAAAGATGCTCTACTGAATTCCATCACATAATATCAAAGGGATCGCACTGGATAGAACAGAATGAGGTGCAACTGAAGAACAACCTGACATACCAGTCTCTTATCAACAGCCACTGCCGTGAGTGGCATGATCAAATCTCTCAGCGTGGTGGTAGTGCCACCGCAAATTAGGCACCGGAAGATGCGCAATTGACATTATGACTCAGGCTCCGATAGGGTGTTTTTGTGGCCGCCATCTTTTGTGCCCGTTATTCGGAGGATAGCCGGAACTCTAAATGTCAAGTTTTAAAACCAAGTTATGTGTCTGAATTCTTATAATAATTCAATTTTAACATATGCCAGTGAAAGTTTAAGGAACATTAAAGACATGGAGCAAATGTCAACTGCATTTGAAAACAAATGCCTGAGGAAAATGATGAATATAATAGGGGAGGGAATTAAAAAAAGGTGAAGAAAAAGAGAAATTTATGGGCAACCACTAGAAACAATAGTTCTAAGACAAAGAAGATGACACACTACTGGAAACATCTTGAGAAGAAACGAGCACAGAATCAGCAAACAGGCATTGTCATGGGAAATAAAGTGATTGAGGAAACTAGGACATCCAAGAGAAACCTTAAAACATGAATGTGGACGAGAGAAGCCAAAGATGCTCTACTGAATTCCATCACATAATATCAAAGGGATCGCACTGGATAGAACAGAATGGAGGAACAGACTGCAGGCCTGATGTTTCATATTATGATACAACAGGATGACGCTGATGTTATAAATTAACTAATCACAGAAGAGGTCATTTTTCTCTAAAACTACAATATTCAGGAACATTTTAGTATTCACCTGTGCTTGCAAGATTATACCCACTGTGAAAGAATAAAGAAGCCTACATCTGTTGCTTATTAAACATTTTTGATACACTAGGACAAATAACAATTAACTGAAATTCATGTACTAGGTATAGGACAGTCAATTACCTGGCAACCAAGATGTCCTTTAATTTATGCCACTTGTCTTCAAGAAGCAAAAGTTTTAATTCAATGTCTGATGATTGACTTTCACAGCTGATCATAATCAACTGTCTTCCTTGTAGGAGAACTTCTTGCTTTTCAAGCTCTTTCTCTTGTAATTGTTGTTTGTATTCCTCAAATAAATAAACATATACAAATATGCTTATGTAATTTAGTCATGTCTTTTATTGTGTAAACGAAGTAGTCATGATTATTTCTGACTTTAACAAAACAAAAAAGACAAAAACAATATACAGTGGTAGATTGGAATCCGAACACCCCAAAATGCTGAGATGGCACCCTGATAGATTTCTAGTTAACAGGTGTGTTAACTTATTCAATTATAACATTACTGAAGATTTTAGAAAAATTAATAAAAGGTTGCTGACATCAGAGCACTTTGAAAGCTGGCTGTCAACAAAAACGAGTGTCCCCAAACCCTCTACAAGTGGTCAATGGCCACGATATGAAACACTGAAAAGGATTCCCTAAATCCAACTTCCTCCTCCTACTTCAATGTATCATAACACTATTTTGATCAAGGTACAGTAAATACAAAGCTTTTATATACACATACATATTTATTTATTTCTATTCAAATATGATCATCATGTGTTACTATATTTACAGCGTAATGTAACGAGACAAATACATTTAAAAATTTGAGTCTGTTGGATCCTGGAACACATTAATTTAGTTTCAATTGTTTTAAATGGGAAAAACTGCTCTGGAACTCAAATGATTTGGAATTTGAAACGTTGTCTCAGAATGGATCATGTTTGGATTCTGAGGTACCACTGTATTGCATAAATGGTTTCCAGGCATAGTCTGCTGAATCTCATCAGGTACATTCTACATTAACAATTGCAAATTATGAAGCAAATAAATGGATCATTCTAATCTTCTTCTTCTCTTCCACCTTGTACCTCATCATGCTAATGAAATACAAAATCAACTAAACGCAAGGGTCAGATTATTATAAACTGTCTATTTTAGCAGGACAAATACAACTTATTTGCAAATAACAACAACAAAGAAAAAAGCAAATCTTAAACGAAGGTTTGAAATGCAATGTCCATATTTACAATATGGGCAAAGTTCAAAATGTAGCGCAAGATGGATAAGGGGGTGATCTTTTTTTTAAAATTTACAAAGGGAAAACATTACTTTGATATTATTTTCTCAGTTGATTCAGTCTAGAATTTAGTTTTACTTCTAATGGAATCCTCTTTTCTATTTTTGTGTGTTTTCATGGTTTCATCATCATCATCATCAACCCACACTGCATGTCAGTGGGTCGCCACTTGCTGTTGACTGTCTGATCAGCTCCCTCCACCTTTGACAGTCAGAGGCAATGAAATTCATGGTTGCATGCTTAAGGCCTGTTCAGTCAGGCAAGTTTTGTATCCAGGTCTTTCTTGGTCTGCCTTTTCTCCTCTTCCCTCTAATACACCCTACTGTTTTTCAGGACCATTAGATCTAACTACATTTCCATAGATTTGCATTTTCCACGTTTTAACTCCAGTTAGAAGAGGTTTATAATTACTAGTATGCTGAATATTTAAACGGTGAACCTCTTAAAATATCTTTACAAGATATACAAAAAAAGTTGCCAACAAACTTTTATATCAAACTGTACCTGACACATCTGTAGCTTCTTGAAGACGAATACACTGCAAAGTTATTCCTTTCTCTAATGGTAACGAGGCCAATAATCTGACCCTAGATCTGTATCAGCTGTGTTGCCCAGTGATGTGTGATAAAGACTCCAGAATCATCTCTTTTTGTCATCCTCTGTCACTCTTTCAATAAAATTTTAAAGTTGTAACATTTTCCAGGTATTTTATCCTCATAATTTAGTCAGAAATTGGATGACTGATAAGTTATCACAACATTAAAGCCTATTAAACAAAATAACTCTTATCACTGCTATGATGTCATCTTACCAAAGAACCAATTCAAATCAAACTAAAGCAACTGCAGGATCATATTCCGACTTACAGACTTCATCTTGTTCAGTGAATCTTCTACAAGCATGTCCTTGTATGATCCTGCTTCTTCTATAAAGCTGTTAGTCCAGTCCATAATTGACTTCAAGTGCTCATTAAAGGTTGTCCATCTGTTAATAATGAAACACACAAAACAATAGTAATTGAATTAGTGTTATTATACAGTATAAACTTTGTTTGACAGCAACAGAAAAATTGCAAAACTTACCAAAACTTTACTTAATTTAAAAAAAAAAAAAAAGACAAAGAATTAAAAAAAGAGACAAGGAAAAAGATGTTGGCCACATTTAAAAGACATAACATTCTTATTAAAAAAAAACATACAGCTAGGATAAGTCAAAGGCAGATGAGCAAAAGTTTTGTTCAGAGTGCACACCCAGGGAGAGAGACAGTGTTGGGTATCCATTGCAGAAAACTTTCTTCATTGTGGAGACAACACTCAAATGATTGCTTAATGTGAAAAGACTCTAAGAACAGGCCAAATATAAGTTTGAACAAAAAAACCAACACAATAGAAACTATGATAAAGACTGATAGTTTCCAAGAACTACAAACGAGGATTAAGCAATACATCACATCAATAACTATGTACAGGTAACATGCTTAAAGCTGAAATACTACTGAGTACAAGTTAGTGAACAGTTGTAAATTCAAAAGCAATATGAGAATATATAGTCTTTACAATACACAAATGATAAGTAATATATCACACATTTGTATGCACAAATAGGACAATTAAAACTGCTTGAGAAAGATTCATTATCAAAAATAATATTGAACTCTATGTATCCCATCTATGAAGAATGTAGAATGGTTGACAATGGACACCAAAGGTAAATACCTTGACAGATCCTGTGTCACTCTGTGTTCTCTAAGAACTGTCTGCTGTTGCAGCTCCGCCCACTGCTTATCAAGTAATTGTATTCGCTCATGCAGAATATTAAAGCCCTCTCTTGGGACCAATTTAAAGATTGCTTTCTCCTTGGCTAGCAACTGTTGGTGTTTATGTTCTAAGTGTATGAAGCCACTTAAAGTATCCTGTAAACAAAAATTCAAAATAAAGCCACATTGTTACAATGTAAAAAAAATTACTTATTTGTAAAGGCAGAAATCTTCTTCTTCTTCTTCTTCTTCAGCATTCCGAGCCCTTGCTGCAGATATCACCCGCCTCCATTCATCTCTCTGGTTGGCCTTCTCTTTCCAATTGGTGACACCAAGTGTTTGCACCAAGGGTGCAGAAATGCTATATCAAATTTGGTAATGGCCAATGTAAAAAAAAAAAAAAAATTTAAAGTGACCCAGCTGTTTTGCACAGCACTAAAATACTGTCCAAGTTCTGCATTGACACAGCAGCATTGTAAGAACTGTTGCTCTGTACATTCTTTGCTTTATGTGCAAAGATACGTCATTTATATTCTAGATGGTGTAAAGTCTGCTAAAGGCCCTACACCAACCCATTCTAAGTCTTCCTATCTTTTACAGTTTCCTCAGCATCCTCCTCATATTAACTTTGTCTCTATTTCTCTCTGCTGTGTTTTTAGCTCTCTCTCTCTCTTTCTAACTCTCTCTATTTTATTTCATTGCCCTGTGGATTACAGAGGAATAATTATACTACGAACAGGTTGTCTCAGTGTGTGTCCCATTCAATGTCAGTGTCTTCTTTGCATGCTTAATTGACTAGAATTTCTTTAGTCCTCTCCAAGAGTTACATATTTTGGTAATTCTAACATGCCACATTAGTCCTATTATTTGCAGGAAAAAAAAACGAGAAATATTTATTAATGATATTAGGATGCAGTCTGTTGACTTGTGCAGTTTGAATGATCTTCCCCAAAAGAACTCTTCAATCCCTCGGTACAGCAAAGACAGCTCACATCAGAAAATCTGCATTATTCTGTTCAGGAACAGAGTACTGGTTAACCAGTCCTTGAAAATATTCATAGCTACATTTGTTCTATTGTTTTACCTGGAAAGCCACATCTGTGTGACTGAGGTACATTTTCTACCTCAGAAAATTGTAGGAGTTGTAACTTATCATTTAATGCCCAATGAGACATTCTAGCAACAGTCGTACCCTGCCTTTCAAGTGAAAGATTCCCTCGAAGTCGGAGTACATCTGCCAGAGAGGTGGGGAACGAGAACTGCAAACAAATAAGCCAGTAAAACGGATGTACACGCAAAACTCAGGTCAAGGTAAAAGCCAAAAGTCCATTTGGACGAAAAACTGCGACTTACCGCCGGAATTCACAGCCGGTGAACAAGAAGAAGAAGAAGAAGTGAAAGATACCCACTGTAATATTTTACTTACTTGACATCTAGCAAGGTCGATTAGCAGTTCCTTATGTGTTTTAGGAATGACCTTATGCAATACTATATGTGTACTTCTAAGCCAGATGAGTAAGTCCTCAATAAGTTTTTCACATTCTAGACACTCTTGGTGAACGCTATCCAGATGTAGCTGCTGTGCATCTGAAGAATTTATAACTGTGTATAAGAGCTGTCCAAGACTTGTTACAGTGTCCTGCAGTAAAAGAAAAGTTTAACACATATAGGCATTTTATATTTAAAATACTGCTTAATGTGCAATATCAAATCTGTAAAATAGAAATTAAATATTTATAAGAAACAATGATCCAGTGGGCACTTTCAGAAACACTAGATAAAAAGGCCGACCTCAGATAAAGTGGATACAAGACATTAAAGATGCACTGGCTATGAAAGCAAAGGGGGCTGAAGAATTGGCTGGTGAAAGAGAGACTTTCAGGTGTGCCGAGAAGAGAGCAACATTCAGTTAAGAACCTGCTGACTGATGTTGAGAACAAGAATAAGAGCAAGTAGAAGGATTATATAAGAAGAAGATTAAGAAGAATTAAGCTGACATTAAAAAATATATTTGTTACTCTGATGGAATTTACAAAAGAAGAATCCACAAGGTGGCTTCTCCATCTTAAAAACTCAAATGATGAAATAATTACCTCAATTCTGCTTGCTTCTGTTGTATCTGCATGTAGCAACAAAGTGTCTCCTAAGTCACATATTCTCTTATGCATGTTTCATAAAGCTGCAACTCCAGCTTTATATTCTAAGAAATTAGACAAAAGGGTGAGAAGCCATTATAATACTATAAATCTTTTATTTCACTTTTTTTGTTCTTTTTTTTTTTTTGTCAAGAGTCATTAGCACCATCAAATATGTACACCAGCAAACAAAATGGCTTCTATTAAGTCATTACCACATTGGGCAGAGAGGGTAATTTCAACAAATGATAGATGAAAATAGTGTCAGAGATGACACAACAATTCAGTGTATCAAGAAGAAATCTCTAGGTGGGGTAATTCTCAACTTGAAGACAAAGTAGTAGAGAAAAAGGCAGAAGAAGAAAAGAAACAGAATAAGAAGAGGCTGGTGAGCAAAATGGAATCTCAACTTCAAACATGAGGATGTAGAATCTCACAGGGACTAAGGCTGCTTGAGATAAGATGCCAACAAGATCAATTGCTGCCAATAATTCATGATCTGTTAAGTCTATGGACATAGCATTGTTAATGTGATCACCTATGAGCAAGGTCAGGAATACACTCAGCCCAGCAGGATATGGTTAACATACTACATGAGACTGCTCAACAATGTCATTACAAGTCACAGTCAGACAGACACTTGGTCTGCATAGAAATGACCCAGTAGAAAATCTCAACGTCAGACACCACCTACGTGACAATTATGGACGGAGCAAAATGATTCCAGGCTGTAGGATCCATGCTCCACAGAAAGTCCAAATTAAAAGTGGGTGAAGAGAAAAGAAAAATAATAGTAACCTGCTCTAAACAACCAGTTAGAAAGCTTACATACACAAGAAAACCACATCCCACCAGATCTTGTGGAAGGGCATGCAGATTTATATACAAATGTTCATGCACCCAGTCATAAATAAGTCTAAAACATTGTTGCTCACAGTTAATATGTGGGTGAAATGGCATCAAATTCTCAAGGTATAAAACAATGAAACAGCAGAGTGCATGCTGTTAATTGTTTTCTAGTCACGTTTGCATTCTCTGCTCTATGTCAATTGCAGCCATAGTCTTAAGTGCACTAAGTCCTTTTTGGCATCTCATCACAACACTCTTCACATGGTCCCTAAATGACAGGCTCCTGTCAAATGTAATTCCTAGATACTTCAGTTTGCTCTCTCTGTTGACGTCTCTACCATCTATCGTGAGCCTTGGGACATTAGCTTTAACAATTCTGTTGTCCAGAGAACACCACAAAACAGATCCCTTTTCCGGGTGGACGACAGCCCTCATTGTTGTACACCACTCAGTCACTTTGTCTACTGTCTTTTGTAGCTCCCGGGCTGTTTGTTCTCTCTCTTCCCCCCTGCCTATATGCAAGTATATAATCCGCAAAAGTCAGTATCCTTCCAACTCCTGGTGCTTCTAGTCTTGCAATCTTGCTCATATACAGGTTAAAGAGCACAGGCGAGATGGCGGATTTCTGTGGCAGTCCTGGGGTCAAAGAGCATGGTTCTGAGGTCCATGAGCCCAGTTGGAGAGCAACCCAACGTGAATACAGGACAGCTGCAACCCAATTCACCAGCCATGGACTGACCTCCTTCTCCTTCAGTGCAATCATTAAGATGTTGTATCTAACTCTGTTATAAGCATCCTCGAGATCCAGTCCTACCGCCATAGTTTCCTGTTTGTTCATAGACGTCGAAAGCAAAAGTGGCCGCATTTGCCCATATGTCCTTTCCTGGCCTGTAGCTTCCCAGACCTTTTGGGAGAAGCTTCCCCCCTTTCCAAAAATTCTTGCAGCTTTACAGCAACTATCTTCTCCAAGACCTTCCCAAATGTGTTTTGTAGGTGATGATTCTAAAGCCATTGAGCTTAGAATGATCTTTAAAAGGTTTTGGTAATGGGATTTTTAGATGTATTGCAGGTGTATTGGGCATATAGGGCTAGACCTATATTAAAAAGGCCCAGTCAGCACTTGGTTGGTGATGCGGTCAACATCACGCCAGCCACCTTTACTTTCCATGACTATACCTGGAACCCACTCAAGACTGGGTCAACTTGGGAGCTAAGGACATTTTTAAAAACAATCCGGCTCCATTAAGTCCCAAACCCACAACCTTCCGATCCACAGGCGAGCATCTAGTCGCTATACCAAGGCTACACCCTGTAGAATAAAGATAACCTAGAAATTAGCAATGAACATCTAATGAAGCAAAAACAAGTGCAAAAGAAAAACTACACACTAGCCAGATAAATAACACAAAGTTAGTTGCATATTCTCTTCCTGATGTTGCAAACCAACCTACCACTTGTTGGCTGTTTAAGATTTTGCTAGACAATGTTATGTTCAGTATTTGGCATTGCTTATGACAGTTTGAAAAAAAAAATTTCAGAACAGCTAGGAGAAAAATTATACACATATAATATTCTTTATCATCATCACCTTCTTAACTGGCATGGGTATTGATGCCCCTCTACAATTTACGACAGTGGTAGAAAGTGATAGAATCAGCTTCAGCTGGGGTAATGGCTAGATAGAAGTTAGTGATTAGTGATTAGAAAGGATTATCATCACAGCACACCGGATAGATCCATAGGTGCTCTGATCTCCTCCTCAAAAGCTCCACAAGTGTAAAACGACTGATGACGCCTGTTCTGTGTTGGTTAATAAAACATCTTGTTCCCTTAGTGAAATGTTCATTTCTTGCAGCTCCAGGCTGCACCCCCATGTCGATCAGTCTAGACAGGGATATGGAGTCGTCCTTTGGCGTGCTCCTCAGTACGGTAAGTGCAGCGCATAGCATTGATAACATCACTTCTGTCTAGTACTGGGCCAGCCATAGTAACTGCAGTGTCAGAAAGATAGTCTGCACACTCGTTTCCTTGAAAACCCGCATTACCTGGCACAAAGATGAAGGTTAGGGCAGATATTCGTGAAGTGCTTAGTGTTTCAATCTATTCTTGCCTGATAAAGCAAGCTTGGATTTTTTTAAGCATACTCATAGAGTCACTAAGAATGCATACGTGTGTGAACTTTTGAGTACCAAGCCATGCTAAAGCCCTTGTTACAGACAGTTTCCATTGTAAGGATACTAATTGTAACAGCAAAGGGGCCATTCATCTCCTTGATGGTTTTCCCCCTTGAGCTTACTGTGAAGGCCCATGCACTTTGCTTGCCCCTAATTACTGACCCATCTGTGTAAACTACAGCATCACCTTCATCTGTGTTTTCATAAATCAGTGTTCTGACTAAACAATGCCAGTAATCTGCTCTCTACAGCTTCCATCAAGTGTGATATGGACTGTAATATTATTGTTTGGAGAGGGAGGCATAATTATCCATTCATTTCCAAAATTAATGTCAGTAAGGCGGCAAACATGTTTGATGGCATCCTCAGCCCGACCCATCCAGGATTTGCCTCGTTTGAGTCTACTCCTTTTTTTGATTGAATAATTCCTCATAAAGTGGGTGTTGATGGTCTGACTTCGCTTTGAGGAAAGCAACAGACAGAAGTTATAGCTATCAAAGAAAAAGAATACTGCCTTAATGTTTATTAAAGGTCAAAGGCATTATTTTAGGACAAGAATAAGAATGTTACAAAAGATGTATCAGAGATAAAGAACAGAATAGGACAGGCTAAAACTGCATTTTATGAAATGAAAATTTTATGCAACAAATCTATGTCACCGGAGGTTAGAAAAAGAATTCTTGCATGCCAAATAGAGCCAGTTTTAACATATGGCTGTGAATCCAGGATAATTAATAAACAAACCAAACTATTTTTTTAGGCCTTGGAAATGTGGGTTTAAAGATGAATCCTTAGAATTCCTTGACAGCCAAAAAGAGCCACATAGATGCTTTGAAACAGGCAGGAGCTAGAAGATAACTTATCACAGACTTGAAAAAGAGGCAGTCGTCATTTTTTTAATCACGTTATGAGAAGAGGGAAATTGGAACAGAGTGTGATCACTAAAAAGATATGTCGAAAAAGAGACAGAGGAAGACAATACAAGAAGATTTTTGACAGAATTAATATCATAGCATTAAAGGGGTGGGGTGGGGGAGTTCCACACATGAACTGATGCATGCTATTGAAGATTGCAGATTGTGTAGAGACACTGTCAATGCCAGCTGGCAAGGCATTTGATGATATTGCACACATGCAAACACGCACATTTGCATGTGTACATCATCATAAAGTGCCTCAGAAACTGATTGGCTTGTTTATCAATTCTCCAGCATTTATATTAAAACTGGCTCTATTTAGTATGCAAGAATTATTTTTTCTAACCTCCAATGACACAGATGAATTTTGTAAAATGTTATATATATCTTCCATATATATATATATATATATATAGTTGATTAGTGAATCCTATGGAAGACTGAGTTTCAACAATGAGGTTTCATACATTAAAAGTTGTTTGACCCCATAGAAGACTACAATGGTTTTCATCTAGTGACTGAGGTTGGTATAGAGAATATTCTCCTAACCCACTGGTGAAGCATCATGCCCATAGAGACTGGGTTACATATTTAAATACACACATATATACATAGTACATTAATTTCTCTACTTTATTTCTTCTGGATGTATGATCCACAATTTCATTTATTTTATCCTTATGGAAGTATTAGAATTTCCTAAGAAACATTATTAAACACAAATGTAATATTTATACTATTATTTTCCTACCTGGATCCTCTCTCGCGAGACTGTTATCATCTGTAAAGAACTTATATCAGATTCAAAGTTCTTGAGGACATTTTCTTTATCCTGCAGCCAATTTTTTAACTGCTGACAAAGTGCACTAAACTCCTGCCACTGAGAAATCAGCTTTTTAATAAAAGCTTTTCTCTGATTGGCTTTTGTGCACATGCTCAAAAACTGTTTAACCATCCACTTAAGTTTCTGATGAAATGTCTCATCTTCTACTTTTCCTGCTGTGATCATCTTCTCTCCATCAGTGATAATATCATGCAGCATATTTTCTCTGGCAAGTATCTCACTTTCACACAGCTGTAAAGCAATACACAAATACAATATTAGTTTTGTCCACTGTGACAAATCTTTTTAGTACAGTGAAATAATGTTTGAAGTAGGCCACATCTGTAGTGAATGGGTGCAAAATTGTTAAAATCAATTTAGTTGCCCAGTACATAGATTTTGTTGGAGACAAAGGCTTATGAAGTGAATCATAAACATACCAGTGGAAGTCAAGGGGAAACCACCGCTGTATTTTCCAAGTAAATCATGCCTTTAAAACAATCAAATTCAGATAACAATGTTAATAGGGGTTTTTATGGAATCACCTCATCCGGCAGGGAGCAGCATGTTCTACAGGTGATACCCGACCTAATTCAGCTTCTGTAGTGAAAAAAAATGTAAATAACATCGCAAACATTATAACATGGAAATGTAAGAACACTTGTACAAACTGGAAAGCTGGATAAACTCTTTGGGATATTTTGGAATTGATTTATAACAAAATTATTAATTACTTCGGATACCCCAGGTGGTAATCGTTTTGTCCCTGAAAAACTTCTCATTAACCCTCTCATGGTGACACTTTCATGTGACTATCATTTTTGTTCCTTCATTTCTATTTAGTTTGAGGATTGTAATTCAAAAGCACTGAAATAAATGATATTGACTTTATTTTAATTAACATCTGTGATTGATTTACATTCATAGTTAAAGTTTAATGTATATTTCTAGATGTATGTATGTATGTAGGACAGGTTAGTGCTGCCTAAAATATACCTATTCTAGATGGCAGCTCAATTTAATGACCAAAACGAAAATTGTCGGAAGGGTTCTATAGGTATCTCAATACCTTTTTCCCATTTCTGGGGATATTCGGCAGCTCGTTTTCTTTCACGAGCAAATTTCACTCTGTATCGAGGTATCCAGGGACACTGCCTGCTCTTTGCATCAAAAGACAGTTGTTTCAGTTCCTCACTTGCATCCAGTGGGAGGATTTAAACCTGCACCTATCACGTTAGTGAGTGAGAAAGAAACCTGTTCCACGACAGGTAATGTTATGAGAAGAGCAAAAAAGGAACATGTTGTGACCACTGGAAAGATCTGTGGAAAGAGAGACAGAGGAAGATATCTTAAGAAGGTTCTTGACAGTCTTTTGTTATAGCATGGAGGGTTGTCAACACATGAACTGATACATGCAGTTTCAAATCATAGATTGTGGAGAGGCATGATCCCTCATGCCAGTCGGCAAGGCACTTGACGATGACATGAATTTTAGCAATTTTGCACCCATCCAATACAAACGTGGCTTAGTGCGAACATTATTTAACTGCACTAGAAAGATTTGCTCAAGCAAATTTTATTATTTAATAAGATATCCAGTTGGATTTTTTAAGTGCCACTGCCAGGCTCCTAAACCAACTAGTACAGAAATGTCAGTTTCTAAACAACAAGTCTATATCCATCTAGCCTTTCAAGGGGATGACGTTACGCAATGTCTAAATGACTGGCTCAAAGCAGCAGTCAGTGAAACCTTCAACACTGCTGTGCGGTGCCTATTATTAAGTTTAAAACAACCCCTGTGCCAACACCCTCGGTGAAACAAACAGTGTCGACATACGCCAGATAAAATTGTATCTATTAATCCAAATGCAGCTTTGAAACTTCTAATGTGGACAGAACTGGTCAACACTGCGACAAGTCGCTGAGTATATTCCAGTATGGGTGAAAAAACATTGCAAAGTAAAGATCAGAAAGAGAATAAGAACAAGAACAATAATTTCACAAACACTACCCAGGTGACCAGTGGTAAAGGTAACTTCACTTCAGCAGCCTGCCACTCTTTACATTCTAGGACATACTGTAAACAAGCTATTATAATATTTTCTACAGCAGAGCAGCCAGACATAAGACAGGAAGCAGTTTTGCCAAAGCGATTACCTCAGATAGGTGTAAGTCACAGAAGTTTGCAGAAGACGACATAGTGACAGTGGATGAGATCAAGGCTGTACTAAGACGAACAAATAATAGTGCACCAGATCCTGATGGTATCAGATAATTTGACACTAGCAGGTGTACTGAAGTTCCTGGATACTTAGCATCCTTTAGATATTCTCTCCATGTCATGCCGGTGTGTTGGGAAATAGAGCAGACAGATAGACTGGCCGGTTCTGCACTGGTGAACTGATGTATGACAAGCTAGATGTCGTGAGGGTCCTCTGAGAGGGAGTGAACAGTTCAGAGAAATAGAGGGCCTGAGAAAAATAGTGATGCAAGGAGTTGCCAGAGGATCTGGCCAATGCTCAACACTCAAGAGAAAGGCGAGAGAGACAGATATACAATCAGACATTTACTGGTGGCATTGGAATTGGAACTCTTTGTTTGCTGCTGAGGATGGGGACGGAGTGCTATGATATCAATTCTTAATTCAACATTCTGATAACCCTACCGAAACCTGGCTAAGATCACACACAAATTCAGGGATATTGGTGTCACATGATAGCCCATACCACTCTGGTCATGGAGCTGCCCATATCTTGTCACCTCTATGCAAATAAGGCACTTTCAAATCTTGGACTGTCCTCAATAGGTATATAGTCCTTCTTTTGTACTTATGTGTCAAGATATCGGGTTAAGTACTCAATTATATACTAATTCTATTAGGACTGACATATATTTAAATTCAGCCTTATAGATGCGAAATTCATTGATACTGAAGCAAAATTCCAATGGCCTAACTATACCACTCTGGACATGGTTGAATCCTCTCCCACTTTTATTGGGAGAGACGTTTAAGTTTGAAATCATTCTTGACTGAGCTTCCTGAGAGGACAGACGGCTGCTGCCTTTTCTGTATATCTGCTTATCTCTGTTTGAATCACCGAATCATTCAAGAACATCCCTATGCATGGGTAGGTATATTATAGTTTATTGATACCATACATTCGGCTCTGCTGCTGAGTGTAGGACAGAGGCAGCTATGTGAAGCAATGTGACTTAGCTGTCAGACCATTCAAACTTAAGGAGGGCGGGTAACCTAAGCATTCCCTTACAAGCCAAGGAAAATTATCTCCTCATACTCCTTCATTGGGTTTCAAACAGCTAGGATATTATATATATATAGTGTGCTTTGCTCCCATGTAATACGTATATAGGATTCAGTTAACTAGGGCAGAATCAGGGACATAGCACACCTTATTGATCGGTATCAGCTGGGGGTCAGGTTAATTTGAGTACATGTGTGACTATTGCTGTCCTTAGAAAGCAGCATTATAGAGAACTGTGTTTCTTGCTAACCTCACCGCTGTCAATGGCTTTCCTGTGTTTGTTACAGACTTATGCAGTCTATAAAGGCCTAGCACAGACCTCTGAGCTAAACTATGTGGATGAATGGATGGGGGGAGAACATGATTTAGTCAACTGCCCGTGGTTCTGTGATGTTTACTACCAGCTTGTGTCTGCAACATTCAATGACTTGTATGTGATCATAATGCCTATAACTGCAACGACCAGTGGGTGGATGGAAGTTTAGACTGTAATATGTTTTAAATTTAACACGGAACCATCTTCAGTGAAATACCCATTAACATTGACTTAGCATCAGGTAAATGTGTAGACAGTAATTTCTCTTCATTATTGTGTTTGATGAGCCATGATCTTTGAGAAATAATTCACCAGTCTTCATATCTGCTCTACCAAATGTGTGAGGAGGCCTCCGTTTAAATAAATAGAACATTCTGGACAGATAAGCTTGATAGGCCAGGACCAGCGGTTAATCCTAACCATAAGTGCCAGTTTCATTCATTCATTCAGTAGCATGTCCCTCGCGGAACCTCGCTGCCATAACAACCCTCCGAAAAACCTTCCTATCCTGAGCAAGATGTCCTGCGTCTGATACACCCATCTGGAGATCATCTGCCACATCCTGCACCCATCTTCTCCTTGGCCTTCCTCTTCCTCTCTTCCCAGGCATATACCCCTCCATTATTGTTCTCTCTAGACTTCCATGACGTTTCAAGTGACCAAAATATTTCAATTTTCTTTGTTTTATTGTCTTTACTAGCCAGTTTACTAGGTCCAAAATTCCCAAATTTGCCAGTATTTATATTGGCTGTTATTAGGGACAAACCAGGAGCCTATCTGGAGTAAAATATTCTTTGCTTCCTTAGTTGGTTTGATTGATCTTGCTGAATTCTTTTCTTGTTATTCCTACATGTGCTGCACTGATTACATGACGTTTTATAATTTTACATTCTGTGGTTAGTGTCAATCCTTCCAAGTTCTTCAGTTGTCTGGAGTATCAGTTGTAATGTTATATTTCATGTTATACTGAGTTAATTTGACTAGCATAGGATTACTATTTAGTCTGGGGGCTTTAAATGTAGTGAGGACGTCAGGCCAAGTTGCACCTAGGAATGTTTATGTATTCTGTAGTGCAATGATTTGAATCACCTCACCCTTGATGTAGGTTGGATGTACACTGGAGCTGCGGGATACCGCCTAGAACATTGCGAGCCAACATCTCAACACTAAAACTACTTCAGTGTGCTTTTTGGTTCATTAAGGAAAACCCTAACAAAGGCATGTGACACTAGCATTAAGTGACTATCGGATAATCAATATGCAAAACACTGTAGGCAAGCTGTTCAAAAAGATCGCCGCCAGAAAATTTCACACCAGCTTGAGAGGTGAGGTTTTCTTCCACCTACCATTGGAGGTTACCGTCCAAAGAAATAAACATAGACAAATGCTGCAGTTTATGCTCATGATGTATATGAAGGCTTCCACGCAGGTACTAAAATATGTGCTACAGCAACTGATCATGAGGAAGCATACAACAGAGTACCTTTGGATTTCTCAATGTTTCAGCTTCTTGAACTCTGAATAAGTCCATTCCTGCTTCATTGGATCTTTTCTGCCCTCTTCCAATGAAAAGTAGTGTTTAGATGTGGCAGTTGGACTTCAGAACCATAAACAATACATCCTAGCCTGCCACAAGGCCATTATGTCAACATTTACACAAAGAGAATCAAAGGGGAGCAAATCACAGGACCCGGAAGAACACTGTCATATGCTGATGATGTGTCAGTGTATCATCAGGGCAAGGGTAGAGAGAAGGTTGCTGAAGAACTACACAAAAAAGCTTAATCGCATAAGCATTTGGTGTGGTGAAGCTGGTGCACTGGTCAACCCAACAAAGGCGGCAGTGACATGGTTCTCTTTGAATAACCATACTGTGAAAACTCAAACACCAGTTGTTAGTTAGTGTTCTGAGGTTGTGGAAAGATCACATGAAATGAAATATAGTTTGACCGAAAGTCTTGCTTATAATCACATTAATCAGATTATAATGAAAGCCAAGCTGAGTCTGTTTGATATGAGAGTGATGGCAGCGGAAAACTGAGCAACAACATTTATGTCTTCTGTACCAGGATCTGGTCCTTTCTGTTTTTAAATATGGGATGACAGTCTTAACTCTTAGCCATAAGCAGATGGAAAGGATACAGAACGAGGCTATGCGCATTATACTTGGGTGTACTAGAGATACAGCATGCAGGGCAATGCGCTACCTTCTTGATTTTCCAACCATGAAAGACAGAATACAAATCTCCCAAGCACGTAACTACCTCAAAGTCAAAGTGGACACACAACATCCATTGCATAGTGTAAAAAAAAAAAAAAAAACAGAAGGTAAAAAAGAGGGAAATTGTGGATCGGTCAAGCCAAAGAGATTATTTTACATGTACGTTCACTTGAGAACATAGAACCTGGCGAGGACTGGGTGCAAGTGCCTTCAGAGGTCTGAACATCTTTTTATGTTTGCACCTAACTAGACAGAAAATCCAGACAAGAGTCCGGCTGCTGTGGAAAAAGAAGTTCAAGCCTTGTTTTTGAGAAGGCTCTAGAGGGTGATGCTGTCATTTACACAAATAAGTCTGTCATTGGCCATGTTAGACGCTTGTGGGCTTTCACTATGGAGGTCATGTACATAAGGACTGGAGGCACTTGTCTTCAGTGAGAATTTTCTAAACTGCTTATACAGGGACTGATCTATTGTTCTAGTTCCAGGTGAAGTTCCAGAAGTAAATTCCAGCGTAGCTGCAGATGCCCGATTGTCTAGACTGGACTAGAAGATTCGACCTGCCTGGCGTGTCTCCGAGGCTGAGCTAGAAGCTGACAAAGGAACACGAGCTACAGCTAAGTGGACAGATTTGTCTACTATCCCCATCCATAATCAAGGACCTATTTTATCTCCACAGCCAGTCTAATTATTAGTTAGACTTTTCCAAAAAAATGTTATAGTTGTTAATGTTTCTTCTAGTGTTATGGAGTTTATTTTAACTAATCATTTGTGTCAGTGAACTTTAGTACATTTAAATTTAAGTATACCATTAAAAAACAGTAGGGAATCAGATGTGGGCAAACCCCGAATCCTCTCATTTGACCAGCAAGGCTGTGAGAAATATAATCTTTTACGAAGATTCACTTTTTGCGATTCCCTCTGTCGATTACACATAGTGCATTCGCTAGATTAAAGTGACTTTACCCACCACACAAGGATTAGTTTCATTTTCAGGACATGTGGGGGTACAAGGAAATAAGCAGCTGATAGACTTGTAGGTAAGGCTACTGTAAAAGCCAGACAAGTCATGGACCAGGCAGTTATACTGAATGCTCTGCGAGATTTAAGTTGACTATGAATCTGCAACTATGGTCAGACTGCAAGAACAGCAAGTTAAAAAGGGTGTCGCCAAACAAGAACACTATGGGGGTAGCCAAAGAAGAATAATAAAGCAACACAGAAATGCTGTCGTCAGCAGCTACAAGCTGCAGGATTTGCTGAGGAGTGGATCCGAGCACTTAAGGACTGAGTGGTTCGACGTGCAATGAGGATAATCTGTCGACTAACTAACTGAATACAGAATGTTTAATTAAAAAACAACATCACAGCACTCAGGACACTCCCATAAGCGCTCTGTCCTCATCTTCAGCAGCAAGCAAAGAGTTAACCTGATTCCGCAGCACAAGCTGGCTAGTCCCTGCACTCACGTCTTGAAGTGATTAGAACCCTACACAAGTCTGAAACCTGATTGGACACTTTGACCCACTCCTCTCGTCTCCTAAATTTATCAAGCCTACACACATGTCCAATAGTGTCTTCAGCTTGCGCCATTCAAGACTTTCCTCTTTTCAGTCTGTGACCCTTAGTGGGCTTCATGCAGGAGGTGCTTCTTGTCCATAGCTACTCTGAGATATGACTTTTCTTGCAGAAATTTGAGCCTATCTGCAATAATAGGCTTGAACTAACTAACTATGGCCATGTACCAGACTTTCCAAAGCACAGTGAGAATACAAAAAGCCATATCTGATACGTTTACAATCAATACAAGGGTGAGGCAGGGATGTGTGCTCTCTCCTTTCTTATTTACTATAAACACAGAATATAAAAGAAGCCAGCTTTAAAGTAGTCGACCCAGAAAATCTAGGAAATGAGGAACTTTACTTTCTGCTGGAAGAATTAGATCCATACACAATAAATGAACTACTATTTTCAGATGCTCAGTGCCTGTTCTATATAATGAAGGAGCTGACTGCAAGAACAATTGAACAGGCTAAGTTCAACATGCAGAAAATATAACATGAAAATAAATACTACTAAAACTGGGGTAAGGCAGATCAACAAAATTCTTTGCCCGCTACATATAGGATTCAATGGTACTTGTTTGAAGCAAGTTAAAGAGCTTAAAATTATAGGAAGTATATTCTTGGAGGACAGGATAATAGACAGGGAAACGGAAACAAGATATTAATGTGCCAGTGCACATATATGCCAGCTGACACCGTTATAAAGACATCCAAACATAAGTATGAGCACCAAGAATAGATTATAAACAGCATATTCATACCAAATCTGTGTGACCAGGGCCAGACTTGGACATTGTCAAAGGTTAACTTACTAAACATTAACAAATGTGAAGTGGTATGGCTGAGAAGAGCCAACTTAACCATCGGAGGCAAAGCTAGAAATGATATTATCAGACAGACAGTAGGAACAACATCATGCAGCAAATTCATTGAGCAACAGAAGATCAAAATGGTTTGGTCATCTAGTAAGAATGCAACCACAACTACTACCAATGCAGGCACTACAATGAAAAGATCTGTTGTGAAAGCAAGAGGCCGCCCTACGAGAATATTGATTGATGGCATTAGAGAGTTTCTAAATCGAACGGAATGACAATAGATATTGCTGCTAATCAAGCAAGAAAGGGATTACAAACTGTAACAGCAGAAGTGGAAATTGATGACAACGATGTGATGATGACTAAACTATAGCAAACTGGAAGGGGAGAGATGAGAAATAAGAAGATGGTGTAAAGGGTGTAGGAGGAAAAAAAAGTAGAAGCAGCATATGAAGCATAAAAGCAGAAGAGAAAGTTGTATCAAATGATATATATTTTTTCCGTCATTTTTTAAGATGGCAATGACTGAAATAATTTAAAGCTAACCTGACATATGTGACGCTGCTCAAGCAAATCACTAAGGTTTCCACTGACACACACAGCTAGATCCTGCTCGGTCTTGGTCACAAAAGTCATCCACATATCATATTTGGAGGTAAAGTCTTGATGGGAGGCAAGGCTACTTTGCAACATTCTTGTTCTATCAATGGCATCTTCATAAAGTGTTTGCCACTGATGATTAATATCTCTCAGTCGACTAGCATTTGCTTCATCCAGGGACAGATGGTGTCTGAGAATACAAATGCATTGTAAAATTAGGATTTAAGCAAGTTAACAAGAAAGATTAAACAGGAAATTTAAATGTAAGAAAGTATAGGGAAAAAAAAGAAACATACCTCAGATCATTAACAGTGTGGAGATTGTCAGAATTGTTAACAAACAACAGAACAAGCTGTTTCAACTTGGCAAGCCTCTCCATAAGGATATTCTTGTTTGTGGAAACTGGGTCATGTTTGGCTAAAGCATCAGTAACATCAGCCAAGACATGTTCTACCACCTTTAAAAAAACAAAAGGCAAACTTGAATGCATGTTATACTTGCAAAATTTAGCAACATGAATCTATTACAATACAGTTAGACTGATTCTGTGCTGGATAAAAAAGACATTTAACAGCAACTGAAGGTCAATGCAATGTCTTCAAAATAGTACAGGGTGTATGTCTTAGTTGTGTCTGTGCAGGATTTCATCCTTTCTCCATAAATGTGTTCGTCTGCTCACACAGATCACAGTAGGCATATTTTCACATTTCAACAGTGCATGCAGTCTGCATCACCACCATAGATCCTTGCGCATGCATATGTGTGTGTGTGTGTGTGTGTGTGTGTGTGTGTGTGTGCGCGTGCAAGCGTGTGTGTGTCTTTATATATATATATATACCAGAATTGTGCATGATACAAACATTCCTTTTGTATGTATGTGTGATTGTTTCACCGACTATTAATTAACTAGCAATAATTGCCTGGTAATAACTTACGAAGTATAATATAAGTAAGAAACAATTACATCAAAGAAAACAGCACTGGAATCCAAGGACAGATAGGACATAATAATTCTATAACATAACAGAGCACAACTACCTCATGCACCAACATTTGGCAATAGGCAGGCTTAACGAAATGAAAGTAACCACTCAAGTCAAAAAATAAGCAGAACTGATAATTTCAATCCCAAAAAATCAGACCAACTAGCACAATTATCCCTTGTGGGGAAAGACACAATTTAATGGCTCAAACTGGTGACACCAGGTATTAATAACAAAACACCCAGTCAAACAATAATATTAATATAAAAACACTTTAAAACAAACAGCATAAATTGTACTGGGAATTTAAAAAAATGTGAGGAAACAAACAGAGATTTTGGCTATCCTCCGAATAACGGTTCGCAATTATTGAGGCAGAAAATGTACCCTAACAGGGCTTCAGTCACATGTAAATAGCTGGCCTCTTTCCGGCGACTACACAGCATACCACAGAAAAGCTTCTGCAGAGTTAAGGTCACCTCCGAGAGTATCTCCCGTGCCGCTACACGCTGAGCGGGGCTCAACTAGATGGCTGGGACTCATGAGCAGCAGCTAGCACATCTCCTGCAGCTTCCTTCATTTTATTTGCTCGTGAGTCCCAGCCATCTAGTTTAGCCTGGCTAAGCGTATAGCGGCACTGATACTCTCAGAGGTGGCGGTATAGTTGCCCGAAAGAGGTCTGCAATTTACATGTGACTGAGGCCCTGTTAGGGTATATTTTCGGCCTTGATTATTTGGAACCGTCATTCGGAAGATAGCTGAGATTTTTACTAATGGCCTGTAGTTAAAAACTGCTGTTAAATGCCAGCCTATTCTTCACACTGCAAAAGGCTAGTTAGAAGACATAATGATATATACAAATGAAATCTTGATGAAAAGTTGTCACAAATGCATAATTCAATGGATTATACAAGAAACCAGGCAATGAAGAAGCAGATCAACTTGCAAAGCTTAGTGAATCTTGACAATACAACGATTTCTGTGATTTCCTTAACAACTATAAAACAGCCGCAACTTTTATGAAAGCTCCTTACAGGAAAAAAAAGAGACCATCATGAGTAAATGAAAAATTATGTCTCTCTTCTTGTTACAATCCATACTGTGGGGTGTTGGTAGTTATGTCTACCCTTCCATCTTAGGATGTACTCCAGTTTTCCTCTTCTTGCTGGACATGACCAAAGAATGTTGATTGTCTGCTTCTGATGTGGGCAATCAGTCCTCGCCAGAGTCAGTTTCTTTCACAAAATCTTCATTACTCTTATCTTTCCAGGGTATTCTCATCATTCACCTGCAAGCCATATCTCCACTATCTCTAAATAATTTGTCACTAACCTTCCAACTGGCTGTTGAATGACATATATCAGGACAGGATTTATATAGCTCTTGAGAATTCTCTTTCTCATTTTAATTGACAAAGAAAGATAGAAAATTGATATTTATTATCAGCTCTAAAAAACAAGATCATTTAGAATTGGTGAACAGGATAGAACAGACTGTATATAGAGCAAGAGTAAGATAGGTTCATATGAATGTTTGCGAATGTCATGAACCTGAAAGTAATTATTGATAATATTGACATTAATATGGAGGCCTGAGCATGAACTAGGAAACTGAAACATTTCAAATTAATCTTACATGAACATTTTCCTCAAAACGCTCATGAGTGGCCACATCTTCAGTTAAGGCAGTAATATTCATGGTTAAGTTCTGTCTGAGAGTTAGCATCCTTTGGTCAATGGCCGACAGGTGAGAAATTACAGTAAATTGCAGAAGAGTTAGCTTTTTGTGTGAAATGGTCACTGGCTCTGTACAGCTCAGAAATATGTTCTTGAACACTGTCTAAATGCTGTTGCAGCTGCTGTGAAAATATTACAAATCAATCAGTCATGGCATTTATCTCCATTAAGCTGAGAAACAAGACAATTTAGTAAACAGATACCACACGTTATTATAAGTAAAACTCACTAGCCGCATCTAGTGCACCCAGGTATTTTAGCAAAAATTTTCCAGTTTTATGTTTTTAGTTTTTTTTATTGTTGAAAATTTAAACATGAACAGTTAGTCAGTTTTTAAATACTTTAACCTTACAGTATTTAATCCATCCATGCAACACACGGAAGTGGAAATATTCTCTGTTGTAACTGACTGCTTGCTGCAAGCGACATTAACCAAAGGGAACAAGGAGGGATGCAGGGATGTTAGTCGGGAATTAGCAGCCAAACAGTTTGACTGAGAGCTGTGGTAGTACAGTGGCTAGCAAACGTGTCTCTGCTGGCTGGGTGTTCTTAGGCTCCAATCATTATCAATGTGGGAATCTACAAAACAAAACACACTGCAACAATTACCTCAGCTCCATGGTGGATCCAGCATAAAATTGTAACCAATCCACGTTGTTGCTAGTTAACCCTGTCTCTTCATTTGAAAACCAGGCCTCCCAGTGCTGTTTTTATCTCAACCATCACAAGTTTAACATGGATTAGTATTTCAATTTCAGACACTTGTTTATGAGTCAGTTTCTTTGACGTTCAGACCTCGTAGAATGGCGGCATTTTTAAAAAAAACTACAGTATTAAACATTTTTCTCTGTATTATTTAATTTCAAAAGTTTGAAATTTTTAATTGGTAATTGTGAAAGTAAGGTAAGTTGAACCCCACCAGGATATCACACAAGCGATAAACACCCAGTGACTCAAAGTGTCACCATGCGGATGAGGATCACTCATAGAGAGGTCCCAGAAACCCAGTACTGCTATATTTAGGGCCCCCAGCCAATGCCAGGGTTGGGTTTCAAAATTGCATCCCACATGGGGACGCCGCCAATATTATAATAATATAATTGTGAAATGGTCAATGAATCAATTAACTATTTTGACAATGGCAAGATATACTGGGTTGAGAAAAGCGGGACTACGCTCAACATGCCTCGGGCGCTTGGTTTTATTGTAGTGACACCACAGATTTTCATTTCTTGGGTTTTTGACTTTGTGGTTGTCCAATTTCCAGTTTAATTGTCAGGTGATAATTTCTTCTGTTTGGTATCTGTGTGAAGGGAGAGGTCTTGAACTGCCCTGATAAGGGCAGTCCATTTGCCTGGGGCGGCACTGGAACAGGTATGGGCAGAAGTGAATCAGGTGGTAGATCAACATGCCTGGTTAATCTCTAGCTGCAGGGTTTCTTCGGGCCGGTGAGCTGGCTTAGTGGGCTGTCTTAGCAGCTTGGGTGGATTCTATTGATTGGTTTGTTTCTTACTATTAGTGGGATATTATTCGCTGGGCGTCTGTGTACTTTGCTACTTGGGGTCCGTTTTCTTTTGAGTGGATAGCTATTTTCTTTTTGTTTTTTTTTTCTTTCTAGTTGCAGAGCTTGGGTGGCCTCCTTGAGATATCTTTATTTTAACATACCTCCAAAGTTTTTATTCCTTTCCTTATATGACATCTTTTAATTCCTGCATGAGGTTCTTTGCTGGGGGTGTACGCTTCCTTTGATTTTGTGTCTGGACTTGTTGTCTTCTCACCACTTCCTTCCTTGCCTTCTCTCTTGTCTCCATTATGTTACTGGTAGCTATCAGATCCTTTCGTAACAGTGAGTTTTCTTCGTTACCTTTATTTAGCTTAGCTTCTGTTGCTGTTAGTGACTTCTTCATAGTTGAGACTTTGGACGATAGGCTTTTTGACAGAGCACTGGAGCACCTGCAGAATGTAGTGCTCTGGCCTCTGCTTCCTCTGGTTCAGGCTGACTGCATCAGGAACGTCCTTGCCTAATTATGTACTAACTATGTACTAACTGCCATCGGTGACGGGTTCAGCGAGTGAGTGTGTGGTATGTTTTGCAAGATATATATATATATATATATATATATATGTATTATATATATAAGATATATATATATATATATATATATATATATATATATATACACACACACACACACACACACACACACACACATATATATATACACACACACATATATATATATACACACACACACACATACAATTATATATAGTCTGTTAGAAGAATTCATTCCAAATGGTGAACACTAGCTATGTGAAATTAGCCCATGCCATTCTGGCTGCTAGTTCTAGGTCATCTGTCCTACTTTCGACATCCTACTGCAAACTTACATTACAATCACCAAGCAATAACATTTACTGGAGTTATTTCCCTTGAATAGCTATATATTTGTATGCCCATTGAAGAATGAGTTAGAAAAGTAAATGTGTTTTTTTTTTTTTTTAGCAGTGGAAACTGCAATAGGGTAGTGGCTTCACCAGTGTTTCCCTAAGTGAATGCTTTCGGGAGGCTGGGGGAGGGGGGGGGGAGCCTCAGGTGCAGTCGGAGGCGATGAATAAACATAAAGTACAAGTGTAGATAAAGAAGCAGATGACGAGAAAATAACTATCAAGGGTGAAGAAGGGCAATTAAAACTAGTGTACCTAGGCATGCATGCACACAAACACATATAAAGTTATAAAATTGGCCATGGGTCTAAATGTTGTTTAACTTCTGAGTTAAGATTTGGGTTATCTTCATGGCACTCCGGACACATCAATAGGTGCTCAGATTCACATGATGCTAGCCACCACCATCACCTCCATTGTCATGCTGCTAGTAGTCATAGAGGGCACCACTGGCTTTCTGGACTGTTCTGCCTGCTCAACACACAGTAAATTCCAATGCACTTTTTTTGTCCTTGTACAACGGACCCATCTGTGTAGAACAGTACATCCGCCTTATCTAAATTTTCACATACAAGCACGTGGACCTCTGCATTGACAGCAACTGGGTTCTGCTCCTGACAGGTCCTAGCAAGCCTGACAACACATAAAAAAAAAGGTGCAATTGAGCCCCTGGGACACAGGTATCCATTCTTCGCCGAGGCTGATGTCTGTAAGACTGCAGACCTGTATGATATCATTCTCTGCCCTACCGAGCAATGATTTGCCTCTTTTAGCCTGTTGCCCTTTTTTCCTGAAGAGAACATTGTGCACAGGGTGCTTTAAATATCTCCAGGTATGCACAAGTCCTCCAGATCTTTCATCCTACAGTGCTTTGTCAGAAAGTCAAGAAGATATCTCATTGTATGCAAGAGGTGTCTCTTGTGCACCCCAGAATAATGTACATGGTTTCCTTTTGCACCTTTTCCAGTCTTTCAGTGTGAGCATTGCTGACTGTAAGTATGGCTAAATCATATTCGACTGGAGAAAAAACCAGTCCCTGGAACAGTAGCAGAAGCAGTCTCTGATCGATGTTGGCGGTGGCCAGAACCCTCACTGCTGATAAGCTTTTACGGGCTTTCGTAATAACATGGTCAACATGGTCTTTGATGGATACACTGCGATCAAACTTCGCACCCAGATATGTCGTCAGGTGTGTTCTCGTCAAAGCTTCGCCACTAATTTCCACCACAGGTAGGTCTGCTTTAACCATATGTGTGTTCAAGGAAAACCACATTACTGGGGCTTTTGAAGGGTTGACATGTGCACTGGAGTCCACACACCAGGTGGAGATGTGATCAAGTTCACTCTGCATTGCACTGGCAATCTCATGAAGTTTTCTGTCATGTCGATAGACCAAAATGTCATCAGCAAATGACAGAGTCCTGCCACACCCATTCAACTGCTGGTCGGATTTTTGAAATGTATACACATTAAAGAGGACTAGGGACAGCAGAGAACCTTGAGGTAATCTGGGACAAATGGTTATCGGGTTGTTTAACTTCTGCATATAGCCAGGCTCTTTCTAAAGAGTCTCCCATTTTAACTAGTTGTGGAGCCAAAGACTGACATTTTCAATTTCCTTATTACTGGATGTCAGTTTCTTGACTGTTTCCAGATATTATTTTATTTATTTCTTTTAAATTGTGAAATTTCAAGTAAAAGTATGTAAAAGACTTTTGCATAGATTGAGGGGGCTATATAAGCTTCTTCACTTACTCTTTTAGTGCCATGAGTATCGAGGGTGATACTAGATTCTGGTTTTTGCTCTTTTTCCCTGGTCAAAGACACTAGATATTTTCGTAGCTTCTATTATCTTATCCTTTCAGCTTTTTTCCCCCAAACACTGGCTCTATGTCCCTCTCTTCTTTTGGTACATGCTTGAATGGTATGGAGTTACAAGGAATTCTTTCTAAGTCATCAAACCTTTTTTATATTGTTGTCTTCATAAACAGTTTAAATTGGTTTTAAAACTACTTTTTTTCTTATGATTTCATTCCTAGGTTATTTGAACTCTAATGCCTGTTTAATATCTTTGCATTTTTAAGTTCTTATCTTTCCTCTTATTGTCGCTACTTCAGATTTTTGGGGGTGCTGATTCTTATGTATATTTGTTTTACCGGTCTATTCTGGATTCACTGATGTGAGATGTTTGATTGGATATTTAATGTTAGCAAAATATTTGGTTTAGACAAACTGGCACTCAATTAATAATGTAGTCAATATGTCATGGACTGTCTTTACTTCACAGAATATCTTCTGGTATCAGATTTCACCTGAATCAACTTGTGACCAGTTTAAACCAAAATCCAAGTCTCCGTGTAATTCATACACATAATCATTGGGCTGAGAGGCATGTACCCTAGCCACAACCATGACTACATTGTTATATTTATTTAAAAGTCTCTTGTAATTGGCCAAACCAACTGTCTTACATTCTGAAAGACATAAGTTTGTTATTGGACTGCGACACTCAGTCCACAGGTGTATCTTTCAAAACATTAAGGTCATTACTGGAGCTACAGTTTAAAGTCTATATTACACTCTAGGTAGGTGGGTAAGTGATCTGCAGAGAGAGAGAGAGAGAGAGAGACAGAAAGAGAGAGAGAGACAGACAGAGAGACAGAGAGAGAGCAATGAAAGAAGCAGTATGATATTTAAGAGTTACGAAAATCAAGATTCAACATTTAATCTGCACGAAAAATTAATCAACACTAAATTATTGCTCAGAAATGTTTACTGTAAAAGAAAACTAATAATACAACTATATTTAAAGATCAAATATTATTAGCCTAGTTTTAGTATAATTATAAACATACTTTGCATTTTTTCAGAGTCTCACGTCTTCCATTTGGATCACACATGTTGATAAGATCAGCACAATGGTGTTCCCCAAAATTGAGCCAGTCACAAATTCGATTGCACTGGCTCTCAAAGTCTTGCCATTGCACAAGAAACTTTTCTATCTGGACATACATGGTAGTTAAATCTGTGCTGAGCTGCATTAATTTCCTCTGGGTTAGTGAAACTGTGTTTCTTATATCAGCTTGAGTGCTCAACTCACAGATCTGTTCAAGCTGATTTGCCAAATCACAGAATGATTCCAAATGGTTACAGCCAGTTAATTTTGACTGTAAATTCTATGGAAAGTAAAAGCAACTATTTGTAAATGACAACAGTATTTAAACAAATATTAGGTATCTAGCAAGATATCAAAACAGTTTTACAAATGATATACAGTTTTACATGCATATAAAATAAGACTGTCGATTTCCAGCATGTCATAAGAGTCGACTAATTAGGACTGCAAATGCATGAGAGGCAAACAACACCCAGACCTTTCCGCTGGAGTTTACAGCCGGGAAACATGAATGTCAGAGGCCTGTGTGGCTATTATGGGTGATGATAGTGACTGATAGACTAGCTCTGAATGACCTCATAAGTGACTGTGCGTTCACAGTACATGAAGACAACCACTGAAAAGTGTGACATCTGACTGAAATAGAGTAGAGACTCCACAGCTCTCATGAGGGACTAGCTGACCAGCATTGACCGGCTGTTGAGAAAAACTCTGGAGGTGAACAGTTTTGAGGGGAGTTGGTTTGGAGACGAGAGACATGACACACTGTATTCTGACAGCTAGAGTTTTGTGGTTGGCTTGTTTAGAAATGTAGTGGCGATTAGGATTTTGAGGATTGTGTTAGCTCAGCCTGTGATAATTTGTTAGATTGACAGTATTCTAGTTTATGTATTGCTATTATTTGTCAGTTAAACTTAGTATGTTTTTAATAATTTTTGCTAAATCACTTAATGCATGATTACATGTATGTTCATAACAAAGTTGTTACTTAAGGGGGGGCAATACCTTTCAAGAAGAAGAAGGAGGAGGAGGAGGAGAAGTAGATGAAGAAGAAAAAGAAGAGGAGGAGAAGAAGAAGAAGAGGAGGAGGAGGAAAAGAAGAAGAAGAAGAGGAAAAGGAGGAGAAGAAGAAGAAGGAGTAGGAAAAGGAGGAGGAGGAGAAGAAAAAGAAGAAGAAGAAGAAGAGGAGGAGAAGGAGAAGAAGAGGAGGAGGAGGAAAAGAAGAAGAAGAAGAGGAAAAGGAGGAGAAGAAGAAGAAGGAGTAGGAAAAGGAGGAGGAGGAGGAGGAGAAGAAAAAGAAGAAGAAGAAGAAGAGAGCAATCATAAGAACGATACATGGGTGGCAATTTTAAAGCACTCAGACAGGTTGTGGTGGGGTATGATAATACAAGTTCCCTTTGGAGTAAACTGCTTGTTCCTTTTTGTAGTTACATTAAAAGCCAATGTGTATACACTGACGGTGTTAGATTTGTTGTGTGTAGATTGACACGTTGTCATTTATGGAGATGCCTATAAGCCATAGCCTTGAATGCAGCACACAGTTGTATGACAGTGGAAAGTGGGCAGGAGAAGAAGGAGGAAGAAGAGGAGGAGGAGAATAAGAAGAAGAAGACTATCTACAGTTGTGACATTGGTTACTACTACTTCTCTGGGTGGTAAGCTAGGTTATGAAAGCGGAGGAGGAGGAGAAGAGAAAGAAGAAGAAGGAAGGGGAGGAGGAGGAGAAAAAGAAGACTACAGTTGTGACATTGGCTACTAATACTCCTCTGGGTGGTGAGCTACGTTATGATAAAGTCGAAGTGATGAAGGCCCTCTGGGATCAAGTGGACAGTGCAACAGAACAGACCAAGTATCCATTCACTGACAGACTCATTCAGCCAGGGGTCAGCAGAGGGTCTGGAAGATATTCAATACTGCAGGTCTTCTCTGTTCACTGAGTCTGTCACTATCAATGGAAGTGTCCCTGTGATAGCTGCTATCTCCATCATCATTCCAGAAGTGGTTGAACCTGACTTTCTTTAGGTACTATCTTTTCATTTACCTGTCCTGTGTATGCCCACCCAGACAGCAACCCACTGAACCATCTATATAGATGAAGACATCACCTACATACATACACACATACATACTTAACACCTATGGAGGGATATTCATATACAGACACATACCCATACGTACACTCTCATACATACACACATACATATACACACACTTATTCATACACACACACTCATAATATTCACAATACCTTCATACACCACATATACATTCTCATACATATACATGCATAAACACACTCATACCTATGCATACGTTAACACATGCATGCATACAAGCACACATACATACACAACACTCATTGAGGCAGAGTGAGTCCAAGAGATGGGATGCTCTACAGATTGGTGTCATGACATGAAAGAACATGCAGAACAGAAATTACTGGCATACGTAAGACAGAAGGTTGTGGACAGACAATATTACACCGACTTCAGGAGGCATTTTTGAAAGCATGGAGAGAAAATGTAATTATTTTACTTACTGTGGTAACTCAAAGCAGCTTGATGTTTCACAAGCTACTATGAAAGTAGCTATTTTTTACCACAACTTATTTTATAAAATGTACAGTAAGTAATTTTCATAGACTGTATTTAAAAGTATATGGCAGGATATTTACTAACCTTGATGTATCTGGCCTTGGATCTGACACTATCTATGTTTCCTGAGGTGGAGGTTTGATGGTAAAGGGCAGATTCAATTTGATTTATAATTTTACGAAGGCAAGCCAACTTTTCATGGTAACAATTCCATTGTTCTAAAGCCTCTGTGGATAAAGATGATTATTATTCAAAAGCAGGCCCACTGCTAACAGACGACATCATGGAAGTCTGTGCATATATATTACCACTCTTGAACAAAATCTATGTTTTATAACACGTATGAAACATCTGAATTCTGAGTTCCCAGGAAAACTCTTTGTTAAACCATAGTGTGAATATCCTGCAGGAGTCACTAGCCCAAACAGGTTACAGTGTCTTCATACCATTATTAATAAGAATCATCATATCACAAGTCAAAGACCACAACCTGCATTTAGCAATCAAAGTGCACTTTTCATTATTGATATCCATGAGGTATATGAAGGAATTAGTTATATGTTTTCCTAAAAAGTACCATAGCTGATCACAGAACAATCATCCCTAGGAGGATATAATGCTTTTGATTTGTATTGGTAAAAAGTTATTTAAACTGACACAGAGATAATATGGAAAAAGTGTACAAAAAGAAACATCCAGTAACGCTCAAAGTGGATTTCATTTGTTAAAAAATTTTCACAGAGTCAACAAATGTGGAAAATTACTTTCTCAGCAATCTCAGTACCTAAATGAGTAGGTCACTCATGCTCACCTCTGAGTAAATCCTCATGCTGTTGTATCTGTGTATGAAGCTCTTTCCATTTGTAGTCAATGGCAGATATGCTAGTTATTACTGATTCCCTACATGTGAACTGTCCACTAAGTTCAGTCAGTTGATTTCCCAGGTTCATAAGTGAGGTCAAGTCTGACTTTTTTCATTTGAAACAGTTCCTGTGTTGCCTGTCAGGGGCAGACATACAATAAAGGTACATTAGTTTGGTTTTAAAATAACAGATCTACATTACAATCTTTTAAACTAATAACAAAGTTTTCCATCAATAGTAAGCTTTACAAAGAGTGTCAGTGAAAAATTAGTGGTCAAATTAGATTTACATCTATCATCACAATCTGTATTTAATGTTGAAACATGGATACTAACCTCATACTAATGAAATAATGCTTTTTTTACTTGCATAACATGACTAGCATTAAAAATCTATTGGTTTGAGATCACTGATCATAAATTGCAAATTAGAACAATTAATGCCAGGGTTTTGATATTATTTACGAAAAATCCACTATTATAAATATATATATAAAATCACATTTTCTAAATATCTTTCTAATGGATTCACTAATTATATTTTTCATTACTGTCTGCATCTCCTGAAATAATGGCAGTATTATAATTTGTTGTGAAATATTCTTGATGATGGTGGTGAGTGAAGCTGTGCATCACTAGGACCGCATAATGAGAGAGTACCTCCCTGTGACACAAAGTGCCACTATTCAGATGAGAATCCACAAGGTGTAAATAAACTGTAACATTATATTAGGGCTCCTGACATCAGGAAGTAACCCAAAGTCCAGCCGAGGTGGGGCTGTAATATGAAAAAAAAACTATCCAATATCGGAATGAGAACTTTGTATGATGATAGTGGTCTACTGCATCTATATTATATCGTTATGTTAACTAGCTGTTAACCTTATTTCTCTTGACAGTAACATCAGTATTGGTGTTCCTGATGGAAATTCTCAAATTTTGCAGTATCTTATCTCCTCTTTATTTACCATCTCCATCATCTCTTCTAAAATATCATCATGTTTTAATTTTGACTACTGTCCAGTGCCTGCAGCATTTATGATGAACTAAACATTAGATCTTATGTACTTTCCATAGGTCTGGCAGCAATTGTGCTTATGCTATTTTTTTTCTCAGGAATTCACATAGAAAACTGGGCTCATAAGTTCATTTAATGCAAGCTATGATCCCAGAAAACAGTTTACAACTATTATATTATTTCATCAGCAGAATACCTGTGATTAGTCAATGTTAGGTCTTATAATTATAAGCTACAATCAGCTGTTGTAAACAAAAAGTTGGATTAACAATTACTACAAAATGTCAGGATACTTCCATCATAAAAGAGTTTATCATCTATGTTTAATTCATCAGAGCAATTGTAAACATTATATATGTATACACACACAGACATAAATAAATTAATTTATGAGGCTAGCCAGATTGTACTGTTGTGAACTAAACACCAGATTTTATGATGTTCTCCCTAGTTTTGCAGCTAGAAAACCAAACATAATGACTTGCTATTTGATACAAGGTTTTGGCAGACATTTTGCCATCTACTCTACCCATTTTATAAATTCAAAATCGGGAGTGGTCCCGAACCCCTGTAAACTCAACTTCTGATACAGTTTTTCATACAATTCTTTTTTTCTTTGACAAAATATTTCCCAAAGACATTTGCGTCCGTACTTTTCCTCTAGGATATCAAAACTACTTTCTAGTTCTTAGAATCTCTGAGTTATAATTACCGGATTGTTGGTAAATTTTTTGGCTTCCTATTCATGTGAAAAGACATTCTCAGCAATGTCAGTAATAAAAGCTAAATAGAGAAATTGAATGGATGTTATTGCGGGGCCTCAACTATCAGAAACAACCCTCCACCTAGATATATAAAAAAAATTTCGGATCTCTAAGCAGAAGTAAATGTTGTATAAGATGAAAACTGTAATTAAATACCATCTCATTTAATTGCTATCAACATTTGTTTTTGTTTCTATTTTTGGTGAACATTTAACATCAATAGAGTTTTGTATGTATGTATGTGCACATAAGTTGTACCCCACCATCTCCATCATCTCTTCTAAAATATCACACAAGCGATAAACACCCGGTGACACAAAGTGCCACCATACGGATGAGGATCACCCGTGGAGAGGTCCCGGAAACCCCGCTCAGCTATTAGGCCATATTTCAGGCCTGGCTATATTCAGGGCTACCGGCAAAAGCCAGGGTGGGGCTTCAAAATAACTAAAAATTGCATCCCATAAGGGGATGACGAGAGATAGATATATAATAATAGAGTTTTGCAAACAGAAACCTAGGAATTGACTCATTTAGACTTCACTAAATTAAGACTCAAATGTTGAATAATCTCATGTCCAAGACAGAAAAAGAAAAAAACAGAAATACACTGAACACAATAAACTTATTTACCGACTGACACTGTTATTTGGACATCAAATTAAAAACATGGCTGCAAAAAAAACCAGATTATAAACAGCATATTCATGACAACACTGTGCTACCAGTGTTAAAATTTGACATTATGAACACATATGGGATGAGATGCTTGAGAAAAACTGCCAAATTAACCATCAAAAATGAGTGAAAAATGACATTTTCAAACAAAAGAACAACATTTGCAGTAATTATGAGGGTAAGTCAATAATTAAGTCACAAACGGTTGTTTATTTTTTTTACCTAGCCATGCACCACTTTACTGGAAAAAGTTATCAGCATAAACAGGAATGTCCTTTGCAGACAGCTCTTTTCCCCAAAAAAACACAAATAACAGCATGTTGTTCTTTGTGGGAACACTCCGTAAGTACAGTAGCTATTTGATTTCTGTGTTGCGAATGCCCATGCAACACCTAGCCCCGCCTAACAAATGGAGAGGTAAAGTTACTGTCACCAACAACATTTTCCTGCCATCCATTACCATCTGTGGCTTACTTACTGACTTCCCCTCGTAACTGAGAAGCTGATCAAATGGCCTGGTCTCTCATTAGAATGCAACCATAATGGCCATCGAGACTTTGGCAAAATTTTGTTCTACAAGCGGACCACATTTTCCTGTCTGTTGTGTTTGTGCGCATCGCCTAGCTGCTGATGGTGATGAATTACCTGGACAGAGCAAAGATTTCGGTTGCAGGTGAATTATCTTTTGGTGTAAGAGGCATGCAGGTTATTTATACTGTGGAGCCTAAGGTGCCAGGCTGTGTCCCGGCCTAACAACACAATGAAGTCAGAGAGGGCCCATACAAGAGAGGTTGATATACGATTTTGATGTAATCATGTTTCAAGAGCTGAATGCAAATATCATTGCCCTGGATATATCAGCTATGTAAACTTATCTGGGCATTGGCAATGTCTGCTAGTGAAGGAGGGATTGAAACATGTAGTGCTTGACCTGTCTCTGTGGAATCATGATGCTGTGGAGGTGCAGGGAATACAGATGGAGATTGGTGGCCTAAGCTGGAACATAATAAATATATATGCTGCTGTGGGTTCATTAGTCACAAAGCAACAGTGGGACTGGCTGAAAGATCTAGAGGAGATTCCTGGCAATAAGTTCCTCATTTGTGGGGATTTCAATGCATGGAACAATGAATGGGACACTACTGGAGAAAATCGACAGGGAGTTGCCCTTGCTGATGCCATGGTTGACTCAAATTTTGTCTGTATAAATGACGGAAGGCCAACCAGAATAGCTGTGAGCCCGGGTGATGCAGACACGGCTATTGACCTGGTGTTTGTTACCCAGTCAGCAGTTCTGGATACCAAATGGACTGTTCTGGGTGATCACGGACACAATCATCTGCTATGATCAGTATTGATCTCCAAATCAAGTAAAGTCGGAACTTCAAAAGTTCAAGTATGAGCAGATAAACAGCCTTCTTGGACACCTTCAACAGAGGGTATGGAAGAGGAACGTCAGATCTATTTTTGTGCAGCCTCCATGGTGGACGTCAAGGTTAGAACAGGCATGGAAGTTAAAGAGAGCAGCAGTAAAACGATTAAAGAAAGTGGGACAAACATCCCTAAGTACACAGGAAGAATTGGAGTGCGCGGAAAGAGATAAGAAAGATAGAATAGAGGTTTTCAAGCGTCGTGCAGCAGAGCCACCCCCCCCCCCCCCCCCCCAAAAAAAAAAATGAGATTGACGGCTCTAAGACATTTCAAAAGTTTTGAAAGCTACATAGATGCTCAAGAAAGATCAGCACAGCGTAGTAGGAGCAATTCATAGAAATGACGGTATGCTGTTAACGACAGACAAAGAGAAGGGGGAGGCTTACCTGAAGAGGTTCATTTCACTGACAGATCACAATGATGGAGATAACAGAGATGCAGTTAGAGAAGATCTGGCAGCCATCTTAAAAAAAACAACATTATAAAGACATCACACAGATGGAAGATGTAAAACATGTTCTGAAAAAAGTGAAAGACACGGCACCCGGGCCTGACAGAGTAAGATATTCCCACATAAAAGACATGAGTGATGCATACCTGGTGAAGATGACTGCTTGTTTCAACCAGAGCATCAGGACAGCTTTAGTCCTAAAAGAGTGGATGCACAGCTACCTGATTCAACTTCCTAAGCCTGGCAAGAATCATTCAACACTCAGCATCTTTAGGATCATAACCCTACAAAACACCTTTGGTGAAGTGTTGGAGAAGACAGTGGCTGGAAAGCTACAAGAATTTTTGGAACAGAGAAATCTCTTTCCACGAGGTTTGGGAAGTTACTGGCTAGGGAAAGACACATGGTCAAATGCAGCCACTTTTGCCTTTGACACTTTTGAAAGTCTCCAGATAGACAGGAAATGGTGGCAGCGGCACTCGATTTAGAAGATGCTTACAACAGAGTCAGATACAGTATCTTGATAAAAGCACTTATGGAGAAGGGAGTCTGTCCTTGGTTGTTGAACTGAATAGCAGCCGTTTTGTATTCTCACTGGGTAGCTCTCTGTCTGGGTTCATGGACCTCTGAACCATGTATTATAGTTTCAGGACTATTATATGGATCTGCAAGATTGCATGCCTGGAAACTCCTGGAGTTGGCAGAATACTGACATTTGCAGATGCTTATATAGGAAGGAGAGAGAGATCGGGATCAAACAGCTCAAGAGTTACAAGTGACAGTAAGTAGATAAGGTGTACAGAGATGAGTGCTGTAATCAACCCAGAAAAGGTAACCGTCCTGTGGTTTTCTTTGGACAGCAGGGCTGTTAGAGAGGATGTTCCCAGACAGAGACATCAAAAGAGACAACAGACTGTGGTACCTGGGTATCACCTTTGACAGAAGTTTTTCTTTCAAGGATCACATAGAGGAGGTTGTGACAAAGGCTCAAAAAGGTCTTAATGCACTAAAGATTATGGCAGCTATGGACATGGAGCAGAGAATGTTGTTCACACTTTACAAGCACTTTATTATCTCAGTAATTGATTATGGATTGGGGTTACTCACTGTCTCAAAGAGTCAGCTAGAGAAACTTGAGTGCATACAGAATGAAGCTATGCAGGTGATCCTGTGATGTACAAGAGACACCCCAATAGTTTACATGCGATACATCCTTGGATTGCTTACTATTGCAGATAGGCTAAAGGTACTGCAGGCTAAGTCATACCTCAGAGGAGTTGCAGACAAAGAACACCCTCTGTATGAAGCTTTGGCTGCAGGTAAAGGTCAGAGGCTGAAAAGGGGTAAATTGTGGATGGCTCAAGCAGAAGACAAGTATGCACACTGGAGAACATTGGGTGAGGAGAGGAGTGGGTCAGAGTACCAGAGGAAAGGTCTGACCTGTGCAGGGTTATGATCACATTGGGCCGGGAGTGCAGGGAGTGGTAAGCCGGTGCTACGGAGGTGGAAGTCCAACAATTGATTCACGACAATTCACACTCAGGTGATCTGATTATCTATATAGATGGCTTGGGTGGATGGTTATGGGAGTTCGTAGCGAAAGCCAATGGAAAATCTTTAGTGCAAGATGGCCTAGCATACGACATCACAACATCTAGCATGAGAATGGAGGTAGAGGCAGTAACTGCAGCTCTCCGGTGGCTAGAGAACAAGATGCCTACACGTCGTAATTGTAACAGACATGCTGAGAAAGGTGAAGACAGGAATGCTATGAGCAGAGTGGCAAGCTTCACTGGAAAGGTCACGGGTAGTGAGCATACTTTAGATCTTTTCTCCAGGCCATGGCGGCGTAGTGGGTAATGAACGAACAGGCAGACAGACTGGCTGGATCTGCATCACTAGGTGGTGAATTGATACATGACAAGGCAGATGTGGTCAAGGCCCTTTGGTAACAAGCAACGGAATTAGTAGAGAAACACAATTTTTATGGCCTGGAGAGAATGAGGCATCAGGGTGTAACCAGAAGGTCTGACCGAATCACTACACTCAGAATAAAGGCAAAATAGACATACAACCTGATTGTGACCGGTACCATCAGTATTGGAACTGTGCTGGTTGCTGAAGATGAGTATGGAGCAAGCATGGGAATGCCCTGAGTGATGTTATGTCAATTTGTGACTCAACTCAACTCAACCATAATAGCCAGCAACACTTGTTCTACACCTAAAAAGTCTGATATGAAAGCAGGAGGGCCCAAAGAAGAATATGGACTGATGTCATTAGAGACCTTCTGCATTCACCCAGAATGACACTAGCTAGTGCTACCCATCAAGCATTAGACAACAAACTGTTCCCTGTCTTTATGTTCTTTAAAACTTTAAAGCTGGACTAGAAAAATTCCTCAGTACCAGAACAGTTCTTACTTGTAGTTCTTGTAGCGCATGTTTTACTTCAGGCTCACATCCAATCATTTTGTACTGCCGAATTTTATCTTCCTGACTCAACAGCCAAAAATGAAGTTTGTCAAAACAAGTCTTAAATACTTCCCAGTCAGACAGTACAACCTGTAAATTGAATTACAATCTTTAAATACTCAGATTAAAAAAAAAAGGTTAAGATAAGATATGAGCTCAAAGGTATCAATCAGGAAAAACCTATAGAGAAAAGGATAAAAGTAGAAAGCTGAGGTCACGCCAAACGATATACACATATGAAAGTTATAGTTACATGGAATATAATTTAGTGCTTAACACAATAAAACCAAACCAATCAACTGGTTGGAAATGTCTCTTCTTTACATGTTCATAATCTACTAGACCCATGAGAACGATCTGCTGTATTAGACTTATAACTGGTTGAGATAAATATCTGAGAGCTTATAGTGTTGTAAAATGTCTCAATAACTATTATGTCCATATTCCACAAATGTGGGTCAGATGGATGGCAGAATTGGCTCATAATGACTTCTGTGGTGTCTGTTGGGGTGGTGCACAAGATTACATTTGTACCTTCAATGAATTACTATAACTGTTTGAAGGTGTCATGTTCCAGTCCTGGTGTGCCAAGGCTTGCACTTTTTATATAGTTTAGTGTGCTCCCAAGCTTACTATGACACAATTGTGAGATCCATAATTTGCCAAGCATTTCGGTTGGTGGGCATAATGGTATGTGATATGCTGATGATAAAGCTTTATCAATGGAAACAAAAAATTAAGCTACAAGAAATAAAGAGTATATTTGTAACATAAAGTAAATACAAAGGTATTAGTTTAACAGTGGACAAACAGAATCAATAGTAATTTAAATATCTTGGAACAATATTCACTGAAGATGGTAAATTGGATGAAGAAATTGACATCCGATGCATTAAAGCTGGCCAGGTATTGGGACAGCTAGCCCCCACCCCCACCCCCTTACAGCAAAAGGCAATCCCAATCAGCACAAAGAGACATCTCATACAAAGAATATTCATTCCCAACCTATGCTACCAGTGCCAGATGTGGTAACTCACAACTAAACATTTAAAACAAATTTGTAACCATGGAAATGAGGTGTTTGAAAAAAGACTGTAGGAGTGACCAGAAGAGATACAATCAGGAATGAGGTCAGCCAGAAGAGCACAAAGCAGGACCTTATATCTCCCTTGTAACCCGAAGCGGTCAAAGGGGAAGAGAGAATGTTGGATTATTTGACAGGTATGGAAGAACATTTATATCAGAAATGATTGACATGAGACAGAAGGCAGTGCACAAACACGACTACCAAAGCCACACAGATAGATTATAAATACATCTAGTGCTATCTAAATCTATCTTTTTCTTCTGTATGAGCTGATGACTACTAATTAATTTATTTATAATGTTATTTCAATTTTCTTAATAGTTCCATAGCAAGTGACATTTTTATATACTACAGAAGCCAACATATTTTAAATTACTTGACACAAGCTAATTGAAAGATAATCAAATGTAGTAAACACTACTGCTCCTGAGTAATGAAATTAAAGATACATCCTTTAAGAGTTTTGAAATCTTCTTCTTCTTCGTGTTCACCGGCTGTAAACTCTGGTGGAAAGTTCGGGTTGTTCGCCCACTTCTGGACTTTTAGCCTTTTTCCAAACCCTGAGTGCTGCGTATGCATTTGTTTTCCAGATATAACTCATCTGCATGCAGCAGTTGGTTCCTTGCCTCTCAGGCGGCTGCACTCGGACTTCGAAAGAAGCTCCCAATTAGTCGACTTTGACGACATACTTTTGGGTGAGCAGTTTTCCCTTAAAAAAGACCCACACAGGGAAGTTTTGAAATGTAAGCAACAGTGTATGAAATTACCATGAGATTTCACTTGCGTTTTCTTGAAGGTTTAAAAAGCTAGATTTTGGCAACAGCAAATAATTTAGTAGGCGTAAGACTGAAAGAAATGGTGATGAAAGAACACAGACTGTTATGAAATGCTGAGTTGGAAAGTATAGTGGAGATTAAGAAAAGGTTGGTAATAACTTAATATATACCATCATCTGCAAAAAAAGTACCGAAAGTAGGTACCTACAGTTATAATAAGACACAGAAAATGACACTATATTGGACATGTCCTGAAAAGAAACAAGCAGAGAATCACCAAACAGGCACTAAAATGAGAAATAAAGGGATTAAGAATGTGAGGACACCCAAAAGAAACTCTAAAATGAACGCTGATGGGGAGGCCAAAGGTATTTTTTTAAAAAGGACTTTACCTCAAGTGAATTCAGTCTCTCCATAACACCACTGCTCACTTTTCTCCAGTCCTTGTAAAGTTTGTCCAGTGTTGCTATATACTCCATCTTCTCTTGTAAAGTATCCAGCTCTTCAGCTGGTGAATCCAACACTTGCTGATTGACAAAGTCAAGCATCATTTGCCAGCCTCTCAGCTCACTTTTATACACCTAGATAATTGATAGCAACAATGTATAGACACACAAAAACTACTTCAAACAGAAGGTGTTACATAAATATATTCATATTTGTTTTGATTTATTAAAGTAAAGGACATAATTACAGTGGTTTCTTGAAAGGCGACTCAATCAATCAATCAATCAATCAGGTGCCGTCTCCACAATGAAGGTTGGCTGCAATGGATCTCCAACAAGCCCTGTCTCTTGCCATTGATGTACACTCACTCATACTGCTGTTCCTCCATCTCTTGATGTTATCCTCCCACTTGTAACGCTGTCTGCCTCTTGTTCGCCTACCTTGAACCTTTCCCTCTAGGATGATCTTTACAATACTGTTATGTCTTTTAATGTGACCAAAATATTTCACTTGTCTCTTTTTTATTTCACCTAGCAACTCTCTTTTCATTCCCAATTTCCTCAGTGCCTCTGTATTTGATAGCTTTTGTTTCCATGAAATACGACCTAATCTTCTGTATATCCACATCTCCAAAGAATTGATACGATTTTCCAGTTGTTTGTTCATTGTCCATGTCTCTGTGCCATACAGTAAGGTTGAGAATACATAACATTTGACAATTCTGATTTTTTATGTATTGCTTATTTCTCTTGATGTCAGTAACTTTTGCATGTTGTTGAAAGTGTTTTTGGCCATCCCTATTCTTTTCTTGACTTCTGTTTCACTTCTGCCGTCACATGTTATTACTTGTCCAAGATATAAGAAATTTTTAACTTGTTCCAATTTCACACCGTTCACTGTGATATTAATTGTTAGCTGATTATTTTCTTTGCTAAATATCAGAAAGGAGACTACAGTAACTTAAAATTGCATTCATGTTCGTTTTAAATAGTGCTACAGCAGAAAGGATAGGAGCTGGACTTTTGTTGTCAGAGACAACTGCATTACTCAGACCATAAAACACTGAGAACTCATCCTAATTTTCATACATGGCTATAACAACAATTTGACTTCAAATTTTTCATACAATTTCAAACATCAGAATAAGAAACTGTCAAGACTAACCAGGCCCCCAAGTCAATACAATGTAAACAAACCCATGCTAGTGTAAAGTATAATTGCTGTACTCCAACAAATTGTTTTAAAAATAATTTACCATTACTAGTGTAATTATCAACTTAGATCTCTAGAAGGCAGTACAGTTAGCTAGTTAGTTAGTTGGATTATCATCACTGCACTCCGGACATGTCCATAGGTGCTGAGAATCTTCCTTCAGTATGAACCCCAGCGTCTGGTGGCTAATAGTACCAGTTCTATGTGGATTAACAAGTCTTCTGGTGTGTCTGGTGTGTTTCTTGCTTTTTCGCTATACCGATCCTAATTCCCAAGTCTGTCATTCTGGCGAGTGATGTGGATTCACTGGCCCAAAAGTCCTCCACTCTTCCCATTTCTCAGAGGGCATTAATATTATCAGCATGATCCATAGGCTGACCGTCGGCAGATATGGTGGTTCTAGCCAACCTATCACCTCTTTCTTTCAAATCCAAATTTATTTTCATAACGAAAATAAAGGTGACTTCACCCACAGTGGACATATATAATGACTCCAGCCACTGCCTTCGCATCGAACCGCCAAGCACTTCTTTGTTGGTGAGTAACGGATCAGACTGTGTAGATCAGTACATCTGCCGCATCTGAATTTTCACTTATGACAGGGTTGACCTCTGCATTTACAGCAATAGGATTCTGCTCCCTGCATCGCCTGTTGAGTGTGGCAATACAGGAAAATGTATAAATAAACACATGAGGCAGGGGTATCCACTCTGCACCAGGGACGATGTCGGTTAGGCTGTAAATTTGCTTGATAACATATTCTGTCTGACTAGAATGATGCTGTTCCTGGATACTAACTGGACATGCCTGGATGTGTTTCTAACTTCTATCATGCTGCTAAGTGAGAACACAATGATGTTAACTACACCCACTGGAAACCGTCGAATGTTTATTGCATTCCCAACAACAATGCAGTCTAGGCAATGTCTTATTCTGAAAGCAAATAAAAACAAATTTTCACCCAAAGTCTCGAAGAGCCTCTAATTATAACAACTTAGATAAAAATTAGATAAAAGATGAATGAGAAGAATGAAAAAAAGGACAAACCCTGTATCTGTTAACCATGATTTCAATATCTGTGGCTGTACTAATCTTTTTGTTAGCATCTGACAGAAGGATTGTATTTCTCTCATCAACCCACAAAGATATTTCATTAAGTGCCTGATGAGATGATGTAGAATGCATCAGGACTGTATGAAGAGATCTGTGAACCTCAGATAGTTGGCTCTGCAACTCCAGCCAGTTTACTTCAATGTTACTCAGTATGTCTGATAAACTTTGTTGATCACAGATGTTATTCAGCAGTATCTGGACCCCAGTACTAGTGACTTTATTTTTTAGCTTTTGCTTGCTGTCAAATTCTTTCTGGAGTTCCTGAAAATATAAAGACTACAATGTAGACTACAAAATAAAAAAATTATTTTAAAATAAACCCCACATGCAAAGATATAATGTAGCATTCTATTTCAATGCTATAATGTACAATCATCACGTTCTAAATTTGATATATAAAGGGTGATTTTTGTGCATGTCATGAGAGGTGTCTTGTGCTAACCTCAATCGTTTTTAAACAATTGACACTCAATGCTTGATGTGGTCAATACTGCACTGGACACCTACACCATTTCCTGGTAAACATTTGAGGTTCAAACAACAGTGAGGTCTATGACCACCAGACTGGCTGATAAGGGAGCTAGTAACTACGCTAAATACTTGTGTGTGTACATATGCATTTGTGTGTGTGTTTGTGCACATGATAAAAACACTGAAAATGTCACAAACTTTAAATATCTTGGTTCCAAAATAAACAACAATGGAGACTGCTCAACAGAAGTAAAATGGAAAACGGTCATAACAGTTCAAAGGTTCAGCATTAAAAGTCTATTGTTAAGCACCAGTAAGGAAATCAAGGTCAACATTTTCAGGGTACGCATGTTTCCTGAAGAAACATACAGATGTGAGTCATGGACTTTTCCTCAGTCATGAAGGGAAAAAATTGGGGCTTTTGTACTGAAAGATTCTCAGAATACCATGGACCAAAAAGAAATACTGACATCCTAAAAAGATCTGAACATCAAGGAAGATTGGCTAGTAAATAGCATCTTGTCAGAAACTGAAATAATCTAGCCATATCAAGTGCCACAGTGGCTCTGAAAGAATAAAAAATTATAAATGTAATCATGGATCCTAAAAACCCAACCAGTTGCAGAAAGTGCGCAAACCGTGCTGGTGCACATGGAGATAGATACCTTGAAAATGTATGATCACACCCAAGCCAGTCATCTAGGTCAGAACGACCAACCAGAACGAGACTAGAAGAAATGTGGCAACCAATGAAGTCACAGTTCAGGTGAGCACCAGTAACTGAGACCAGACTGATGCTCTGAAAGAACTGATTTCAACTCTTTGAGTAACGATGTCAGAGGATGATGCAGGCAGACAAAAGGAACGTGAGGAATAAAGTAAAGCCATGATACAGCTCAGAAAAGTTTGTTAAAGCATCACTAATGAAGTCGCCCTGCTGGCACAAGTCAAAACTGAAGCAGAAGCTGCAAAGCTGGAAGCAAAGAAAGAAAGAAAATCAGTCAGCAAAATTGCACAGAAATCAATCACTAGTAGGGTTGACAAAAGTACAGCGACAGAGACGGTAGTCCAAAAACACAAGGCAGTCTATGGAGCCCACAAAATAACTAATCAAAGTACAAAAACTTAAGTCACACACCAAGAAAGTCAAGAATTGAAAGAACTCCTAGAAGAATTAGACTACAAGACAAAAGAAGCCCAAGTTCAAGATCTGATTCAACAGCTGAACAAAGCAATCCACACTCACATGGGAGAGTGGATGGAAGACAGCTGGTTAACAACCTATAACTATTTAGAAATACAGATGACGAGGAACAAAGCTAAGACCCGGAGGAGAGGACAGAAACAGAAGGGGCAGAGCAGCAAATAGGCAAAACCATCAAACTCTCCTAATATGAGCCAGAAATACAACTCCGCAAAGAATTGGATAAAGCCTAGCAATGCCTAAAAGAAGAAAATGTATGCAACAATAAATGGGATCAGGTCTACAGCAAACGAGGACGCCGACACTACTACTAGTCATAATCCATGCAAACCTCAGGAAATCGCCAGATGACATCAAGGCAGAAGAAATCCACCCAGACAAGACAAGGAATAGAAGAACAACAAGCACAAAACTGACAGCCCAAAACCAATACTTTTAAGAGCTAAGCATAAAAGAAATAGCAACTTCACTGCCAGAAGCACATCAGACATTGAAGACAAAGAAAAAAGAAAGTCAGGTGTGAGCTCACACCATGAGGACAAATCAAATTAAGAAATCCGCAAAGAAAGCAGGTCAGCAAATATAACCGCAGCTCAAATAGGAGATTGTTGAATGTTGCCAAAGTTTCAGCCCCAAGACAAGATCAAAAAGATGAATTTTTCAATATGTGCATATTTCAGTGGCAGATCAAATGTGTGTAATAATACTAAATTGTTACAAGTTTGGGCAAAACATCAGTGATTATAATCTTCTCACTTGCTGGTTATGGTGCACATATCTAATGGATTTCACAGTAACCTGTAAAAAATGACATCCTCTTTCCATCCTAAAAGATTTAGCAGACTTTGCACTTGTCAACAACAACAAAAAACACACACACCATAAACAGGGCATTAGAAACAACACCTTTTTAAACATATATGCTATTCTGTATGTTGAAATATCCAGGCAGATTTAAGTGTTTTCAAACCAAACATCAGATGAAAAATCTGACATTCTTGGGACACAAATGTTAAAAAAATCAACATACTAAGACATCTTCCATTTTGGCTTTTACTGTTGTGATGTCTTGAAGATCTTGGGCAGTGAGTTGTTTCAGGTAAGACAGCTTTAGCACTGTAGCATTTACCCATGATGTCAGTTTGGCTGCCTGTGTTTCAAACGTTGATAGTTGGTCGCTTAGAGTTTCAGCACTGTTAAACCACATGCACAAATATACACAGGATTATTTCAAGTTATTTAGGGGTTGTGAAAAACATGAGAATTTTAGTAATGATCACATACATAAAGTCAATAATGTGTAAAACTAAACCTTTTATTTTTCAAACAAATCAGTGTAGCAGTAATATGCACAGAATTGATCTCAACTACCAATGTTCTCTCAATATCCCACACAAACATAAAGTAAAGGACCCTTTTCCACGCTATTAGGCATATAGGGTTAGAACTAGATTTTATAAGCCAATCGGCTATTGTGGATGATGCATCATGCCAGCCGCCTTAATTTCACAGAGCTTGTGCCTGAGTGGACCTGGCAGCCAAGGTCTTTTGAAATATAAACATGTTTTCTGAAGAAAAAAAACAACAGCCAGCCAGCTCATAAGCCCATGATTTGCAGACAGAGGTCTCATGGTAATAATGTTCACACCTCCAGTGTTATCAAAAATTAAAGGTTAACAAAATACACTAATAATTACTGGATACATCCTGTTCAACTTTTAAAAATTGACTACTGATAGAAATCCTAACCTGACTTTCAGTAAGACAGTATGAATGGGCGGGCAGTATGTTAAAGCTTTGGAGTGTTATTTATTTCTGGCTATGATTTGCTAACCCAATTTTCTCCTATCTGGACTTGTAGTACAAGGTTCGGCCACCCAGCTACTGAGTTGAGTGCTTAACTCTTTGAGTCCCAAGGATTGCATCATACATTCATAGATTCCTACCTAGAAGCCCAGTGAACGCATGATGCGCTGATTTTATGACTCTCTTTACTACCACCTGGGCCTGTGATGCTAAACCCCCTGTGACTCAAAGAGTTAATGTGAAACTGCAAGCTGTGGATTTAATATGGAATGTTTGTATGTGTATCCCTGGTGGTTTGTTTTGCAATAACAATAATGGTGCATACCTAGGCTCCCTGTAACGACAGTTATAATGAAGAAGACAGAAAAGAATACTTTAAGAAACTTTACAACATTTTAAACCACGTCACTGAAAGTGAAGATCTAATTGTGATGGGTGATTTCAACGGAAGAATACATACAAAAAGATCACCATAGGAAGAATGTATGGGGCCATTCAGTGATGCAGATATGTACTGTAACAGCAAAGGAGAACATTTACTTAACTTATATTCACAACAAGGTCTTATAGAAACAAACAATTTTTTTTCAACAACAACGCAGTCATACCAAAACCTGGTATAAATGGGACAATTTAGATCAGGCTTCGCAGATTGATGAAGTCAATCTTCGCAGATTAATCAGGAAGAGAAAGCGAACACAGTCAATAGACTTAAGAGTCCTACTAAACACAAACACTGACACCGATCATGAACCAGTTTTAATGAAAAAGAATACTGAGTACAGAAAACCAAGACATAAAATAGTAACAACAGATGTTATCAACTTCTGGAGACTTCAGAATAATGTGGTTAAAGATGAGATTATACAAGACATGACAGAGTTCCTAAATAACCTTCCAGGCAAATATTCAGACATCGATTCAGAGTGGACATGTTTTAAGACGGTTATGCTCAGCACTCTTCAAACCAAATGAGGAGTCAGAACAGGTCGTGTAAAACGATTAAGAACTATTTAGTGGAACAATGAAGATAGCATATCCAGAAAGAAGAAGGCATATAAAAAATAGCCTAAATCGAAATCCCATCAAGATTATGTCCAATACAGATTAGCAAGAGATGCAAAAAAGAAAAATTAAAGCATCTAAAGATGAGTCTTGAATAAATTACGTTGTACAGATGGCTAACCTCAGCAAAAACTCCCTTAGAGAATTCTATAAAATTTAAAAATCACGAAAGAAAGAGACAACCAACAACTATCATCAACATCATATTTAGTCCACAACAGATGATGGCAAGATGGGCAGAATATTTTCAAGAACTACTCAACCCTGCAAGCAATGCAGATAATTTTCTCTTTGTACCTCAAAGCTGCAAACAAGAGGAACCAAATTTCATAGCAGCAGAAATAACAGCAGTTATACAGAACAGCCCAAGAAACAAAACACCAGGTCTGGATGGAATTAATACAGAAGGGATCCAGGCAAGCGGAGAAGTGGGTGTTAAATGGCTTACTAGAATGTTTAATATAGCTTGGGAAGAAAGAAAGGTCCCAGCTGAGTGGCAACAGGCATTAATAGTACCGATATGGAAAAAGAAAGGTAACAGGAGAGAATGTGAACAATCCAAAAATATATCCCTCCTGAGTCATGTAGGGAAGATGTACGCCAAACTACTAGAACAGAGAGTTAGACCCATAGCCGAACAACAGTTGAGTGCATCACAATTCAGTTTCAGAAAAGGCAGAGGGTCCACAGATGCATTATTCAATCTCAGGCAAGTGTGTGAGAAAGCCACTGAGTATAATACCCAACAGAATATTGCATCTGTAGATCAGGAAAAGGCTTTTGATAGAGTGGTGGTTTGTTCTTGAGAACTACAGGGTGCAAGGATAGTTACTAAAGAATATCATAACCATGTACCACACAAGCCAAAGTGCAGAAAGAACACAAGGAGGAACATCAGATACGTTTACAGTCAACACAGGTGTGAGACAGTGATGTGAGCTCTCCTCGCTTTTTTTTAACATTTATATAGACAGATTATCTAAATAAGCAAGTTCTGATACAGACAAAAAAAAAAAAGATCTTTATAATCATGAGGAAGTACACATATCAGAAGAATCAATCGATCCACCAACATTAAATGAACTACTATTTGCTGACGAATAGTGATTGTTCTACCCTGAAGAAGATAGACTGCAAGACCACATTAACAGGTTAAACTCAGCATGCGGTGAAATACAATATAAAGATCAATGCAAACAAAACCGAAACAATGCAAATTAGTAGAACCCCTGGCCCACTACACATACAGCTGAATGGGTCTGGTCTGAATCAGGTTAGGAAGTATGATCACAGAAGATGTTAGAATTGTGGGGACGATACGTTGTACTAGATTCATCAAGAAACAGCAGATCAAGTGGTATGGCCATCTCGTTAGAATGCAGCAAGATCAAATACCATAACAAGCACTACATCTCAGAAGATTAGCTACAGGAGCAAGAGGACCGCCGCGGAAACATGGATCGACAACATTAAAGACACTCTACGTCTTTACGGCATGACAACAGTCAGTGGCAGCCAGCGTGCACTGAATCGCAAATTATTCCTCCCCTTGACGCTTAACAGCAGAAGTGGTTTATGATGATGATGATGACTTTTGGAACAAGGTGGGTGGCTGGTTGCAAACAGACTGAGAGTAATGCCTGTGCAGGTGCTCATCTGTTGTGGTTTCTGCTTTCATCCACGATGCACAGAGATTCTAAAGGTCAACTGTTTGGTGCTGGCAACTCTGATGGTTGCTTTATGTATTTAATGAATGTGAAGCTGTTGCATTTGTCATGCTTGCAATCTGGGTAGCTTTTCAAATGGAACAGTAATATGTATTTAACTCTTTGAGTCCCAGTTGGGTTTAGCATCAAAGGCCCAAGGGGTAATCAAAAGAGACGTAAAATGGGCGCATCATGTGTTCATTGGGCTTCTGGGTAGGAACATTTGAACGTAGGATGCACTCGTTGGGACTCAAAGAGTTAAACAATATCTTCTCTGTGCTGTGTGTGTGTTTTTATGTTAGTGTTAGTTAGTTAGTTAGTTAATTAGTTATTTAGTTATTTACCAAGTTGGGTTATCATCACTGGATTCTGCACATGTCCACAGGTGCTCAGATCCTTCCCTCAGTATGAACCACAGCATCCAGTGGCTAATAGTAGCAGTTTTACATTGATTAACAAGTCCTCTGATGTGCCTGGTGTGTATCTCGTTGTTTGCTATGCCACTCTTAACTTCCAAGTCTATCATTCTGGTGAGTGATGTGGATTTACTGCCCCCAAAGTCCACCTTTTCCATTTCCTGGAGGGGATTAATAATATCAGCATGATCCATAGGCTGACCGTCTGTAATGACAGTGGATCCAGCTCTTTCATTTTTCATTTCCATCGACTTGCGTGTCGTGGAATGATTGATTGATTGATTAAGCGCTCCTTGCCCATCTTCAGCAGCCAGTGAAGAGTTCCGATACTAATGGTGCCAGTAGCATTCTGATTAAACGTCTGTCTTGCCTTTCCTCTGAGCCTCGAGCACCTGCATGCCACTCTGCACGAAGCATGCCTTTCCTGATCTTCCTCAGCATGCTTTCTGAGTCAGTTACAATCACAATGTGATTGTGTGTGTCGTGTTCTCTAGCCAGCGGAAAGCCGCAGTGACCGCCTCCAACTCCATTCTTAAGCTGAATGTTGTGGTATCATATGGTAGGCTCTCCTGCACCAAACTTCGACCATTTATTTTGCTAAGAAGTCCCAAGCACTTCTTTTGCCTCTTGACACTGAACCGTCTGTGTAAATGATCAAATCTTCTGAGCGAGCATTTCTTGAATTAATTGCAGAATTTCCACCTCTGTGGCACTTGCTGGCCAGTCTCTGCATTCCCGGCTCAGTGTGATTATGACCCTACACAAGACTGACTGTTCAGGTGGCACTTTGACCCACTCCTCTCCTTGCCTAATGTTCTCAAGGATGCAAACCTGTCTGATTGTGTCTTCTGCCTGAGCCACCCATGACTTCCCTCTTATCAGCTGCTGATCCCTTAACTGCACCCAGAGCTTCGTTCAAAGGGTGGTCTGTGTCTGCAGCTACCCTAAGATATGACTTCACCTGCAGCATCTTGTGCCCACCTGCAACAGTTGGCAAACCAAGGATGTATCACGTACACACCACTGGGGTGTCTCTGGTGCAACCCAGAATGACCCGCATTGCTGCGTTCTGTATACACTCTAGTTTGTCCATCTGTCTATTTGAGATAGTAAGCATTCCCAGGCCATAATCAACCACTGACAGGATCAGATGCTGATATAGTGTGAAAAGCATTCTCTGCTCTATGTCAGTTGCAGCCATAGACTTAAGTGCACCAAGTCCTTTTTGGCATCTTGTCACAACACGCTCTCCATGGTACTTAAAGGACAGGCTCCTGTCAAATGTAATTCCCAGATACTTCAGTTTGCTCTCTCTGTTGATGTTTCTACTATCCATCGTGAGACTTGGGACATTAGCTTTAACGATTCTGTTGTCCAGATAACACCACAAAACAGACACCTTTTTCGGGTGGACGACAGCCCTCATTGCTGTACACCACTTAGTGACTTTGTCCACTGTCGCTTGTAGCTCTTGGGCTGTTTGTTCCCTCTCTTCCCCCTGCCTATATGCAAGTATATCATCCACAAAAATCAGTATCCTTCCAACTCCTGGTGCTTCTAGGCTTGCAATTTTGCTCATATACACGTTAAAGAGCACAGGCAAATGGCGGATTCTTGTGGCAGTCCTGGGGCCAAACTGTATGGTTCTGAGGTCCATGAGCCCAGTTGAAGAGCAACCCGACGTAAATACAGGACAGCTGCAATCCAATTCACCATCCATTGACTGACCTCCTTCTCCTTCAGTGCAGTCATCAAGATGTCGTATCTTACTCTTTTATAAGCATCCTCGAGATCCAGTCCTACTGCCATAGTTGCCTGTCTGTTCTGGAACCCTTCATAGACGTCAAAAGCAAAAGTGGCTACATTTGCCCATGTGTCCTTTCCTGGCCTGTAGCTTCCCAGACCTCTTTCCAAAAATTCTTGCAGCTTTACAGCAACTATCTTCTCCAAGACCTTCCCAAATGTGTTTTGTAAGGTGATGATTCTAAAGCCACTGAGCTTTGAGTGATCCTTAAAAGGTTTTGGTAGGGGGATTAGATAGCTGTGCCCCCAGTCATGCGGTCCTTTTGCTGTCTTAATGCTCTGGTTAAAACAGTCAGCCATCTCTGCCAGGTCCACATCGCTCAAAGCCTTCATGTAGCTATACCTGACCCCATCAGGCCCTGGTGCAGTGTCCTTTGCCTTTTTCAAAATTTGTTTGATATCTTCTACTTGTATCATGTCAACTCCTCTCTGTCCTGGAATGAAAATAAAGGTGACTCCACACACAGTGGACTTCTGTAATGACTCAAGCCACTGCCTATGCACCAAGCCTGCCTGAACGCTCTAAAACAAACTCATTGAATCAATGAATACACATGGTGGGTGTAGTTTTCTGGTGGCTTACTGTTACCAGCACCCTGATCTTTGTTAACAAAATGACATTATTCTGACCCTGTGGCTGTCCTGGTAAAACAGGCAGTTGTATTTGATTGTTTTTGAATTTATTCTTCAGTTATAAAGGATTCACTTATTTACTTTATTTACGTAACTGTAACTGTCGTATGCACCTGATGAGATATGGTGAAATATACCAGTCAATAAATTGTGCAATTTATTATTTGTGTCTTCTTTGTTCAAATTTACAATGGGGAAACAGGAAACAGTGCTTTGAAGTTAGTAAAGTGACTTAAGTCCATGGCTGGCTGCAAAACATTTTGTCTCTCATTATGATGGTACATTCTTACAAACTTCTATTTGAATATATCCCATTTATATTACTGCTTACCCCTTACTTCAATTGCTCGGAGCACTAGCTGTTAGTACATTTACATATGGCTATGAAACGTCGACCTTAACAGCTGAACTTGAAAGGAAGATACAAGCATTGGAAATGCGATTTCAGAAAAATTCTTGGTATATCAGAGACCACATTACAAATGAAGAGGTTCGCCATTTAATTATACTGCACCTTGGCAACTATGAACCTCTTTAAAATACAGTGAAAAGGCAAAATATGCAATGATATGGACATGTAATTAGATCTAACGGCCTCTCAAAAACAATACTGCAGGGCTCAGTGAAGGGAAAGAGAAGAGGCAGACCAAGAAAGACCTGGCTACAGACCTGACTGACTGAACAGGTTCAAGCATGCAACCATGATGTCCATCGCAACCAACCACCAAAGGTGGAGACAGCAGATCAGACAGTCAACAGAAACTGGTGACCCAACGACTGGTAGTGTTAGGGGATGAAGATGATGACGACAACCCCTTACCTGACAGCTTTCCTCAAAAAAATTCCTTGATTAAAAAATACTATTTTACACAGGTCACTAAGATAATTTAAAAAAGTTCTTTATCTACATGAATGAACATTTTGTCATTATTGGAAAGTTAGTGGAAAGTTATTTAGATACACACAATTCATTATAACTGCCAAATCAAATATTCATCACCTCTTCAGCTGGCAGTTAATGTGATCATTTATGGCGATCCATTTATCAGCAAGACCAGTAACTAATGTCTTTAAAGTAGGACAAGTGACACTGTGTAAGATTTCCCTCCCTTCATCCACAATCTCAAACAGTGAACCTCTTTCTGTTGTCAGTTCTGAACGCAGTTGTTTGAATCTAAAACAAAGAATGTGATTCACACACTTAATGAAACTATAATGACTTTTAGTAAGATGACTAATGTAATAACATTGGATATCATTGAAAAAGTTCTATGTTTCTGATACTAACAATTGTTAATCTTGGTCTAGCCATCATAAATGCCCACATGGGAATTTCTCAGAAGATTGAACAGAGTACCTGGGATTTGTTCTGTTAGAGTGGAATCCTGGATGTGAATATTTGAGCTGGTGGGGTCTCAAACCATCAGTCCACACACAAGATGGTTAAGGTGCAGGGTAATGAATGTGAAAGTTAATGTTTACATGTTTTGAATTTCAGTCAAAATGTTCATTTGTTTAATGATGTGAGGACATAGCATTGTGATTTTGGTCACAGGTGTGACAGAAGTTGAGGCGGTTGTGATATTTTGTACCTTACCTTGGGTACCAGCTGGCTCTGTGATGGTTTTACTGATCCTCATGCAAGACACCTGCCACACATCTCAGTCATGCATTACAGAAAATGGCTCACTGTTTCATCGCTGTCCCTTGCTATCCCCTAAGGCCCCACCCAGAAAGTGTTCCCTGTCTTATGCCACTTGAAGGTACATTTTTACCTGGTAAACCTTGTATCTCATGAAAGGATGACAATGTAAGTATGTGCCGCAATTGGCGTGTCTTGTGTACATCCCAAAATGACTCACATAGCTTCATTTTGTATGCGTTCAAATTTTTTGTTTTGTTTTGGTATGAGATAATGTTAGCAGGCAAAAATCATACTTCATCACTAAAATAATTAGTTGCTGGTAGAGTGTACAGAGCATTTTCTGTTCTATGTCTGCAGATGCCCTCTCTTTCAAAGCACTGAGTCAGTTAGCCCCGTAAGTGACTCAGTCTCTTGTCATATCTGAAGACTTTATGCACCTTCCTTACCATGGTCTTGTCCAATTCAGACAGCAGGACAGTACATGGTACTGTTAACATTGAAGCAATCGTGACACCTAGTACAACAGTATCAGAACAGAATGCATGATGCATGGGTTCTCAGTATGGTCCCAACATTACAATGAGCAAGGCCAACAATCTGCAGAAACTTGAATATTGTCTACCACACAGTAGGATGTTTGATGGTTAGAATTCTGAACATTGTTTCTTACACAGAAATTCATTTAAAAGTTGGACATCTAAAACTTTTCTGTTCTGCCATAGTTCAGAACCATGAGATACTGCCTACAGGAGATGTTGCTCGACAATGTTGTGAACAAATCTGTTGGTCATATCTGAGTCACAACAGTTTGTAGTGAGGTGGCTACTCAGTCGTTCATACCAGCCAGACACCTGACTGGTGGACATTTGAGCCTGATCAGTAGGACTTAAACAGACATTTGAACCAAGGTTTGTCATACAGTAGGATATTTGGCCAGGGGGTTTACTCATGTTCCAAATAAGTTTTGAAAGACATTATCACCCATGCATTAGGGATAAGCTGATGAGAGCCAGAGGATTTCTGGGCACTGCATCTCTGAAGGTCATCAACTCTGATATCCATGAAACTGAAAACCTCACAGCATTTAGTCTCTCGTAAGGAATTGATGATGTCTCTCCTGTCCATAGAAGGCCAATTCCTGTTAGTTGCACTGCCAGTCAGAGCGTCTTCTCTCTCATTGCCTTTCATACCAGAATGCCCTGGGACAAAAATGAAGGCGACTTTGCGAAATGCAGTGTGCTGTATCAGATGGAGCCCATTTTTCTGTATATGTGTCATCTTGATCTTCTGTAGCATGCTCAATGAGTCGCTGAGAAAGCACACACTGGTGAATTCCTGACTTTTCAGCCATTCTAGGGCTTTTGTTTCAGCCATGACTTCTATTGTCATGCTGCTGGTGGTAGAAGCAAAGACTCCACTGTCTTCTTTAATGACTTTCCCTTTAGTTCTTGCCATCAAAGCCCATGTATTTCGCTTTTGACGAATCACAGAACCATCTGTACATATAATAGCATCTTCTGGTGATGTGTGTTCCTCCACCAATGCTTTCACTTCTGCATCAACTACTGGTGTCGCTAAATCATGGCACTGTCTTTTCAGGGTGATAACCACCACAGAGTTCTGATTGTATTCATTTGGTATGGGTATCCATTCCTCTCCATGGTTTGGTCTTGGAGAGAAATCACCCGATGAAGTACTGCCTCTGCACGGCCCAACCCAGATTGGCCTTGTTTAAGTCTGTTGCCATGTTTTCAGTTCATGTGTCTAATGTGATGAAGGAGATTGTGCCTATTTGTGTGGTTACCAAAGGGCCCAGCCCATGACGAGTGGGAAGCAATCATGAGCAGGATGCGATGATTCCTTGGGTACGACCAGGACCAGAATGTCATGTGTTGGTTCTGCATTTATGGAAGCCTCTTTGAATTGCCATGAATGCCAATGAGCTGCAGCTGCCTTCCCTTGAAAGCTTACAAGTTTGCACACGGTTTTCCTGAATGTGTTCTCCAAGGACAACATTTGTAGATATAGGGACAAAGAGAATACCACACAATTAGGGCTACATCATGTTCCATGGTCTACTGGCCCTACTTGCCCGAATACTGGGATCAAACAAGGGAATCCATGCCTGGTGCATGCTTTTCCATACTGTCCTGCTAAGGGCACAGTTGAAACAATGTCAAAGGTGTCAAACATGATGAAGAAGAATGTACCTATTTGTGGGGTCATCAAAGTCCTGGACCTGTGGGCAGCTCCCTGCTGATCTCCGGAGAGTGCAGCCCATGATGAGTTGTGAGGTTAAGCAGTCATGTGCAAGATGTGATGATTCCTTGGGTTGGCCCAAGATCAGAGCATCATGTATTGGCTCTGCATTTATGGAAGCCTCCTTGGATGGCGGGGAATACCCTTAATCTGCCCCTGCCTTCCCTTGAGGGCTGACCAGTCTACACGAGGTTGCTCTAAAGGAGTTCTCCAGGGGCAACATTCGTAGACAAAGGGACAAAGAGATCACCACACAAATGAGGCAACATCATGTCCCACAAAACAATGGCAACAGTCATCCTAGAGATAGAAATGACGTCTTACTTCGAAGTCGGAATACATCTGCCCGAGTGGCAGGGAACAAGCACTGCACACACACAAGCCAGTAAAACTAATGTACACACAAACTTAGGTCCTGGTGCAAAATCCAAAAGGACACAAAACTAGGACTTTCCACCGGATTTCAAAGCCGGTGAAGAAAAAAGAAGACATAGGATCTACCATTTTCATCCACATGTTTATGTGACACTGCATTTGCGTGCAAGATTTTGTTCATATGCAAAACATGTACATTGATGATTATACCTATATGTATGGGCAAAAATACTACCATTAATCAAACTTATTATGGTGTGACTAATTTAATGACTTACTTCTGATTAAATCCTCAGGTTCATTTTGTATCCTTCTGCACAAAATAATAATTTTTTAATACACATTTTGTTTAGTCTGTTTTTAAATTTGCTGTACTCTCAAATCTAATTTTAGCACCCATCCACCCTCACACATATGTACATGTACAAACACGGAATTCTTGCTTGCTACATACATCCAGTTTTAACATATGGCTGTGAGTACCGGACAATCGGTAGGCAGGCCAAACAATTTCTTGAGGCTCAGAGATGTGGTTTTACAGAAGAATGCTTAAAATTCCTTGGACAGCTAAAAAAAGCAACCAGTAGGTTTTGAAAGAGGCAGGAGCCTGAAGACAACTTATCACAGACATCAGAAAGAGACAGTCATAATTTTTCAGCCATGTTATGAGAAGAGGAAAAGTGAAACATGTTGTGACCACTGGAAAGATCTGTGGAAGGAGGGATAGAGGAAGACAATGAGAGAAGATTCTTGACAGTCTTGTTGCATGGCAAGGAGGTGTGCAAACAAACTGATAAATGTTGCAGGAGATTGCAGATTGTGGAGAGGCATAATCACCCATGCCAGTCAACAAGGCATCTGATGATGATGATGATGTATGTAGAGTAATTAACTTACTTCTTGCACTTTTCCTGAATAACAGACAGTGAATCTCCACGGAGAACTTGTGCAGGCATCTGGGACTCAATCGTATTTAATACTTTCTCAAGCTTCAAATACTTTTCATCAAACTCTGCCCACTGATGAATCAGGTATCTCAGCCTTCAGAAATTATGAAAACATTTTTGACTGGTATATGACTAAACAATTTTAATTACTGGAAAATGTTTCACTGCCAAAGTCACTAATCTGGGAAAAAGTATACAGTATGCCCTAGTACATCTGCTTAAATCAAGGGTTCTATTGCATAACACCAAGATCACAATATATACAACACTGATAAGTTCAGTTGTCTTATATGACTCTGAAATATAATGGATGTGAATGTGCAATAGAGCACGAGTTAAAGAGATGGAACCTTATTACACATTTTTGAAAATATAGTCACCAACTGGAAAGAGAAGGTATGGAGGCAGGTGGTATCTGCAGCAATGAACCTCAAGAGCTTGGAATGCTGACGAAGAAGAAGAAGAAACATAAGACTAAGACAAAAGAGGAGGAAGAGAAGAAGAATAAGAAGAGGAGACGGAGGAGAAGAAGCAAAAAAAGAAGGAGAAGAAAAAGAAGAAGACAATTACTTATTGTCCCACGCTTGTCTAACAAGATAATAATCTCCCAGATTATTACAAAAGCAATATGGCAGGTGTTATATTGATAAAGGATGAGTGTCACATTCTTCACATTTAGTTAGCATCCTTTAGATATTCGCTGGCGGTGTGTTGGGAAATGAGCAGGCAGATAGACTGGTCGGTTCTGTACCACTTGGTGGTGAACTGATGTATGACAAGCTAGACGTTGTGAGGGCCCTCTGGGAGCAAGTGAACAGTGCGGAAGCGTAAATAAATCATTATGGGCTGAGGAGAATGGCGCTTCGAGGAGTTATCATGGGATCTGGCCAACACTCAACGAAAGAAGGGAAATATATGTACAATCAGACAGTTACTGGTGCCATTGGAATTGTAACTCTTCATTTGCTGCTGAGGATGGGGATGGAGTGCTTATGGGGTGTCCTGAGTGCTATGATATTGATTCTTAATTCAGCATTCACATTTAAATCCTTTCACACCATAAATCTTCAGAAAATGACGTTTTCTTTCAATTCTTGATGAAAAATTAAAAACCATCTATCCTTATAATTCTAGGAAACAACCTTAAAAAACCACAAGAAAAGACTAAGAAGTAGAAGAAATTTTGAGCCTTGGTCAGCTGTTTTGAATATTCAGGGAGTGGAACCTCTAGACCACTGGCAAGGCGGAGAGACTTGAAGTCCTGGTTCTCTGATGATATCCTAGCACTAGGTTAGTTTCTACATGAAAGTTAAATACAAATTAAATGATTTCCTTCACTTTGACTAGTTAACAAAGGTTGTGGTAGAGCACATTAAGCAATGTGACACCACATAGACCAATGTGACACTACACAGAGCAATGTGACACCACACAGAGCAATGTGACACCACACAGACCAATGTGACATCACACAGAGCAATGTGACACCACACAGAGCAATATGACATCACATAGAACAATGTGACACCAATAGACCAATGTGACACTACACAGAGCAATGTGACACCACACAGAGCAATGTGACACCACACAGAGCAATGTGACACCACACAGAGCAATGTGACACCACATAGAGCAATGTGACACCACATAGACCAATGTGACACCACACAGAGCAATATGACATCACATAGAGCAATGTGACACCACACAGAGCAATGTGACACCACATAGACCAATGTGACACCACATAGACCAATGTGACACCACACAGAGCAATATGACACCACATAGAGCAATGTGACACCACATAGAGCAATGTGACACCACATAGACCAATGTGACACCACACAGAGCAATATGACACCACATAGAGCAATGTGACACCACATAGAGCAATGTGACACCACACAGAGCAATGTGACACCACACAGAGCAATGTGACATCACACAGAGCAATGTGACACCACACAGAGCAATGTGACACCACATAGAGCAATGTGACACCACACAGAGCAATGTGACACCACACAGAGCAATGTGACACCACACAGAGCAATGTGACACCACACAGAGCAATATGACACCACACAGAGCAATGTGACACCACATAGAGCAATGTGACACCACATAGAGCAATGCTACACCACACAGAGCAATGTGACATCACATAGAGCAATGTGACACCACACAGAGCAATGTGACACCACATAGAGCAATGTGACACCATACAGAGCAATGTGACACCACACAGAGCAATGTGACATCACATAGACCAATGTGACACCACACAGAGCAATGTGACACCACATAGACCAATGTGACACCACATAGACCAATGTGACACCACACAGAGCAATGTGACACTACACAGAGAAATGTGACACCACATACAGCAATGTGACACCACATAGACCAATGTGACACCACACAGAGCAATGTGACACTACACAGAGCAATGTGACACCACATACAGCAATGTGACACCACATAGACCAATGTGACACCACACAGAGCAATGTGACATCACATACAGCAATGTGACACCACACAGAGCAATGTGACACCACACAGAGCAATGTGACACCACACAGAGCAATGTGACACCACACAGAGCAATGTGACACCACACAGAGCAATGTGACACCACACAGAGCAATGTGACACCACACAGAGCAATGTGACACCACACAGAGCAATGTGACACAACATACAGCAGTAAAGTAAAATTAAAGATCCCTTATTACGCCTTAGGCGCATCGGGTATATGGACAGAGCGTCCCATATTTTTACAGACCAATCCGCACTGGATGGGTAATGTGGTCAGCATTACACCAGCCGTCTTTACTTCCCCAGGACAGCCATCCTGGTACCAATTTTAGAATGGGTCGACCTGCGACGCCCCATACTATGATAAAAATCCACGCTAACATAGAGCAATGTCAAATAATTATGAAATTATGACATCACAGTGAATACAATTTTTTTTTTTAAACTGTTCACTCTAAAAAATATTTAAAATTTGTTTTGGGTAAATATAATCACTCACACCATGTATGATACTAACATGTAGTGACAGCCAGTACTACAGCTGTCATACAAGAATACTAGGCACTGTACAAATACCTTACATCAACCAAAACTTTTAGACACCAGAAAAATGACTTTCTCTGAGGGTTGATCACAAAAGTTCTGACATAATAAATGTGTAGAGCTGAGCCAATCTAGAAATAAAACTGCTTCAATATTATTAAAAGAACTTTCATAATCTGAACTATAAAGCTTCACCTCTGTCCATGACAGTTGCTCTGGTCAATAAGCTCAAGGGTCAAATTGCTGAGGAAGGACTGCTGTTGTTGAAACCTTGCCTTGGTAGATTTCTCACACTGGCTAGCTAGTGAATCCAGTATGGTCTTGTGTACTTCAAGGTCATCGAATAATTCCTTGAAGGTAAATGGAAGTTAATTTCTAAATACAACACTTGGGAATGCAATATAAAAAAAAAAGACACAAAAACAAACACTAAAATGAAATAAAGGTCAAACATTCTAAACAAAATAGGGCAAGTGAAAGAATGTGCAGACTGACTTCCATTTAGATGAGTACAAGAAAGCCATAGAATTTCTGAATCTGTCAGGTTACTCCCTGGCAAAAAATACCCACTTTCCTGTTAGAACTATGTTCTCTTTATATATCTATCCCTCATGTTTGAAGGCACTTCAGTTCTTAGTGGGAGCTCATCTTATAATTAATACTAGACAGAGCCCTGAGGACAAATTTGGAATGAGAATAGGAGGCCTTTAGAAAGAAAAAACTATGATGTCATTACTGTTCACATAAAATACATTTGTTAAGTATTCCTGGAAATTCATCAATTTTCATATCTGTATTATTAAAGTTTTCTGTGTGCAAAATTTGTTTGACCCACTTCAGATGTGGAAAATATATATTTATATTAAAATAAGTACACTGAATATTCCTTGGATATGAAAGTGCACGAGGTGGGAGAGCTGGCAAGAGACTGAGGTTCTTTCAAGCAGACAAGAGACGTTCTGCAGTAAGGAAAATTAAAAACTAAATATATAACATTTCCTAGTTATAATAGTTTATTGCCTCCAGCACTGTACTGTTTTTCCCTAGTATAAGACACAATGTGCAAAAAAACAGTTTTTACACTTTTTACATTAGGTTACATTTAGTTTTTGCACTTATTTTTGCGTGCAATGTTTTACACTTGTTACATTAGGTTACATTTTGCCTAAGGAGATCTTAGGAAAGATACCCTACTGAAGAGGCCATGGAAAAAGAAAGCCATGAGAGGCAGGTCGGCAAAATGACCTGATTTCGAAAATGAATTAAAGATACTGATTCAAGAACAAACAGCAATCAGAATTGCTGGTCCACTACGGTGGTTCGGCATCAAGTAAGAAAAATTACTAGTTTAAAAAAAAGTTACTTACAGAGAAAATTATTGTGGCCGACTGTCAACAACCTTTTTTCTGCCATCAGGCATATGGCTCGAAATAAAGGCCGGTGACAGATAAAGCTACCCTAAACTCACCAAACACAAATTCTCCTAGAGCACACATAACAATCTTTAATGTACAAAGATCATCAAACACCTGGCAGATTGCCCCAAGAGGGTGTAAACGCCCCTATCTGAAATGCAAACCTTGATGGCTTTACAAATCAACATTCATGCCTTCCCGCCCCTATGGATAAGCACTGGGCACAAACCCATACTTCTCCTGACAGGCTCTTCCCACTGAGGCATGCACAGAGTGAGTGGCTGAATGTGTGAGGGCAGAAAATATCACCACAACCAATACCCAAAAACCTTAGATAGTTAATCTAACATAATATAATTCAACAAACCTAACCGTGTAACAATGCTATAAGAGCTTAACTTTGTCAGACACCATAAAACACAATGACTAACATGATCTAACCAAAACACATCTCTCTCAGTCACTACCATGATCAATGACATGCTAATCTCTAGCTGTCCAGTACTAGATGTAGCAGTCACAATCTCCTAGAATTTTTTCCCCCAAATCTCCTCTGTGCAAGCGCTTTGTTAAACCTTTACTGCTATCCTCCTGGCTTCTGGTTATCCGAGAATTCTCCCAAACATACAGCTCAGCCGATCATTAGTCAGGGTAATCTATCCATCTGGCCTGACCGACAGTTCATGCACAGGTCATTTAGTACAGATGTGAAGAATTATCACAATCACACTCCTTATCCCATACCTCTGACACATGTTGTTGGATATTACATTCCCCCCCCCCCCCCCCCCAAATTTCCGGTCTCAAAATCTAGGTGTATCTTAAACATATGATCACCTTATATTTGGGGAACTACAGTAGATTTAAAAAAAAAGGGAGCATCTGTCTTTTCATTTTACATGCTATTTAGGATCTTAATCTCCTAAACGTTGACCTCTCTTTAGTTGATTTATTACAGGTTTATCAAGTAAATATGTTTTGTAAGAATTCAAGATATTAATTATAATTAAAGTAAGTGTATTTTTCCTTTCTTCTTCTTCTTTTTCAGCATTTCAAGCCCTTCAGGCTCACTGCTGCAGATATTACCCACCTTCATTCATCTCTGTGACAAGTCTTTTGTTTTTCAGTTGGTGACTCCAAGTGTTTGCAGGTCTGCCTGTATATTATCTCTTCATCATCTTCTTGGTTTGCCTCATGGTCTACAACTAATCAATTCTCTTGTGTACAGTTTTAACTTTCTGTTATCTGACATTCTATAAATAAGCCCCAGCCATTTTAGTCTATTGGCTGTCCTGATGCCATTGATCAATTGATCAATAGAGATTTAAACAAATTATGAATTTTATTGTTGCTTCTCACTCTACATTCCCCATTTTTTAAAAATCTTTGATAAGTCTAAAGAATCGCTGTAAGACTTTTTAAAAATGTGTAAAAATACTTCATCTCTGTTAGTTGTGATCCAAGTTTCAGAGCCATATAAAACAACTTTCAGTATTTTATTTTAGGTATTTGTTAAAGGTTTGTATATAGATTCGTGTACCTAAACATATGTGCATGTACATTTTAAAATATATTCACCAAAAGGTAATATATGATTAGTGAAATAAAATGTTTGTACAATAGAATTGCTAACATTATTAAAAAGAGTTGGAATAACTTCTGCTTTTTACCCATGGCATTAGAAGCTGGGGTTCAAATTATTGAAGATTTATGTGGATGACAATATTCTGATTCACAATAGATATTGAACCTGTAATTGTCAACAATCGGCTCTGTGGCTAAGTCGATGAGAACACATCCTAATGCCGGGTTCGATCCCAGCTGCGGGCCAGGCACCTTGCGTTGCTTTCGACAGTGGTATCAAGAAAGTCGACTATCCAGAAAGCAATGGCAAACTACTAGACGTAAATTTGCCTAGAAAAACCACACAACAGCCAGGGGCTGTTGGGGTTGGTTCTGCAACGTCCTGTAAAGGATATGCAACTAACCGAATTGTTAACATGAAAAGTAAGCTTCTGATAAAGAAAAAAAAATACAATATGAACCTTGTGGGAAGTCAATTGTTGTCTGAGGTGACCTAAATCTCTTGCTGCAAGGAAATCAAACTGAAGCTTATCCTTAACTGTAGCCAAGTAAAGCTCATACTCATTCAGCAGCTTCTGATATTGATCATGTAGAAATAGACAGTTTTGGATTGTGACTTTCTTTTCTAGGGCCTGAAAAAAGATAAACATGAAAAAATAGTAGCATGACCTCGGAAATAACAAAAATATTCAAACTCCCCTATGAAATGCCATAATTTTCACATGTTTAGATCAAGAATATTGTCCCTCTCTTTTTGAGTATCATTATAGTTTTCAATGCTAAAGGTGATTCAAAGTTGCTCCCCCACCCCCTTTTTTTTTAAAATGATAACTAAAGAAATATTAAAACCAAATCATTATTGTATATCATGGAAGAAACATGCCTGTGAAAGTTAAAGACACATGGATGTCAGAACATCTGTCATGAACACTCTTCAATTAAAATATATGTTTGAGTTTTATTATGTGTTTGTATTTTTTTTTTTTAGGTGTCTGTGCACATATTTGGTAGTGTATGATGGTCATGCATCCATGTGCACCCTGTTCTTTTGTTTCTGTAATGTCAACAAAATTGCCATCAGCCATTAGTCTATTATTTTTTAGTATGAAATGGCTTATCTAATTAAAAATGGTTTGCTTGAACTTTTTAAGTGAATGTGAAAGTTTCAGTCTCTATGATTAGAAAACCAATATATATGTACATATATTACAATTTCTGAAATATAGGACACAGTCTGGATACTGTTCAAACATTCATTATTACATGCAAACTGTGTAGTGTAATGCTCACCTTCTCATGAAGCTCTAAAAATTTGCATTGCAGGTTTGAAAACTGTGCAAAGAAGACCTCAGTCAGATCACTCTGGAGCAGTTTGGACTTCTCAAGTCTTAATTCCTCTATTTGGCTTTCACAGCTCTTTATCCTGGCATCAATTTTCTGAAATTAGTTCAGCATCCTTGTACTGCCTCTTTAACATTGACTATAACAAAACACATTAATATATATGTAAAGATTATATTTTTTTAGCTTTAACAACATAAAAGCCTGACTGTTTATTATTACACAATCTATTGTCATCTTCTCAAGGCCATGCCCCTAGTGCTGGCCATCAATGGCTGTCCAGTTTTCTGACACATGAGCTATGCATCATTTTCTATAATGCCAAACAACTGCCCTCTTGGCCTACATGTGCCTCTCTTCCCCTCCAACATTTCAGGTGTTACCAGTTTTTCATGGCATGTCCAAAAATATGGATTGTTCTTTAAAGATGTGGATAACCAGTTTTATTTGGTAATTAATTGTTTTCTAGACATCTTCAATATGAGTTTTTTTGTGTTTTTTTTTAACCTGTCCCTGGTATTTTTCATAATGATTTGGTATAATATCTACTGTATAGTAAACTATCATTATTTAGCAAGATCTAATATTTCTAAATTATTATGGAAAGATGAACAAAGTGAACCAAGGACAGCTTGCATTATAGGAAGGGTTCTAGTAACAAACTCAGGTCCATAAACAGAGTGACTTTCCTACACACTGATGCCTTGTTATCAGGCAAGACATCTCCTATCTTGCTGGGGTGTCGCGTATTCCTTATTGTGAACACTTTAAAACCTCTCGCTTTTCTCGTCTTTTTACCAGGACTTGCGTGATTATTTCAAAGCTTTGCTACCTGCGCGACGTTCCTCTAAGTGCTTTCTTTGTCTCGGGGAAGGGCCACAGCCAAAAACCATAGAAATACACAAATATCCCAGATTCAATACTCAAAAAGTGTCATGTCTGCAGCCTCCACCCTGCAGTACTTTTTACTTGTACACAGGTGCCTGTGCTGCCTGAAACATACTCTCGACAACACAACCTCCTACAAACATTATATACGCTGACTGAAAACCAAAGCAAACTATATTGTAACACCCTCGCAAAATAGGAGACGTCCTGGGTCTCTATGAGACATCAATGGGAAGGAAAGTCACTCTCTTTCTGGGTCTAACAACATTACTACAACCTAGGAATGTCTGTTGTGAGGGAGCAAACTGGACAATATTTCTCCTGACTTAACAGTATGCCAGATGAACAGCAGCTGAAGTGAATTGATCTTTGAGAGTCTAATTTGATGCCTGACTACAGTAATTGCTTTCAGAGTGCAGGTGTCTGAATGCCCAATCTGGTCTAGAAGTTAGAGTAAACCTGCCAGTGGTATGTGAGAATCAATTCTGGCTCAACCAGAAACAGAAACAAAAACATGTAAATTGTATCAGTTTCTTTAGTGAAAAGAAGTTTGTTAATTAAAAAGTTGTCTAACAGAAAACTATACATATATATTTTTAAGGACTCAGTGTGTTGGCAGCTACCAAACTCTTCTCTCTTTTAATCAGCTTGGCTGAAAGATCTATTTTTTTTTATATTTTATTTTAGGTTGAGGTTTATTGGTTAAGATTCTCTAGAAATCATGTGTGCTTGTGAGGTTGACATCTTTAATGATAAGATTCACAAGATTCATTGGTGACAGTTGTAAATCAACCTCATGACAACAGTTTTTTCCCCATGTCCATCAGTATATATCTTTAACTGAACAAAGGAAGAATTCCAATCCATTGTCATTTCAGGACATGACATAGTGGATTTAAAAATCTGTGAAACCCACACATGACAGTGTTCTCATTATTATTTTCTTAAAGCACACCTTGAAAGCTTACTCATAATTTCTTACTAGTCTGCTGATAATCCTTGATCCACTGGCATCCATCAGGATTCTCATCTCATACAATGCAATGATTTTCATTCTATGAAATGCTGCTGCTGCTCAGGTTGTTCTACATTTAACAACACCATTGAATCAGTTGCTACCAGCAACTCCACATGAATAAAATGGCAACACTTTACACTTAACTTATGTGTCTCATCCATCCAATTGTTACATTAACCCACACTAATCTAATCCTTACTTTAACTCCTTTGTCCAGTTGGGTTATTATTTGAATTTCTGAAGACTCAACATTTATTGGTTCGTGTAACAACTAATTCACTATACAGAAGTGAAAGAGTTAATTTACGTTCCATCTGCATTTCCAAGATACCCATATACTTGAACACACTGACTAGCTGCAGACTAGACCCATTTACATTGATGTATCCTTCTGCAGGAAATATGTTCTTAGTAACTGCCCTAACCTTTGTCAAACTAAGACTGTTATCTAGACTTTCTATTACAATGATATCTATCAAACTGCATACTATAGTGTGAGCTAAAGCTTAACAAAAGTCATGCTACTTACTAGGCTGTCAGACAAAAGCTGATCTAGATCTTCTGAAACTGGTGCTAGGAAAAGCTTTTCTGTGTCAATCATTAGGTTTTGCAATTCTGCAATCTTATCCTTAACATGTTTCCATTGACTTCTGTCATGTTGCAGCTCTTCAAGCTGTGAAAGAACAGCATCCTTCAACATGTTGAATCTTGTATTCAAAGTGGTGGTAATCTTTTCAAGATCTTCACTGGTAATTTCTTGTGAAGTGAGGGAAGCTCTTACTTGTTTGTCAATGTTAGCAATTTCCTCTTGAAGTGAACTGATATGCCCTAAAAGATTCTAATTGAAAAAAACACACATAGATTTATTATTTGCACACAATGTGATGTATGTTAATATGAATGTGAGACAAATACCAAGTTTTAACAATCTATTTGGAGATTATAAAACCAGTTTCTGAATCAAACAGTTCTGGTTTCTTTCACCTTTACACAGTATAATTTTTTTTTTATGGGTGAGAAACTTTTTTGAGAAAAAATGTTCAATGTAGTGCAGGATAAAAATTAATGAGCAGTTAGAAATAAAAAACAGCAGGCCAAGTAGGCTGCTAGCCAGCTACGCTACAAAATTAGAATACCTGTCCACACAGGGGAGACTATCTATAACATGCGTCATTCTAATAAATACACATCACATTGTTCCCATTACTATGGAGTTCATGCAATCTGCTCAGGTTCTCCTTGTCAAGGATATTCTTCATGGAAGCATGAATGGAGACATCTATGTGAAGTATTACTTGGACAAGTAATAACATGTGACGGCAGAAGTGAAACAGAAGTCAAGAAAAGAATAGGGATGGCCAAAAACATTTTCAACAACATGCAAAAGTTACTGACATCAAGAGAAATAAGCAATACATTAAAAATGAGAATTGTCAAATGTTATGCATTCTCAGCCTTACTGTATGGCCAGAGACATGGACAATGAACAAACAACTGGAAAATCGTATCAATTCTTTTGAGATGTGGATATACAGAAGATTAGGTCGTATTTCATGGAAACAAAAGCTATCAAATACAGAGGTGCTGAGGAAATTGGAAATGAAAAGAGAGTTGCTAGGTGAAATAAAAAAGAGACAAGTGAAATATTTTGGCCACATTAAAAGACATAACAGTATTGTAAAGATCATCCTAGAGGGAAAGGTTCAAGGTAGGCGAGCAAAAGGCAGACAGTGTTACAAGTGGGAGGATAACATCAAGAGATGGACGAACAGCAGTATGAGTGAGTGTACATCAAGGGCAAGAGACAGGGCTTGTTGGAGATCTATTACAACCAACCTTCATTGTGGAGATGGCACCTGATTAATTGATTGATGTGAAGCATGAATGGAGATATCTATGTGAAGCATGAAGGGAGATATATATGTGAAGCATAAAGGGATATATCTATGTGAAGCACGAAGGGAGATATCTATGTGAAGCATGAATGGAGATATCTATGTGAAGCATGAAGGGAGATATCTATGTGAAGCATGAATGGAGATATCTATGTGAAGCATGAATGGAGATGTCTCTGTGAAGCATGAATGGAGATATCCATGTGAAGCATGAATGGAGATATCTATGTGAAGCATGAACGGAGATATCTATGTGAAGCATGAATGGAGATATCTATGTGAAGCATGAACGGAGATATCTATGTGAAGCATGAATGTAGATATCTATGTGAAGCATGAATGGAGATATCTATGTGAAGCATGAATAGAGATATCTATGTGAAGCATGAAGGGAGATATCTATGTGAAGCATGAAGGGATCTATCTATGTGAAGCATGAATGGAGATATCTATGTGAAGCATGAATGGAGATATCTATGTGAAGCATGAACGGAGATATCTCTGTGAAGCATGAAGGGAGATATCTATGTGAAGCATGAATGGAGATATCTATGTGAAGCATGAAGGGAGATATCTATGTGAAGCATGAATGGAAATATCTATGTGAAGCATGAACAGAGATATCTCTGTGAAGCATGAATGGAGATATCTATGTGAAGCATGAATGGAGATATCTATGTGTAATAGGGCGGAAGCGACGAAGACTACAGTACAGCAGATTGAAGATCTTGAATTGATTCTGGTTTGAAAATGGCTATAGGCCACCGGAACTAACTAATAGAGTTGGACGGAAAATGGGGAAAAATCAGGCCAATGGGGTATTTAAACGGCCGACTGATTTTTATTTGCCCTTCTCCTATCTGGTGGTCGCTCCGGCTTGTTACGGTCAAAACGCCCTGTTGTCGTTGTCGACTGCACTTGGTCGCAATGCGCAGGTGTGTCAGATCGGAATGGCTGGGCGGCGCTAGATTGGCTCAGCTCAGGGTACGTTCCCTTGGTTAGATTTAATATTAATTTTCATTTGTATTCTTGCCAAGAAATAGTTAGATGGTAGATCGCTGTATATTTGACGTTTTGTTCCAGCACGTGGTCGTTAATGTCGTTACTTGTTGGCCATGCTGATGTGAAGTTAAATAAAATTATGTTCAACGTTGTATTCATAGTTACAGTTGTTTTCTTCAGCTTAGGACTTCTAGTTAGTTTACAAGTTTAGTTTATTCGTTGCTTGGCTATACTAGACTTTACACAGAAGATTTCTTGCCTGGGTGAGATATTCTGATCTTTCCCCCACCAAAACGAAATCTCTCTTTCTTTCTCTCTCTCTCTCGTTTCTTGTTATAAAGGGCCTTCTCCGCCCTGGTACATATGTAAAGCATAAATAGAAATATCTTAAGAAAGTGATCCTTTACCATTATTTAAAAAAAAAAAAAAAATTGCAAAAAGTCATCAAATAAAATATTTGTCAAAATATACTGTTAAAAACTAAAATGACCCCAAAAAAAAAATAAACTGTCAATGTTTCTCCATTTATAAATTTGCAAGCCATTCGTTAGTTTAATGGATAAAATGCTCATAATAATATGGCCATCTATTTCTTTCAGTACATACATATGTTTTTTAAAATTTAATTTTGGTTTTTCTTCTAATTTTTATTTTTGCTTTTTTTTCAAATCAATATGCCCTCTGCGGCATACCAGTAAATGAGGTGGTGGACACACTTGCAAAGAAAGGAACAAAAGATAAACAGCACACAAATTGGCTGTCATTACCAGAAAACTAATCACTTATCAAGGGAAATACATGGAATTTTTTAATGCATAAAATAAAGTCTGTACAATTCCCATAGTATGATTATTTTATTTAATTTTAAAAGTCATATTCTACTTGATTCTGCTCAACCAAGATAGGAACCTTTTTCTTTTATTAGGCTGGGCTCCCATCTGACAAGTCAACCTAACAGTATATCCTGATTCATTGGTTAGTTCAATAAATATGAGTGGTTTCTGTGGAGGTAAATGCAAATGGTGATGCAAGTAAACTGGAAATAGTTTTAAATGTGTTTGTTTAAATGAGGAAATCTACTGATAATCCATGAAATGACCTCTCTATTGTTGAACTGCTGCTGAGTTATTACACCCAATGTACTAGATTAAAAACTGTGATTATAGGAATACTGACATCACACTGTTTTTGATCATAAGTGATGATACATGTGATTCTGTCTACAAACACACTAGCTCTAGTGTTTCTTCCCATTCAACTGCTGAAACCTACAGTACAGGTGTGTACAAGGCGTTTTATCCCAGATAATGTGTCATGTAAATGTGATGCATTTTTGTCTCCTGGAAATATATTTTTACTAATTTCTATAGTAAACAAAACATGCATAGATCACAATAAGGAAGATGTTGGTCAATGAAATGTGCTTTCTCAACCATACTGAAGCAACATAAGAAGCTCTTAACTGTAGATTTGTATCACTCTAAAAAATCATTACAAGCTATTTAATGAACACAGCCTACAAAATACACAGACTGAGCTTTAAAACAGGACTAAAAACTTGTTTAAATATTGTGAAAGTCCTTCTTATAGTCCATGCCATGTGGCCTTAGTAGTCATGTCTATCCACAACCTTCTGTCTAGTGTTTTTCCAATCAGTTTTGACACAAATTATCTTCCATGCACTGATGTCAATCTGTCCAGCATCTTTTCTCTGTCTCTCTCTTTTCCCTTCCAACTTTTCCATCATCATGATGTACTCCAGTTTCCGCTTTCTCATGACACAGCCAAAGAATGTCCATTGTGATTCTGATGTAGGCAATTGTTGTTTTCATGAGTCCATTTCCTTACTGGAAATCAAGGAATGAGACAGTTATTGGAACTTGGAATGTGAGAAGACTCAGGCAAGTATAATCTGGAAAACATGAAGAGTGAAATAGAAAGAAAGAATGTAAACATCTTTGATATGTGAGTAACAAGACACACTAGAGCAGAGAAAAAAAAAAGTTTGGGAGAAAAGAAAGCTCACGTTTAAAATAAAAACCCTTGTTTATTAGTCACATGTTCTCAGCATTCTGCTTTATGGCAGAGTCAACTGCCATATTATGACTTTGTCCGCTTATTTGCACTAGGAAAAATGGCGAAATAGCTTTCACAAGTGATAGCTAGAAAGAATACTTGGCATTAAGTAACAGGACAAGATCAAAAACACTGAGGTATTGGAAAGAACAGGTACTACAAGTCTTCTCAATGCTCAATCTACAAAGGATCAGGTGGCTGGGTCACCCCTGGAGAATGGAGGATGGCAGAGTACCTAAGGACATCCTTTATGGTGAACTAAAGACTGGTAGAAGATGTTGCGGCTGAGCTCTACTATGATATAAGGATGTGTGCAAGCAGGACATGAATGATACAGGTACTGAGGTGGACTCATGGGAACAAAATACCATGGACAGTGTTGTGTGGAGTGGGCACATCAGGAAGGAAATGATCGCTGAAAGGATAAAAGCTGAGCATCTGAGAAGAAACACACTAAACGCAAATGATGGCAACAATAGTCCTGAAATATCATGCTATAACTGTGGAACACTGTTCTTAAAACAGGCAGGTCTGTAAACGCAAATGATGGCAACAATAGTCCTGAAATATCATGCTATAACTGTGGAACACTGTTCTTAAAACAGGCAGGTCTGTAAACGCAAATGATGGCAACAATAGTCCTGAAATATCATGCTATAACTGTGGAACACTGTTCTTAAAACAGGCAGGTCTTGATAGTCACACTCGCTAACACCATAGGCTGCAAGTCCCATGCTTCCTCATAGCACAATAAAACAATATCATCTGGAAAGACAGAAAGATGCAAACAAAGAGCAGAGGAAATGTATTCAGATGGTTATAGAATAACTGAAAGTTATCTACACCTAAAGGTAGATTCTACATGCTGAACAGAGTAACAGAAACAGGAATACAAGGTAATGTGTAAATCAGTATGAAGTAATGTAATTAAAATCAGCAATTAGTGGTGTCAGGAGCCATGTTAGTACAGTGGTTAACATATTTGCATGTCAAATTGGCGACCACATGTTTTAATGTAAATTAAGGTAGGGATCGTTGTTTCCCCTTTGACAAGGCCTCCCAATAATGATTAAACAGAAATCAAACCAGATTTAAGTAAAGGGAAAACAATTTCTGCTTCCATTTCATGGATGTCTGATTGTCTAATTTATCTCCAACAACTTTACTGATATTAATGGAGAAAACAGCAAAAGTAATCTGAAAATTCAAGACATATAGGGCAGGGTTTACAAAAAACAGCAGCAGCATTGTATGACAGGTGTTAGGTTATTGATCATTACCATAAAATTACTCTTACCTAAAAAAAATATTTTTAACAGTAACGAATAAATAAATATTCAGTATAACTATGTACCTGATGTATGATCTCTTCCTCAACAGATATGGGAGCACATAACAGTTGCTGCTCTACCATGTCCAGCCAATGTGAAACATCCTGTAGGTTAACCTGAAATAGATTTGATTTGTATTTAAAGTAAAACTTGTAAGTAATATGGTTTATAAGAGTAGAAATTGCTTCTCCACATTTCTGTCATACCAGTCAATTATTCACATAAACATCAAACACACGATACTAATGATAATATTAACATTTCCAAAACGCGTAAGGTTTTCATCTCGTCTAATGATTACCTTTGAACAAGCACATGTAGATTATCTTCCAGAATACATAAAGTGTTTTAATGATCAAATACAGGTAATGTGGTTAATTCTATGCTGCATTATTCCTTTTATTCTGTATTAAAATTAACATTGTTTTGTTCTTTAGATGGAACAATAAGCATTTTTCTTGTGAGGGGTGTAAAATGTTTGTTTTTGTTAAGGGTTTTTTCTGTGAATTGCTGAAATTCCCAAAATATGGATTAATGGCTTTGTTTTTCTAGCTGTTTTAAAACAAACCCACAAAAACTTACAAATCCACCGTTCTTATAAATCACTACCAGCAATTTTCTTACTTCAGACTTAATTATTCTTCTGCATTGACCCTTAAACCTTAAACGGTCTGTTGGTGCATGTATCCACCCCATCCCCCTCCTTGCCCCCCTTCATGGGGCCCCATAACTTTTGCAGGAAATTCAAATCAATAAAAGCAATGTCTAGTTATCATCAATGGGATTTGAGTAAACTATGATTTGTTTTATTTGTAGTGTTGTTTCAGTACTTAGTGGGTGTATCCAAGAGTGTTTAACCAAACACTATATTCTTAAAACACTTGCCAGGAGTTTATCATTTAACCAAACTGCAGTATGCTAAAGTGAATTTAGTTTTTCCTAGTTAATTTATCTTCCAAATTTTTTCTAGACATCTAACAACATTTTTCTTTCCCCTGAAGTTTGCCAATCAACATAATCTAATTTTATTAAATAAGACCTTCCTAGACTGTTCCTGTGTATCCAACGACTTTATCTTTATTAACAATACAGGTATCTGTCCCAGCTTCCTTATGTGGATCTGGACTGTACAGGATTCAAAAACAAACCCCAACAAAAGATTCCAGTCATGACAAACAGGCATTATAACAGTATATATCAGTAAAGTGTGCTTTGATAACAGCCATTGACAATACCATAATTTTTTTGTTTAAAAAAAACAACTGATTTACATTAAAAACAATTATGCAGCTATGGTCCTTCTTGTTTTTGACTGAATGTTATGACAAAATAACATTTAAACTAAATATTGTCTTCAAAACATTACCTGGTACTTCAGTTGAAAGGATAAAATCTCCTTAAACTGAAGTTGTTTTTCTTTTTTCTGCAACTGGCTCCAACATCCTCTCACATCCACTAAATTTCTTTGCACCTTTTGCAGCTCTCTTAAACATACCGTGTGCCTGGGATAAGCATTTACCGAAACTGTCACCAGCTCCTGAAATGAATTGCATGTGCCAAGTAGACAAACATAAAGGAAAGTTTATGATCAGATTATTTACTATCTTAATTTCAATGACCGGCTGTGATGGGTGGATCTCCAGCATATTATGTCTACTGTGATTATGATACAGACATACATCCCCTTTCTAATCCATTTCTTGGTGTTAACTGTAGACCGAAAGAACTGACTATTACTTAGCTGGACTTTATGAAACAACAGTTGAGACATACTAATTTGTGCTTTGTCTGTCTCAGCAGATGGAGTTATAAATGCTGTTTACTTCCACAGGACACTGAGTGTAGTAAGTACATATTTGTTGTACTTGCAGAACATCACTTTCATTACACCTTTAAAAAAAGGCCCATGATCCTTCATGTGTTCTTCTGCCTAATATATTTTCATGCCATTAATGGCTCATGTACTACTTAAAAAAGTTATCCCATCTCATCGGCCACGAGATTTTGTAATTGTTTCCATGGGCTGCCCTATGACTAGGGGTGTTATGAGTTTACTTTCTTCGCATTCCTTACATGGCATGACAAAAAGTGGCTCCGTTCGTTTGACACCGTTGATACACTTTCTCCCAGACGAAAGTGTGCAGCTTTCTTTGCATAACTCTCTTTTCTGTAAATGGCTCTTGTTTTTGGCATGTGTTGTTTTTGTAAGTAGGTCTCAGGCGCCGAAGGTGTCCTGCGTGCAAGGTTAAGTACTGCAGGGGAAACTGACAGTTGGTGAATATCGAATCCTTGATGTTTTGGTATTTTTACACTCGTTAGCTGTCATCGAGGTGGATGTGCTTAAACGTTCAAAATGAGGAACACATGACACTCTAGACCAGGGCTATTCAACTAAGTTTGCTCTTGGGCCAAAATGTTGAACATGGAGATCATCGCAGGCCAAATGCCCGATCCCACACTACAATTTACATTTTCAATGTGTAGATTTAATGTACTCGAAAACTATTACGCCTAGGACTTAGTCTATATAAATAAAGCAGTGTTGTAAACCATTATAATGTAAAGTGTACTAAAATCTTCTGTAATGATTAATTAAACTAACTTTTAATTCTTCTTCTTCTTCGTATTCACTGGCTGTAAACTCCGACAGAAAGTCCTGGTTGTATGTCCACTTCTGGACTCTAGTCCTGTTCCATAAACTTAGTGTTGCGTACACATCCGTTTTACACGTCTTACTCATTTGCATGCAGACTGTGTGTTCCTTGGCTCAGGCAGATGTACTTCGACTAAAAAGGAAGCTCCCAATTAGTCGACTCTTGCAACATTCTTTTGGGTAGGCAGTGGATCTATTCTTGTTTCCCCACAATAGACTACCGGAACCGACACAGGGATCCATTTTAATAAAAATGTTAGTTTTCCGTTGTCGTTACCTAGAGACTGCGAAACTACTGAACCTATTGTTTTCAAAATTTCACAGAACATTTCCTTTAACTCAATGCATGTTTTCTGTCTGAAAATTGCACACCACAAACGACGCAGTTCCAGCAACGATCAAATCATTATTCGTTTCGTTACCCGCCCGGATTTGTTTTTAGTTGATTGGCCACCTTTAACTGATGAGCAGGGCTGCCAATAGATGCCTTTTCCCACATGATCCATCTCCGACATTTCTTTACCGATCGCTTTCAAATTTTCACACAACGTTGCCTTAGACTCTGCGCGTGTTTTTATGTATGAGTGTTGCACAAACTACAAACGACGTAGCTCAAGCAATGATCATTTCTTTAGTTAATTTTGTTGCCGGTCCGAATTTGTTTTAGTTGATTGGCCACCTTTGGCTCTGTAACACTGAACTTCACATTATTATTATATAATTTAATTTCTACTAAATGCTTGAGTATTTGGTAGCATAGTTGTAAGCATTCCGCCTTTCAAGCCGTTAATCGGCGTTCAATTTCCAGCTGGAGGATATAAATTTTTTTTGGAGGGGGCCCCTAACTGGGTGGCTGCCACGTTTTGTTGTGATTTATAGCTAGCCTGCGATATTTACGCCTTTTTTGCTCAGTTTCGGGGTTTACAGCTAGCCAGCGATAGCGGTGACGTGATGCTCACTGGTCATGTCACGGGTAATATTTGTTCACCCTTGAGAGGGCGGTTGGCACATTGTGTTGTCATTTACAGCTAGGCTGTGCATCTGACCTAAAGTCTTTAGTCTTCAGTAGTAAAGTTGTAAGTATTCAGCCCTTCACTTGGGTGACCAGTGTTCGATTCCCCGCTGGATGATATAAATTTTTTTTTTTTGAGGGGGCCCCTAACTGGGTTGCTGCCACGTTTTGTTGTGGTTTATAGCTAGGCTGCAATATTTACGCCTTTTTTCCTCAGTTTCGGGGTTTACAGCTAGCCAGCGATAGCGGTGACGTGATGCTCACTGGTCATTTCACAGGTAATATTTGTTCACCTTCGAGAGGGCGGTTGGCACGTTGTGTTGTGGTTTACAGCTAGGCTGCAATATCTGACCTTAAGTCTTCAGTCTTCGGAAGTATAGTTGAAAGTATTCAGCCCTTCACGCAGATGACCGGTGTTCAATTCCCCGCTGGGTGCTAATTTTTCTTTTTCCCTTAAAGGGGTGTTTGGTATGTTGTGTTGTGGTTTACAGCTAGGTTGCGAAATCTGCGCCTTATGCCTAAAGACATCAGATTTCAGTAAAGTCCCAATTAGCCTCTATCCGATGTTTCACTCGATCAAAACTATTAATTGATGGCAGAAACTGTTAACTAAGACAACTAAGCGTCCGGTTTGGTTTCGGTCGACACGAATGCCAAGGTTAATTATAAATAGTCTCTTTGGAGAGGGAGAGATGGCAGGTGTGGGTTATTTCTGCTGTTTGAAAGTATAGTGTACTTTTTTCAATCATGGAATATTACTGTGGGTTCCATCACTGGTTAGGTGATGGAGTTTTTGTGTGTGTGTGTTTTTTTAAATGTCCGGGGCACAGTTAAACTAAACAGTCCATGGAGACAGCATGCGGCGCTAACTCCTCTGTCTACAACGACCTGCACAGACAGTAGTGACCGTTTTGTGTTGTTGCTTTTGTTGTGATGGTGGTGGTGGTAGTGGTAGCAGTAGTACTGATATTTGATGGGTTATGTGGTAGCTGTTAAGCTGGCCACATTTACTTCTCAGTACAGATTAATGCTACTCATTTTAGTCTGGGTGGACATGGATGCCAAGCTCAATTTAACAACAATATTTCGTCAGGCGATGACTTTGCCATACTTTGTAGAAGATGATATGATTGTCGGGGGAGGGGAAGGGGGGGTTTTGAGGGGGGTTCATGTCAGACACTGTTAACTGAAAGCTTAAAACATTATTTTACAGTTCTCATTTCTTAACTATTTCTATTTTAACAATGTCGCCGGGTGATAATGTTTCAATCATTCGGAGAGGGAGCTATAATTGGGGAAGGGAGGGGGATAATGAAAGACACTGTTAGCTCAGAGAGCTTATAACTTTATTTTGCAGTTCTCATTTCTTAAGTATTTATATTTTAATACCGCTTCCTCGGCTATGCTTTTTTTTTTTTTTGCCAGTTTGTTAGTCAGTTAGAGGTATAGCAGTCAGCTTTTCTTTCACCTGTTTCAGCGCAAAAAGATGCTTTAGCCTGCGATAAACTAATATTTTTTTTCTTTCTCTAACAGTACACTTTATTCGACACTAATATCGACATTCACTGATATGTTGCGTGTTCTAGAGTTGGCATATCAGACTATCTCTGTAGCTGTGCAATGACTGATATTAACCATATAAGACAGGTGCTCTTTCGATTTTCTTTCTTTTATAGTTTACCATTCTGGGTTACAGCAACACATGGCCGTGTACAGCTAGTAATAATAATAATAATAACTATGCACAGTTTGTTATATGTTTTGCAGAAGAAACCGAAAGATATAACGATGCAAAATGTAATTAATGGGAAATGCTGCATTTTCGTTTTTTAGCTAATTTTACCAAATTTGGCTGGTGTGAAGTTAGAACAATTCTCATGCAATCCTGCAGCCTGTCATTGCTCAGTGAGCTCTGACTGTTTGTCTTGATGACATTCGTGTGTGATAAGCTTGATTGACAAGTAAAAGTGGAGCCAGACATGGTGAGTATGAATACATCAACTTTTCTAGCAATAGGGAGCTGCTCCTGTTGAATCCTCTCGTACCAAAACTTGGCAGTACCACTTTCTTGAAAATCTTCATTCAATGCGCTGGAACTTTTGATATCCACAAGTTCTAACTGTAGAGAACCTTCATCAACAGAGAATATCAACTTCTTAGCATTGGGAGAAAAATCACACGCAGAGGGTATTAAAAGGATCTCGAACGAATAACATTACATTGCTTGGGATATTGAAGTCATCAAATCTGTTGTTGAAATTATTTTGAAGCTTTTAAAAATATTTATGTCATTTGATTGGTTAAGGTTGTCGAGTCCGGTGTTGAAGAAATAAAATGGCAAGCATTCTGGTTTCAAATTAGGCATAGTTGGTGACGTAATTAAATATTTCAGTGTCCATTTACTGCTGAATGCACGATTTTCACTTATTAAAAGTAGATAATTTAAAACACTGTTACTAATTCAGTTTGCTACTGTACAATCGTGTTTGGCAATCTACGTCTGACTGTGACTTGTATGTGACTGGACGTTCTTCTGGATGTTATAATCTGATAGCAAGATCACTAACAGGTATTCTGCGGTGTCCAGTGTTACTTATGTTCTGCTGCGTCCAATATCATTAGTGTGTATGTACTAGTGGCACCCATTAAGGATAGATTCTCTGTAATCTTAGCTCTGTCAGGACCCTGCAGGTATTTCCGTAAGCCTCCTGTCCAATCAATATCTCACCTTCATTGACTGTCCAGTGCAGCGGTGGCCTTCCTACCTGTTACTTCATTCTTTCCAGCCTATCTTATTACCTCTGGCTTCAAACAGGCAAGTTTTGCTATCTGAACGAACTGGGAACGAACTTTCACCCTGATCTGATTACTTTTTCTGTTCCTATGTTGGTTCCCTTGTATCATTCTCAGATTCCTGACAAACACTTCCTATTGAAACATTCTTCACAATTAGTTTTTGAAGAATTTACAGACACATTGATTGATTAAATTTTTTTTTTCTTTTTAATAACTACATTTTGTGTTTTTTGACAACCATCGGCGGGCCACTTGCTAGGCCACGGCAGGCCAGATTTGGCCCCCGGGCCGCCAGTTGAATAGCCCTGCCCTAGACTATAGGAATGCCCCGGGAACTTTTATGAGTTGTACCATAGCTAAAATGTCCTGTATTTACCACTGTGTTGGTCAGCTGCTGCAGTGTTTTACGTGAAAGATTTTGTTAAATTTTTTATTTAGATATCATACTGCTTATGAGCAAGATGTCCTCAGTGATCAGATCTTGTTACTGATACAGTGTAGAAGCAAGATGTCCTCAGTGATCAGATCTTGTTGTTACTGATACAGTGTACAAGCAAGATGTCCTCAGTGATCAGATCTTGTTGTTACTGATACAGTGTAGAAGCAATATGTCCTCAGTGATCAGATCTTGTTGTTACTGATACAGTGTAGAAGCAAGATGTCCTCAGTGATCAGATCTTGTTGTTACTGATACAGTGTAGAAGCAATATGTCCTCAGTGATCGGATCTTGTTGTTACTGATACAGTGTAGAAGCAAGATGTCCTCAGTGATCAGATCATATTGTTACTGATACAGTGTAGAAGCAATATGTCCTCAGTGATCGGATCTTGTTGTTACTGATATATTGTAGAATGTGGATACAATATCACTATTAGAAAAGGGAAGAAGAAAAAAAAGAAAACTATGACAATACAGTAACTAAAACGAGAGTCCAGCAATGAACAGCACAGTAAACGGAGAGGTACCACAGTAAATGACAAGTTTCTCCTATCTTGAACAGATGATGGCAGCAATCAAATAGAAATAAAAAAATATTTGTAAAAACATGAGAAAAATATTAAAATCTAGACAGATTTAATACATTTAAAAAAAGTAAGTCGGCGTATTACGTACAGGATGTTGCAGAACAACCCCAGCATTTTTCGGCTGTTATTTCTTTATTCTCCCAGAGTGCAAAAATCTATTGAACCATACATTTAACAAAATAGTCTCATTTGGGGGCAAAATACTGTTAGAAAGAGTGATGATATGTTAGAACATACCTGGGGCTTTCTTGTTCTCAGAACAAACCAAGAATTGTCTTTCTTCTCTGTAAGAATTTGGTAAAGTTTATCCCAGTTTTCTTTAACCCTCTGTGTAGTAATCCTTGTTTCTGAAGAAGATGAGATCTTCTGCCAACTCTCATTAGAAATTTTAGCCGTAACCAACTGCTTGTGACTCTCTGTGTCTACAGCAGGCCCCTGTGGATAAACAGTGCAACATATTTAAGCATATCGTTTAGTTGCTCTCAGCTACTGTCAGTCAGCACAGATGTACTAGTCATCTACTCAGAAGCTGGAACTTTTCCTGTAATTATAGTGTGTCTTGTGTCTAGGTTGCCAGTGGAATGTTTAACATAGATCCCCCTAACTATATTTGTGTATGTTAGCAGTCTCTTTAACAGAACCATCTGTTGACACACATGTTATGTTATCACAATCAACGTCACTGCACAATGGGCATTCCCATGCATGCTCAGTCCTCAATGTAGCAACCACTCCAAGTTATTTCTACTTACTGTTCCCATGAGAAGTTGGTTATAATGTCTCTCATGTCACGAAATCGTGATGGTGTCAGCAATCTATTAATATCCACTAGCCCAGTATACAGCATTGATGATATCTGCTCTGTCCACGCTTCTTCCCACATGCGTTGGTGTATTGCTAGCCAGCTGGTCTGCTTGTTCATTACCATTTACGCCAGCATGACCAGGTGTGTAGATCCAGATGAGGGAGGTTAAGTGTGATTTTTTAATGATTTCCGAGCGTATACCGTCTGTTGCTATGTTCCGAAGCATGTTTTTGGAGTCTGTTACAATTACTGCATGTGTGGTTGTTTGTTCTGCTGCCCATGCTTGTGCTCTAGAAGCAGTGGGTATCTTCATGGCCAGTTTTGAAGTAGTTGCCTGGTAAGCGCTGCTGTCCTCTTGTATTGTTTTTCCTATCCTTTGTGCTGTGTATGCCATGCTGACCTTGATCTGTGCATCACGGATCCATCTACGTAGATAATGTCTTCAGGGTGTGAAAGCTGATCCATCAGTGCCCTTACCTCTGTGTCTACGGCCGCAGAAGTCTGATCCCTGAATTACCTTCTCAGTGTGATGACAACCTTAGAGTTGCCATGCATGTCTACTGATGTATTTGTCCATTCTTTCCTGTGACTGATCTCGTCTAGGTAACATACCTGCTGGATGAAATCTTCAGTCTTGGCCATTCAGGAGTGGCCTCTTTAGAAGCGCATTCCTTTTTTGTCGTGTATAGCTTTATGCAATGGATGGTTAACGTCTGCCGATACCCTCATGTATACCTTGACCTGTGCAACTTTGTGTCTGTTCGCCATCGTCAGCAAACTTAGAACATATGCATGACATGGCAAGAGGTGTCTTTTGTGCAGCCAATTATGAGTCTCATGGCCTCATTTTGTACTCGATCCAATCTATCTAGCTGGGTTCCGTTGACAGTGAGGAGGCCCAGAACATAGACAATGACAATTAACACAAGCCCTTGATATAAGAGGAAAAGTAGGTGTTGTTTAATATTAGCAGCTGCAAGCACCCTGAGTGCTGTCAGACCTTTCCTGGTTCTAAGTATGACATGTCTACGTGAAACATGTATGAAGCATCTGGTTATGTCATGCCTAGGTATTTCATCATGACCATTCTCTTGATGTCCACACCACACATGCTTATGACTGGCGTTGGTGTACTGACAATGTGGGTATTCAGAGAGAACCATTTTAAAGAGGCCATTGATGGATTCACTTGTGCTCTATTTTCATGGACACTCAACTGAATTTGTCTAGTTCATTTTGTAGGTAGCTGCAATTTCGGGCCTGTTTCTACTTTGATGGTATACTAGAATATCACCTGCATATGCCACTATTCTGCCCAGGCCTACGGTTTTATGCAATGATGACTCCTGTTGTTTACCTCCTGAAGTGCACCAGCGACAATGGTGATCCCTGGGGCAGACCATCAGGATGTGCTGAGGTTTTGATGCCTGTGCACCATATTGCAGCCACACTGTTCTTTCCAATAGCTCTGCTGCGATCCTTTTGACCCATTTTGTTTTTATGTGCATATCCAACAGCAATGGGCATCTTCTAAGTCAATAGCAGCTGCAGCCATTTCCATTCCCTCCTGGAAACTCTTGTATGTTGACACACATGACCAAATGGAAGATCCTACCTACTGAGCAAGACTAATGAGTAGTGAGAAAATGCAATTTTCTAAAACCCAGGTTATTAATTTCGGCATTTAAAAAAGTTTAACATATTATTCTGTAAGTCAACACACACACATGCACACACACACACACACACATATACACGCACACCCACAGGTGCTATATATATATATATATATATATATATATATATATATATATATATATATATATATATATATATATATATATATATATATATATATATATATATATATATATATATATACACACACACACACACACACATACACACACACGTCTCAGGCAATCAGGTAATACTTGATATGGCAACAGCTGTGATGTACCAGCTGAATACGATGTGGAAAAGCAAAATCAGCATCGCAGTAACGGTCAATATATACAGATCACTGGTATTGTCTATTTGCTGATACGGATTTGAGAGTTTGTCTCTCACTGTGGACATGGAAAGGATGATTTGGGCTTTCCATTATAAATGCTATAAACGAATTTTACGACTTGGTTTTTTAGAACATAAATAAACAAATTTGCAGGATTTCCAGAGCCTCTCTTGGCAGTGGTGAAATGTCGCAAGCTAGCTTGTTTCAGGCAGGTGGTGAGATATGATTCAATTGCAAAGACTGTACTTCAAGGAACACTGGGGGGTAGTTGAAGAAGAGGAGGACAAATAAGAACCTGCAAAGACAACATCAAGAAATGGACAGGACTAAGTTATCATAATCTTATTCAACAAGCAGAATACAGAGAAAGATGGCACATTTTGTGTGCCAGTGCTTTCATTTTTACATCTCCATGACCCTAACAGGTACAGGAACATGTTAATCAGGTAATTGTAGTTCCAACTGCATAGCAAATGGGTCACCCCATGGTTGCTCCATTCCTGTGCCAACAAAACTGCACACAGAATGTCTTTCAGTGTCCCTTAAGACAAAATGACACAGACTGCAGTCTCAGCAAATCCACCAGCACACAAACATATTAAATGCATAAAACAACCATTAGAAGTGCCAACAAAAACAGTCTGACACTATAAATGCAATTCATTGTTAATGGAAGCAACACTTCCAACATATCAGTAGTAGCACATGCAATTAGTCACATTAGGCATCACCAGTTTTCCTCTGGCAAGAGGCCACTCACCAGTTTCTGAATCTGCAGTTCACAACATGGTGGGCACAGGTGAAAAGTATTTCAAATGACATGCAAAGCTCACAGTATCGCACCAAAAGAAGAAAATGCAATGGTTAACTATTGTCAGAAGCGAAATCTTGCCATGACTAAAAGCACTAAATCTGCTTATCTATCATACTGTCCAGAAGGATATATATATATGTATTTTTTCTTCTATATATATAGGTAAAGTCAGGAGATGTGAACCAGCGTCATTGCACACAGTTATAAACCATAAGTGCTCTGCCACCAGTACAGACAGCTGATAAGAAACAGTCCGCCTGTGTCGCCGTACGCAAGCAACTCTGTAGCTACAGCGATGTTCCTCCATTTAGCCCAGAGTGTTAACTCTGGTACCTATTTCCTAGAGGCTGTGTGGACCTCAGGAAGCGCCTGGTTTTGAACACTGGCCATGGGCTGCAGCAAGTCACAGCTGTATTTGAAAGCGAGTCTTCTATCCACATATATATATATAAATGGGAGACAGACAGACAGGGATAGACAGACAGAGACAGAGAGAAAATCTGCTCACAACCACTATAAAGTTTGTAGAAAAGGAAAAACAAAAAGAATAAGATACAGGGTCCCAACAGTAGCGCAAAACTACTTGCCTGTCTGGTTTCACAGCTTTCATGGTGAAGTCACCCAATGACTTAAATCTTATTCTTATGAATGTTGAAAGAAACTGAAGATATAATTCTCTGGTTAATCCCAGCTTTCATAGGAGCACAAAATGATTGGCAGTTCAAGTCAGCTGATCTGTATCCAGAATAAGGTATCATACTGTCTGCCTTCAGGCTGTTAATTCTTTTACAATAAGTGTAGACTGACATCTGTATAATCAAACTATCAAACACTCACTCATTAACCAGCCTCAGATAGCCATCAACTCAGTGATTTGAAGCTTATGAGTAACATAATCATTTTAGTTGCTCGACATGCAACCATTATTGCTTGACATGCATTTCATTGTATAGGATACAAAATATATACATTTTTTATCATAACTTCACAGTGCTAGGGTAGTACAAATGCTAAATTATCATAAAGGTAGCATAAAACATTTATGTGATGTTGACAGAGATAATTATAAATTATACTAATTATTAAAAAAAAACATGAAGAAAAATCAACAGCTAAAAGTCAGTGCATTACCTGGAGCTGCCTGCCTGTATTTTCTGCCAAAGTTTCCAAATCTGTGCTCCTGTCAGTCAACATTCTCATGGTTGCTTCTACTGCATTATGTGCTGCTACATTTGGAGACTTCAGCAGTTGATTAGCAATACACCGAACCTGAGAAATATCTTCCTTTAAGCCGCTGATTTCATGCTGAATTACCTAGTGAAGACATTTTATGATAGCAGTGTGATCCCACTGTTTCTTGTAGCAGACACTTTTATTATAAACAGAAATGCACGATGTGACTAAAAACTGCATGTCAATAAAATAACGATTAATAAATTAACAGTAATAATTAAAAAGTGGTAGAATTAAAAGCCATATATAATTCAAAGATGCAAACAGCGGGGAATGGAGAGTGAGAATCAACAACAAAATTCATAATCTGTTTAAATCACCATTGATCACTGGGTTGGAGCATACTGAGAGAATGTCAGATGACCAGGAAGTGAAAACTGTATACACAAGAGAGATGACCACAAGGCAGACCAAGAAGACGATGGAGAGATAATGTCCAGACAGATCTGCAAACACTTGGTGTCACCAACTGGAAAGAGAAGGCCAACCAGAGAGATGAATGGAGGTGGGTGATATCTGCAGCAATGAACCTCAAGGGCTCGGAATGCTGAAGAAGAAGAAGAATAAGAAGAAGAAGAAGAAGAAGAATAAGAAGATGAAAAAGAAGAGAAAGAAGAAGAAGTAGAAGAAGAAGAAGAAGAAGAAGAAGAAGAAGAAGAAGAAGAAGAAGAAGAAGAAGAAGAAGAAGAAGAAGAAGAAAAAGAAAGAAGAAAAATAATTAAAAGCCAACCAGAAAATGACAGTATGGTAGGAAAAAAAATCACATGAAGAAAAACAAAGCCAGTAACATATTCAAGACTTAGAAAACAGAAGCCGAGAAACTAGTTAGGGGGACTTTAGTAATCCATGTGTTGGGCAAGATAATGTTACTGAAATTATCTGATTTATTGACCCATGACCAGAAACTGTACAAGCCATCAAACACTAAATGCCCATACTAAGAGTTGATAAAAACAAAATTCATGAATTCCTGAAATTAGTCAACTGGATTGCTTTTTTTTATAAGGAAAATTTACTATGTCCTGGCATCTGGGCTCTTCCTTATCACCAGTGTTATTCAACATCTATACAGGAAACTTAGATAAATTACAACCTACTCAGCCAGGACAAACTTTCACAGCCACTGACATCTTACTGTCTTGGATTGGCTACAACAGACATTAAATAATCAGAGACACAAGAGATATTACAGAAGTATAGCAGACATTGCAATGATTGAGTGGTGTGCATTCAGTACTCAACCTTAGAAAGGCTAGAGTAATGTGGCACTTGATAAATGCATTCAGTACTCTACCTTAGAAAGGCTAGAGTACTGTGGCACTTGATAAACTCATTCAGAAAGCAGACTTTTAACCCCCTCCCCCTTTTTTTGTCTGAAAAGGCCATTTTTTGACTTTTACGACTTCTGGTTGACATGATGTCTTTAGTCAGTGCCCAGCATGCATTTGTGTGATAGCTTTGGTAATGGCTACAACTGACTAGTGTGGGGACATTGTGGGTATGATTATATTTAACCCCCACACCCACCCCCCCCCCCAACATTTTTAACATATAATTTATGCTCAAAATACATATTTTTTAAAATTTGTGGATTTATCAAATCCTCATTAAATTTTATTTTTGTGTCACATTGCTTGCTGAGGAAAATTGATCAAAATCACTTTTAAATGGTCAAAGGGATGGAAAGCAGTTAATTTGTTGCTGCCTTTGTGTGTGGTGATTACTTCCTATTACACAGAAATAAACTTTTTCCCAATTTAGACATTTATTGACTGGAACAGTTATCAAAATTGTTTTATTATTGTGACAACATCAAAGAAGTCGAGAACTTCATGCTTGCCTGTCAGTGATCTAGGGGTTTCGACTCCCTGCAAATTTTTAAAATCTTACTAAGATTCCACATTTATTTTTCTTCTTTTTTTCTTCTTCTAGTTTCTTAGGTTTGAGTTTCAGATCATCATCATCAGGTGCCTTGCCGACTGTCATAGGCCATCATGCCTCTCCACAATCTGCAATCTCCTGCAGCATGTATTAGTTCGTATGCTGACACACCTTCATGACATGCAACAAGACTGTCAAGAATCTTCTCTCGTTGCCTTCCTCTATCCCTCTTTCCAGTGGTCACAGCATGTTCCATTTTCCTTCTTCTCATAACATGGCCGAAAAATGTTGACTGTCTCCTTCTGATGTGTGTGATTAGTTGTCTTCGGGTTCCTGCCTCTTTCAAAACCTCTTGGTTGCTCTTTTTGGCTGTCCAAGGTATTCTAAGCATTCTTCTGTAAAACCAAATCTCTGAGGCCTCAAGAAATTGTTTGGCCTGCCTATCGATTGTCGGGGACACAGCCATATGTTAAAACTGGATGCATGTAGCAAGCAAAATAAAGAATCTATCAGCCAAGGACACACTAGTCCACTACAGTAATATAATGAGCTTAGTTGTAGTAAAATTGTTCAGTGTCTTAATGCAAACATACTCCATATGTTTCAGATAATTTTTTTCCTAATTTTCTGTAGCTGGTGCAAATTATTCAAGTTCTCGGTTTAATGTTATTGACATTAACATTTATGATCAGCACACCTGAAACTGTATGATGCCTGTCTCCAGAGGAACATCAAGGCAATGAACCAATGCAATATTCAACTTCTCCATCTTGGTAATAAGATCTCTAATACTTCGTTGGTACTGTTCCTGTTTTTGGAGCACTGCCTTCCCATCAGGAGTCTGTAAGGCAGAAATAATTTTGTTATAAACATTTTTAGTTCAAATGCGGTTTCACACTTCTGAATGTGAGTTAATAAACAAGAGTGAAACACATTCACATTTTTATTTTGTTCCATATCTAATATTTCACTGGCTTCTTACAGCGCTGAGTTAACTAAGCTTCATTACCTTTTTCCAGCCAGTTGAAACAAATTAATCTTAAGATAGAAGTAAAGCATTTGTAAACAAACAAAAAACATGCTCAGGGGATTTTCAAAACAATTACATTTTTCGACTGTATTCACTGCAACTGATACAATGGCAAAAAAATACAGAATATTAAGGTGGCTTACTATAAATAGTGTTCAACGAAGTATTGCAAAAGCCTCACAATATTTAGATACTGGATAAATTACTAGGATTGATTTTTGTGGTTATGTTGGTTTTAATGTTTCAACAGAAGTCAAGTGTTAAACATTGTCTAAACCTGGTATATCTCAGTGAAACATGATCAGAGTAACACAAAATTTACCACTGCAATGTCTGACACAAATGAACAATAGAATACACAGTTACTGACAAATTCAGGCATTGGTCATTGAGAGGAGGTCAGTTAGTTCTGTTGGCTAATAACTGTAAAATACCTCAAAACAGTGACATGGTCAAGTGGATAAAAAGTGTCATAAAAAACATGTATCTCTACTACATTCCAAAGTCTGTCTTTTAAAACAAACATTTGTAGAGTTAAACTATAGGTTCCTAAACTTTGTGTCCATGACCTACTGCCACCTTTTGTAATAATAACTTTAAAAAAATTCACTGAGCAAAAAACTTAACAACATGAGTCTGAAATGAAATGTGAGCACAGCCAGAGAATATATAATGTTTAAGAAACCACTAGATGTTTTATATAAAACACCACTTGATGTTTTGTATAAAACAAAGACTCTATACCAGCCTATATGATTACTATAATGATAAACATACATTTAAAAAAACACAACTACAACACTAAATGCATGCCATTAAGGCAAATTGGTAATTTATAGGTCCAGCTGTCAATCTAGGGTTAGTATCTGTTATAAAACTGTGTTAACTTTAGGGCTGTACTGTACTGATCATGGCAAGAACAATTCCTACCACTTGTTGGTTCAACCCACAGACCACAGAGTTGGCATGCTTATGTGTGTACATGCATGTGTAGATATAAATATGTGTTAGATGTGTGTTGGTGAGAAAAACATAGCAGCATAGACAAATAAACAGAATAATGTTTGTTGTTGTCACCTTTCTGTTTTTCCAGATGATAGTTTCATTTTGTACTACAGGAGGTATGGGAATAACAGCCCACTGAGATGGCAAGTGTGACCAGCAAAACCCAACCATGAGAAACCAGTTAAGGCCAGGGATAAAGATCCTTCTCTTAATAGAACAAAACCTGGGCAGTATTGTAGAGACTATGTGTTGCCAATTCATCATTATACACCTCGCCCCCTCCCGGCCTACATTATTTATTTAAAAAAAAAAAAGGAACACCAATATGTTTTGAACAAAGCAGGTTGCAAAGTCTGCTGGGTAAGAAGATCAGTGCTCTGTCTGCCTGTCGGAGGTTCCAGCCTAGACCAGCTGCCAGCCAAGGCTAAGGGCTGGTCTGCTCATGAAATTTCAGGTTGCATTTCCTCTTCTTAGGATAAGGTTAGTATCCTCTGCAATACCCTCCTCTAACCAAGGCTGCTTGCACAATGTGGGATGTCAAATTTGGTAAACGCCGCCCAACATTTGGCATGAACAGAAAACATGTAGTACTGACTACTGTTTTATGGTAGTTCAATCATAACTGCCCAAGACCTCACACATACAAATTATCTTGCATCGACTGGGAATCGAACTCATGTCATCTGCATTGCAAGCAAGTATTATACCACTAGATCACTGATACAGTAAGATGACAATGTTCATTAAAACAGTGTCATTCTTGAAAAACTTATTTCAATCATTTGTATGCTCATTCACTCACTCACTCACTCACAAATACAAGAACTCCTCTGCCTCAAGTATTCCATGCATACAATACAGTAACATATCCCAACATATCACAGATAAAGCAGTTTAAACCAGCCATCATACACATGTTAAGATCTTGAGAACCACCAACATACAGAAGCTGCCAATCATTTTTTAAGCGACAATAACAAATTTAAGGTAAAAATTAAAAGAACCAAAAGAAGTTAACATAGGTCAGATATTATGAAGTTAGCTGACAGAGCATAGCATGAACTTGGAACTGTATACAGTAGGCTACTGTATTGGGTGTGAATGTCAGAAATGAGTCACAAACAAGGAAAAAACATTCACACATTTCTGGAGTAGGCCATTTTACTGACTGATGTTGCTTTTACTGGCTGACAACTGAAACATGTACTGATTTGTTCAATACAACCAATGTGTCTGTGTTAAAATCCTATCTAGAAGGTTATCACTGTAAACGTCTGCCTCTTGGAAAAAATACTAGAAGACATTCAAAATAACAAACTGGTACAACAAGCAATTCTTCTGAGAACAAGTGGATCATAAACTAAACACTAATAAAGTTAAAGGAAACATTTTCTTACCTTGGGTTTAGCAGTATGAGGTGCCCATTCTATTAAATCTGACAGTTTATTGGTAAAGATGTCTGACAAAAAGTTGCTTTTCATATCCAAGTCAGTATTTACAGAGAAAAGGTCATCAGATGTCACAACACATGGTGCCTGTTCATGTTTAGCACACAAAGTGTCCTGCAATTGCAATCCAGACATATCTTCTGGTTTATCATCAAACATGTTGTCAATTTGTTGGAACTCACAATACATGATTTCACTGTTGAAGCGCCTATTTATCCATTCACTTTTTGCTGTTGCATTGCTGGATTGGTTGTTCATAGTATAATTGTGATTTTCAATGTCCTTCTCACACTGAAACTTATCACCACTAAGCTTATTATGAGTGATATGCTCAGCAATCTCAATACTGACTAAACTTTGCTTGTTCTTCCCATCATCATTTTCCTTAGCATTATTTCTGAAAATGTCAAACTTATTCTTGGAGACAGCATCTGTTAGGGTGGACTCATCAGATGAAACATTATTGTCACCTTTATGCTGGTCACCTGTCCTTAGCTTATCAGTATCAGATGATTCTATTGCATTCTCCATAACAAGATTCACTTGTGAATAAGTTCCACCTTGGATGTCCTCTGAGAATGTGGTTAATGGTAGTGGAACCTTCAATAAATCCCCTGTGTTTTTTGTCCAACTCTGACAATGTATTTCACTGGTTTTTTTCTGATCTGAGAAACCCATCTGGATGTTTTCACTACTTAAATTATTTAATGGCAAAAGCAGACAACTGGATAGTGTGGCTGTGGGATTTTGAGAGCTACCATCTGCCTTAAACATAGCTTCTTCGAAGGAGTTGATGCGATTACTAGTTTTTATAGTTGTACCTAGAGAAAGATTATCATTCCTGAATGTAAAGCTTTTGGGTGCTGGAAAGCTACGAAAATCACAAACAGTTTCTGAAATGTTAGCGCTTTCTAAACTTTCATGTTTACTGCCCATCACACTGTCAACCAATGGTGTCAAAACATGATAACATGATTTATCTTTCTCTTCATGGACAAAATGCTCTGTTCTTTCAGTTGCTTGTTCATTTTCTTCTTGAAAGTTTCCCACTGATAAATTATCAATTTGCTGAGTGATTCTTTGTTTCATCATGTAACTTACTGACTTAATGACTGATTGTTTCTCAAAGCTGTTTACGTAACAGATATGTTCAACCTCTTTTCCTTCTGTATCATCTAGAAAGGAACGTTGAGGTAAACTATCTTTCCAAAGGCATTTTTCACATTCACTATCAGCTTTATTAAGTTCTCTTTCCCCAGTATCACTGCTGCCTTTATGATATGGTGAAACAATACAATCTTTATTGGTTTCAACCCTAGCATTGAACACATTGGATATACTTTCAGCATGTGTGTGTATCTGATCAAGAGTATTTGCAGAATCATAATTTTGTTCATACATTTTAATGCAGTTTCCCATGTTTTCAGTACTTTCACATTCCTGTTTGACCAAAAGTTCAGTGTCACCATATGTCCTTGAATCTTCATGAAAGTTCTCAGTTAAACATTCAGGATCCTCACTTTCCAGATTAACTTCACATTTTGAGTCACTAATTCTTTTAGAATCCTCTGTGTCATTCTCCAAACTGTATTCAGTAATTTCACATGTCCATTTGACTATATGTTCTTTGTCACAATTACTGGAATCTTCAACACCATACTTTTTGATTAGTTCACTTTTTTTACCTTCTTGTTTTATTACATTTCCTGTGTCACATGTCCTGAAATGTTCACTTTCACTCTGTGTGCTATATTCAGAATCATTTTTCACAAAACTGGTGTAACTAACTTCCCTTAAAATCTTCAATGACAGAGCCCATGGAATACACAGTAACATCTCTTCTCTGGTTGAGCACAACTGTTGTGTCATTATCCAGTCTACAATCTCCACTTTTACTCTCCATGACATTTTCAGTATTTTCATAACATCCACTGACAAGCTCCAAGTCATCTTTTTTATCATCATTATCAGAATTCTCTAGGACATGGTCTGTACCTTCAAATCTATGTTTAACGAGCATTGTTGTGTCGTCTTTTCTGGATTCTTCTTTGTCATTCCCAACATTGTCTTCAGTATAATAATTTGTATTGTCAGTCTCTATGAAGTAAAGAATATCTTCACTTCTGTGTTGGATCACGCACTCTGTGTCACCTTTGCTAAAATTCCAGTTGTCATTCTTCACAGTATATTCAGTATCAAAAAATGCTTTGACATTCTCTGGGAAATATTGAGTATCTTCATTACTTTGATGGACCATACATCCTAGGTCATCTTTGCTAATATTTCCATGGGCATTCTCCACAGAAAATTCTGTACCATGGCTTTCAATGTCATTCTCTGAGAGATACTGACTGTCTTCATTTCTCTGACCAAAGAAATGTACTGTGTCATCTTTGCTGTTTTCATTGTCATTCTCTGAGAGACATTTGGTGTCTTCATTTCTCTGACTGACCAAATATACTGTGTCATCTTGGTTGTTTTCATTGTCATTTCCCAAAAGACATTGAGTGTCTTTGTTTGTCTGACTGACCAAATATACCTTGTCATCTTGGCTATTTCCATTGTCATTCTCTGAGAGACACCGAGTGTCTTCATTTCTCTGACTGACCAAATATACTGTGTCATCTTGGCTATTTCCATTGTCATTCTCTGAGAGACACTGAGTGTCTTCATTTCTCTGACTGACCAAATATACTGTGTCATCTTGGCTATTTTCATTGTCATTCTCTAAGAGACACTGAATGTCTTCATTTCTCTGACTGACCAAATATACAGTGTCATCTTGGCTATTTCCATTGTCATTCTCTGAGAGACACCGAGTGTCTTCATTTCTCTGACTGACCAAATATACTGTGTCATCTTGGCTATTTCCATTGTCATTCTCTGAGAGACACCGAGTGTCTTCATTTCTCTGACTGACCAAATATACTGTGTCATCTTGGCTATTTCCATTGTCATTCTCTGAGAGACACCGAGTGTCTTCATTTCTCTGACTGACCAAATATACTGTGTCATCTTGGTTGTTTTCATTGTCATTTCCCAAAAGACATTGAGTGTCTTTGTTTGTCTGAATGACCAAATATACTGTGTCATCTTGGTTATTTTCTTTGTTATTCTCTATGAGGCACTTAGTGTCTTTATTTCTCTGACCAGCTGTGTCATCTTGGCTATTTTCATTATCGTTCTCTGAGAGACACTGCATGTCTTTATTTCTCTGACTGACCAAATATACTGTGTCATCTTGGCTATTTTCCTTGCCATTCTCTGAGAGACACAGAATGTTTTTATTTCTCTGACTGACCAAATATACTGTGTCATCTTGGCTATTTCCATTGTCATTCTTTGAGAGACATTGAGTGCCTTCATTTGCCTGACTGACCAAATATACCATGTCATCTTGGCTTTTTTCATTATCATTCTCTGAGAGACACAGAATGTCTTCATTTCTCTGACTGACCAAAAATACTGTGTCATCTTGGCTATTTCTATTGTCATTCTCTGAGAGACATTGAGTGCCTTCATTTTCTTGACTGACCAAATATACTGTGTCATCTTGGTAATTTTCATTTTCCTTCTCTGTGAGACACTGAGTGTCTTCATTTCCCTGACTGACCAAATACACTGTGTCATCTTGGCTGTTTTCATTATCATTCTCTGAGAGACACAGAATGTCTTCATTTCTCTGACTGACCAAATACACTGTGTCATCTTGGCTGTTTTCATTATCATTCTCTGAGAGACACAGAATGTCTTCATTTCTCAGACTGACCAAATATACTGTGTCATCTTGATATTGAGTATTTTCACTTTCCTGTGGAACTGAATGTCCTGTGTCACTATCTCTACAAGAATCCTTACTGGCATTCTCCATCACATAATCAGCTGTGTGAGCTCTCTGCCTAACTATAGGTCCAGTGTCATCATTTTTATTTCTGAACTCACTTCTATCATTTTTTATGACAGGCTCAATTTCACCAATATAGAACACCATGTGATCACCATGAAGCCCTTTCTCAGAGAGATCTGTGCATTCAAGTATATCAGTTGTGAAAAGGGTTGCTTCCACAGTGTTATAAAACTCAGCCTCTGATGTTTGTTTGTGCCCAGTGTTTTTTGAGTTTCCATTCTGCCTAAAACCAAGGTCTGTGTCCTTTATAGATGGAATTTCTGGGTCTGAGATATCAGGTTTTGATGCACTTTTACTGACTCTGTCAAACTGTGAATCACTGTTCATTAATCCACTGAAACTTATGTTTGTTAGTAAGTCTTCTAGACACACATCATGACAGCCACTTGAATCTACAGATTTTCCAGTATCAACATAAGTGTCATGAGAGCCACATGTCATGACTGTATCACTAGATACATCATAACTCATACGATCTAATGGTTCTTCTACAGACATGGTCAATGGTAAGCTTAAATGCAACTCTGAAATGCAAGATATCTCATGCTCTCTTGGCCTGATGATGATATCAGTGTCAATGATTTTTAAGAGGGCAGTGTTCAATTCAGACACCAGGACATGTTTACTTTTCTCTGATTCAAATCCAGTGGATACATTCAAATATGAAGTGTGCCTGATTTCAGCACCTGAGAAATAATTTTCATTAACTTCAATGATCTTTCTCTTTTCAAATTGTCTGCTGCTTACAAGAGTTTTTTGTCTCCCTTGGTCATCATCATTACTTATGACATATTTGTCAAGTACTGGAATCATTTCCTGATTATCTAAATCTCTATGCAACCTCTCACTGCACATTTCCTTTTGAATATTGACAACATAATTCTGTATGTTAAATAGAGAATTAGGGTCCTCTGAAGCTTTTATTGGATGATTTCGATAAGAAACAATAATGTGACTGTCAGTGAAATCTGGTACCTGTTCAGTTCTCTCCCATCGATCTGTGTAGCAATTATGTGCTTCATTCAGACGTAGATCAGACAGATCAGCTACTGTCTGTACATTTTCCTGGGCAGAATGAGTGTTGTCTACATCCCTCAAGCTTTCCATGGTGTCAGCCATTTCATCAAAGTCAGTGATCAAATCTGGATATGAAATATGCTCACCCTGTTTTAACTGCAAATCTGGAGTGGAATGGGTGTATACTGACTGAATGTTCCAGAAAGCATGGTTTTCATCAGCAGTTAGCTTTTGGCAAGACAGATCAGATTTCTGATGTTTGTGATCATGACCCTGTATATGAGTTGACCACAATGCCTCAGACACCAGTGTTTTACTAGCAGTGTTTACTTGTTGCACGTTCACCTCACCATAACCACTACTATCTTGCATGTTGCTGCCAACATCATGGACAGGAGAGAGAGATTTAACAACCAAAGAAGATTTCCAGGGATGGAGTAACTGAGAAATCCCAACAGTGTCCCTTGCAAGAACATTATTTACCTCAGTCCGCTCCCATCTTTCAGTATATTGTAATGGCAATGTTTTCCCTAGATCCAGATCAGGAAAATGATGATGCTGTAAAGTTGTTGTCCCTCTGCCTACATACCCAACACTATTTTCTTCACCATCATCATTGTCATCTGCTTCAGCACGTGCTGCCTCTCTTATTATGCTTGCATTGTAAGCAACATTTCCTGATTCACGAACTAGGAGTGAATTATCCCTAGTCAGGTCACAGGAAAATTCTATTAAATTGTCTGTGTCATGTGACAAGATATTACTTACATTAACTGTTGTCTTACTTAAAACTTCATTATCAATAGCTACTGAGTGTTCCAGCCTGTCCACATAAACTGTTTCAGCATCACTGTCAGCATCTTCATTGCCATAGATCTTAAATGGATTTTCTCTTGTGTGTCCAACTGATGTAATCAAAGCCCTGAAAGGATGTTCTTTATGTATGACAATATTTCCTCCATGGTCACCAGCTCTACCACTATCAGACCCATCATCATTGCTGGTGTCACTGCTGATAGTCCGCTCCCATCTATCTGTATAATAGAATCTTTCATGATCTGCATCCATTCTCAGCTGTGAGTTCATATGACAGCTACTGACCTCAGACAGCTAGTTGCCGTGACCATTTTTCTGTCCTAATCGTCAAGGTTACCATCAAAATTTCTACTTCATTTGTTTCCATTTTTCTTATTTCACTGGTGTTAACAGGCCTTTATGTCACAACTGTGTTGATGTCACTGACATATGTATAGTATTTATCTACTGAAAAACACTTTACTCCTCCCAAATCTAACGAGTCAAAAACTGTCCAAAAACATGTCATTCTTTTCCCTCAAAACAGAAGTCTTTAAGTCTAAACAACTCGAGCAGTTAGTCGTGCGCTGGCACATACTTGTGAAGATCACAAATAAATGTATTTGAAAGGAATAGTTCCAACACTTTTCTGCACAAAAACAGTTTTATAACACAAAGTGAAAATTTCCACATGCTGTTA